GTCTAGATCACTGGCAGGAGACTGCTAAAGCTCAAAATCCTGACACCATAGTTCCCGTGAGAAAGACTCCTCACCTCAATTGGCCCTTGTGCCAAAAACCACCAAGACAGAAAAAAATATATATAGAATGTCTAATAGATGGATGGATCGAAAGAGAAAGGCGGAAAGATTAAAGAGGCGATAACATGGGTGTCTGCTAGATGGAGTGATAAAACAGAGCAAAGTAATATCAAAGGCAAAATTATATTGTTTTTCATATTACTGTCTCCTGATTGCTGTCTCCCATATTTGAATGCGTGCCCATGCTTTAGTAATTTGCATGTACATTAATCATTTTCAGTGAGAAATGAACTGCCACGGCTGCCTGAAGGCTGCAGGGGGAAAGGCAGTGAGAACGGGCTTCTTGGCATCAGATACCCGACTCAGCCTGAATATACTGCCTGAACCCAACCTGGCTTCGGCTGCAGGAGCCAAGGGGAGATGTAAGGTGCTCATAATCCTACACCATAAATCTGTCCAGCATGCATCATATGCTCTCATTTTCTGAGTGTGTAAGTGTGTGTAAGTGTGTGTGTGTGTGTGTGTGTGTGTGTGTGTGTGTGTGTGTGTGTGTGTGAGTGAGTGTGTCTGTCGCACTCTCAAATTACTCTGCTCCCCTGAGCCAAGACGGGGGATAAAATATGAATCAGCTGAAGTCTAGGATAGTTTCCCGTCTCTCTAGACTCCCCAACCATCATCAAGTGACACAAGCATGCATTCCTACACACACACACACACACACACACACACACACACACACACACACACACACACACACACACACACACACACACACACACACACACAGCAGTCACACACAAGCAACTCTACACACTCAGAAAGTTTCAAGTCTCTCCACTTCATGCTAAGCTTCTGTCAAACACACTCTCTGCTGCACATTTGACATTCATATCCCTCATATTTGACAAGTGTCTCTCTACTGCAGCTGCTGGAGCCTGTGCATAGTGACAGGATTACGAGAGTCTGTCTGTCTCTTTACCTATAAATCAATTAGATAAAGTGATATGATCCAGTACTGTTATAAATACTACTGCCTGTGGAGACAGGGGTTATGTGCCTTTGCAGAAGATAAGACTGTACGGAGAGACATCTCGCTTTCTCTCCTCTTCATTTCCTCGCATGCAGTTTGTTGCTGTCACATTTCTCTCTTTTTTCTGAGCTCCATCTTTCTTTCTGTCTGATTTCTGCCAATAAAGGAAGCCCCATGACCTTTTGCCCTGCTGGCCCTGCACAGACAGCTACCTAAAGATACTTTATAAATAACAGTCTAGTCGCTTTGGATTAATGTGTCTGAGTGACTGCCTGGCACCCTTGCTGACCTGCTGCGAAATCCCCTGGCATCTGACTGCCCCGAGTGCTGGAAAAAGCCCTGCACTGTAAACACACAGGGAAAACTATGTGTTGGATGTTACAGTAGGCAAACAACAGGCAAATTCCACACAAATGCACTGTAGTTGCAATTGCATACACCCAAAATATAATGTGACGATATCTTAGAGGCATGCATGACACATTTCTTTTTAAATATACTTCATAAAGTAAATAGTAATGGTGTATTGTGGATTTTTTGTATCCCATAACAACCCATGCCAACATATACAATAAAACAAACCCCGCCAGCGCAACAATGGCATTTTCTAACCCCCTTGAAGTTAATGAACTTCTGGGCGCCTAAAGGGCAATCCCAACACCAAGTTCCCTTTAAACCATTAGAGGCATTATGAAGTCAAGAGCGAGACTACGCACCATTCTCTGCAGTGACATGCTGTCAGACCAATTGGCGGGCCCAAACACACACGCCTATAGAAGTAGACAGCCCCTCCCCCTGCACTAGCCCCCACAAAGACACACACAACACTACCAACCCTGATGCTTTGTTGCAATTGACATGTGCTTCTCCCACGCACAAATGCAGCATGCATCCACGGAAGCTTGCACTCAGATATAATTAGCCATAAAGACGTAAAACACAAAGATGCATACAGGGCTTCCGAATCAATCTCTAACTTGAGTGCAGCATCCTACATATTTCTATATTGGATCAGCTTAGTTAGTGAATACTGGAAAATAAAGGTCAGCCAGTGAAGTTGCCAGTAATCTGAAGTAATCTACATTGCAGTAGTGACTAGCACCCCAGTGGAAGGCGTAATCAGGTTCAGACATAATGCTACATAACTTCCCTTCAGTAAGGAGGTGATTAGGAATCCATGACCTCAGAATACTGCAGCCTTCCTAGAAGTCAGAAGCCATTAGGTATTTATAGGAGCTTAATGGTACTGTCTCTGTATACTGGCTGTCTAGTACCCATCCTCAAGCCAGCATCACATCTCTTTCAATACCAGTCATGGCAGCATAATTTACAACACACAATCTGCTTTTGAAAATTATTTTCCTAGAACCACCCCATATACTCCGGTTCGATAAACTGTCTCAAGAGCCTTTGGTTTTAGTTGGTCGTCCACCGCCCTCCGCCTACCGAAACCCCCAACCCCCAACCCCCCCAACCCCCCAACCCCCCGTCTGTCTGCCCGCCTCCTACGCAAACTGCCAAGCTAAACCACTTAATTTCATTTTATTTCATCAGCAGCTTACCAACAATTCTTTTATCTTTATTTTTCCCTTTCCCATCACAACAAAAAAAAGTAGACTGTTTTGCATCAAATGCTTTGCTTGTACGTGATATTGTTGTTTTAGATGAAAATGTTGTGGATGATCCAAGTAGTGTTTTCCAACTCGCAAATGCTGTTGTCAAATATAATTGCATGATATGATTGTAAAATGACATGTATGAGAGTGCACCTGTTTTGTGCGCAAAAAGGCAGCATGGACTTAATATGAAAATGTGTGACTTTATATTGACTTTTTCAAACGTGTTCTTACAAGTTTTATAAGCAATCTTGCATTTAATCTTTCATACTACAGATAATGATTCAGGTGTCCACACCCTTTTTATTCCATAATTTGCATATAAATGTCTTTCCAAAAAATGGTTAACCACAATATATAAGATTTATTGACTTTCTGTCACACTCCCAACAAAAAAAAAAATTCTACATGGCTTTGTTATGTATTCAAAATCCTACAAACTCAAATGGGATTCTCACTTGACGACCCAAGTTCAATTAAAAGTTTAACACATTTACTGCAAGAGCCCAGGTAGACAGTTGCATTAGAACCTGTGCTACCTGTGCATATGTGTAACCCGCTAACAATATTTCCATTTGCTTGTTTGTTTGGTTCCTGTATGTGAGCTACACATGTGACTCCTAAGTGTATGTTTACATTACCGTTCTGTCTCTGACCAAAACCAGGTCAGTCCTGTTACTGACATTATGGCTGCCTGCTTTAAACGACTTACCTAATGCCCCGTCATTACCTGGAATGGGCCCCATGTCTCGCCTGTGGCCTGAAATATCTCAGGACCTCAGACTGCAACTGTCAACCCCCCCTAATTTGCAGTTTCAGAAATAGCAGACTGAGACTTTGGCGCTAAAGATAAAGAGGCCCTATGGTTGAAGACGCTTGGTGCAAGGGCTGGGATAAGAAACCAAGTCTACCTGGGGACACACCTTAGCAGGGTTCAGTTTAATGGGACAGGCTTAAGGTGTCAGTCAGGTGCTTGTGATTAAGGCTGAGGCCAACAGAGGAGATTCAACTCCAAGCAGTGACAGAGTTTATGTTATGCAACAGAAACACAACAAGTTTTGACAACAGACGGATTCCTCAGACAGACAAAAATGTGAATGTGTGTTGTTAGACGCAAGCCAATATTTTGGTCTTTGATTGAATTTAATGATATGAATAACACGCCTAGATGGTTCTGGACGAGTACAAATCATATGTCGTTGCCAACTCAGTCATTCTTCCTGTTAGTCTTTAACAGGATAAATTTAGCAATAAGCATTAACAGGCTATTTAGTATTGGGTTAGTGTTGGATTATAGGTATAGCTGGCCAATGTGAAGTCATCTCTAAATCCTGTTTAGTAGTCTTGCTTCAGTAACAAACAGATATCCTACAGACCCAGGTATGACACGATGAACAGTCTAAAGCAGGATTCTGATGACAGAAAATGCATCCACAAAGAGCTGTCATACTGTACAGTCACTACCTGCTCACACATTGCCATGGAAATGCTGCAAACTTCAAAACTACAGTCTCAACGTCTCAGCTCAGCAAAGATTCACCATCAGAGCAAGCGCTGCTGCCCTGCTGATCTCCATGCCCGTTCTCCCTGTCCTCAGATGGCCATAATGAATAGAAACAAGATGAGGCTGGGAGCAGAGGCTGATAATATGGGCAGATGTCCAGGAGGTTACTCTAGGCTCTCAGCCAGACAGGCAGCGGTGGTGGACTGTGGTCAGTTGTGAACACCCCTCTGAATATTTACATTGTGGACAGCTGACCTGTGATCTCCTACAAGTGTCCCTCTGTTGATTCTTCAAGGAGTTTTTAAACTGATGAGTAGAAGAGAATGTGTACTCCCCATTTGCATGAAAATTGAATTGAATGGTTTATCGTATTTAACCCCCACGCGTTATTCGCAGCAGATATGAGAATTAATCATTAACCATTATGGTCCTGGTGAAAGGGTTTTATGCACTAGTACGCTGTTGCCCACCATGATCTGCTCTCTGCAGCTGGGATGAGCATAGCGTTGTTACACACACAGCAAGGGACTCCACTCCAGTCTATTACATTCTGCCATCAATGATCTATTAGAATGACTGACGGCAGTAATGAACTAAGACAAGATAACGCAAGGCACCATTCATGCGTAACCGACACGGAATCCCACGGTGACATGTGTATGGCACGAGGGGTGAAAAAAATCATAATGGCTTAGTGAATAAGAATAATACTCAATATTATCACTTGACACTCTGTGATTAACACGTCAAAAAAAACCTATCATGCTGGCCCGTGTGTTTTATTCCTTACCTTCCAGCCAGCTGAGCTATTACTGTCGCCCTTATCCTTGAAATAGGGCACATAACGGACCATCCAGTCGTATATCTGTGACAGCGTGAGTCTCTTTTCTGGGGTGCTCTCAATGGCGCGGGTAATGAGATCCGCGTAGGACTGGTTCCCCCACGCGTTCCGCCGCGAGGACTTGGCTTTGCGCAGCGGTCCGGTCACATCGAGAGCCGCGCCAGCCAGGCATGGGTGCGTCGCGCCTGTGGGTGCCGGGGCGCCGGCTGGATGCTTCAGCTCTCCCGGCGTTCCGCCCACGAGCCCCGCTCTGCAAGCCGGGACGTCCTCTGGTTCCACCTTGATCTTGGCCAGTGGAAGACCCCCGCTGACCTCGTGTCCACCGGGGAAATCCTCCGGGCACGGCAGCGGCCAGGTGCATGAGCGAGGCCGGCTTTGCGGCTCGAAATCCGAATCAACCTGATGAGCGTCTAATTCGTCGTCCTCCATCATCAACATTTACCCTTCAGTTGAGAGTGGAATAAATCAAATGAAGAGCAAGGGAGGGAAATACCTCCACGATCCCCGTATCCCACTGTCTTCAATGAAATTCACGTGAAATTTACGTTGAAATTCGCCCCGTAACAGTGCTATTAAGCTTACAGTCTGAATCAATAAGAGGCAATTCAACGGAGTAGACGGACCATGATGAATGCAAGCAAAATCACAGCCTCGCGTGTAGAGATAAGAGAAGTAATAAAAGTAATAATAATTTTTCGTCCATTTTACCTGTAGTAAAAATCAAATGGTGATTGAAATGCTTCTTATTCAACAGTCCACATCACCTCAAGACAGTCTCAAACGCGTGTCAGAGCCAGTCAAGGGGGCTTCTCAATCCAGTTGCAGCAACAGATGATATTTCAGATAAGGAGCATATTTGCAAAGCAGTCGTCGATAAATCCCTCCAGAAGACAACAGGAAGAATGGGGAAAAGAGGGGGGAAAAATCACCAGGGCTGTGTAGAGAGCATCCACTGAGGCGATAATGCGTGATTACCGTGAATTATTAAATCTTCCAGTCTGCACGGATTAAGCTGGCAGCGGCACATTCAAGTCCATTCAGCCTGAACAGCACCCAACTGTCTGCAATTATAATGAAGAGGCGTGCGCATGTGACGAATCGATAAATTCCCAGTCTGAAAAAAATATAAAGAGAAAAAATAGTCCAGTAATCAGATTTCGTATCCACTTGTCGGGTTGATAAAACTGGCTTTTTATCACTCCTCCTCTTGCTCCCCTCTATCCCCCCTTGCCTTTTCTCACTCTCTCAGATCCCACACATGTTCTCATTTGCTTACAACTCGTTCCGTCGATGTGAACCGAGGATGACGCGCCGGCGCTGTAGTGGAGATGCTGCCAATTGGAGTGCGCTCACGAAATCAATACTCTCCGAACATGATTACAGCGAAATCCCAAACTCTCTCTCTCTCTCTCTCTCTCTCTCTCTCCCTCTGCCTTACTCTCTCCCTCTCTACCATTTCTGATACGAACGGAGGGATCAAAACCCAAATTCTTAATCAAAACTCTGCATAATGATGATCTTTCTGGCGGAGCGTCACACGGCGCTTTGTGTGCCAGCCTCCACGTCCAGCTGCGATAAAACAAGACAATAGTGAAAACTACCCGAGGGGGAAATTCCTGCACAATCTGGACTGGGCTTTTTTTTTTTTTGTCTTTTTAAAAATACAGTGTCTGATCCGTCTTTGTGCGTAACAAACTGCCCCGTGCAACGTGTGCAGCGTCCAAATGGTCTCCAGGGAGAACCCTCAGCGCGCAGGAGGTTTCACCTCTGCTGATTATTTGCGGGCTAGTCCTCAGTGAGTGTAATTTTCTATGCCGATTAGACAGATTTAGTTCAGATTAAGAGAGATTAGGTAACCCTAGATTTTAATCCGAGAGGGGTAAAGTGAAATGGGGCTTTTCAGAGGCCAAAATGAAAAATCATCTCTGCTCCACACTCCGACCAGAGTGAGGAGACACAAAACACTTTCGCATTCTCATCTCAAATCGCATTTGCCAAGCCTGAACGCCGAAGTTCAAGCTGCTCTGGCAGACACAGCCCTGGTCAGACCCGTGTGCGTAATTCTGCAACCTACTGACCGAGGGGGATTCCTCCCCCTCCATCCCACCACCCCCTCCCAAAATCTGACAGCAGGGCGGGCACACAGTCACAGGTGCTGGAATCCCATTGGCTGTTTATTTCCCCTCATAAATGCATAAAAGCTTTTTTTTTTTTTTTTTTTTTTTTTGGGAAAAGAAAATTTGCCTCACCCTTCACCTTTATCCAACCAGAAAAATAATTGCTGAGCTCACAGGCTAGTATGCAACAACAGTCTGCTTCACTTTTTTATGCATATTCACACCTGTTATGTTGATGGTTGCTGTGGGGACAACATTACTTATTCATGGACTTTTACAGACAGTCCTGCTTCTACATACTCACTCACACATACACACACACAGGACCATGCAGCTACAATTTCTGATAATATTTGTAAGTTAGGCAGTCATTCCATGTAAGAATTTTAACCGCCCATGGGTAATCAGTATGACCTATGAGGGCATGTTGGTATGAATGCATTGTAGTCAAAATATTCAACAGCTGAATAATAAATTGTCCCTGAACACAAAGGCATACATTTTCTGCAGTAGTGACCAGGATCCAAAATTCAGACACTTAATAAGAGAGGATTCTACTCTATATATTTTACTTCTAGTTTACATAAAAACACCCTCATACTTCAAAGTGACACATGCACAGCTCATGAGCACCATCAAAACAAGCACCTGTGCAGCAAGGTGGCTGAAATTTTCTGGAGGACCCCACCCTATCCATGCAAAGTGTGAAGGAAGCTATACTTAAAAGTTGCACAATGTGGCCACACTGTGTGCACTCAGACATGACTAATGTTGAGAAATTTGTGTCAAAAAGAGCACCACTTGAAATGCAGGAGGATGTGTCATAGTGTGTCATGGAATGACTTAGTGCATGAGAATCATTGGGATCAGATGGTTAAAATGCCATGTTGTAACAAAAAGTATTTTTTAAAAATGCCATGTTTCTAATAGTTTGTGTCTACAATCCCTATTGCACCTATAACTTTGATTAATGGGAAATCATTTGTTATATTTTTATTATCATTTGGCCATTTAAGTATGTGCTAAGAGTAAAGCTTAAACCAATGCTGACACAAACAGGCCTTTCATTTCCTCTAGTCTCTAACACAAGGTGCTACTCATGAATAATACTTTTGGTGACCTGAGATTACAGTGTTTCTTTATTAAACATGAAACGAAGGAAAAGTAAATGTGAACATCAATTAGACAAAATGAGGCTCACGGCCGGACCGAATCTCCAGAGAAAGAAGACTCGGAGGACAGGGAGAGGACTCAGACAAACAGAGAGGTGGGAGGCCCAGGCAGCACAAGTTTAAAAACTATGAATGTGTTTGGTCCCTTCCAGGCTGACTGCTATGCTGTCCCCATACCAGACATTCCAGAGGAAGCGTGGCTGGCTTCAGGCTCTGAGTAGCTGATCCTGGAACAGCATGTTCAGCACAGCAGTAATCACCTCAGCCCGCCACAAGCAAGGCTGTGCACCACCACATCAACAACAAGGCAGAGCTTTGTGCCTGTCAATTTGCACCCTGAAAAAGTGCTCTGGAATTTCATTCACATAAGGGAAGGGAGACGTTTTTTCCACCCACTTCTGCAAGGGCCGTCCTCATTTCCCTGTCCCTGCCACTTTAGACGTCCCTCACAACCTCATGATGTTGTGCAACTTGTCCCTGTGCCCCATTGCCCAATGGGATAAGGACGAGAGGAAGCTGGAGAAGCCACAAGAACACCCTTGGGAGATCGATGCCTGTCTGGGAAAAAACCTCCCCTCGTTTTCTTCCCCTCTCAGCAAACAACCCACACTCTCTAACAAGCATATGGGCTCCCAATGACACATGAAGGAGAGGGCTCAAATCCAAGTATTGGGAACCTTCCTGAGTAGGCGAAGCTGGATTTCACCCCTTCATGGCAGTGGCCCAAAGTAGGCTGACTTAAAGACTTCCTGCCCTGAGCAAGAGCCAGCTTTCTGTGGCATCTTGGCATCTGCGCTGCCAGCTATGAACATTATGTTCAGAGGCAACACAGACAATTGGTGCCAAGAGTTTTAATTAAGACTGTGTTGTGGAATGGAAAGTAAAGGCATGTGCAGGTAATGGCTTCTATCCCCATTTCAGAGGTCTAACAAAATATGATTAACTAACACTATCTGCCTTAGCCAATTAATTATATTTAACAGTTAAAGACCCAGGACAACCAAATGGCCCAAAGAGGAAAATCAGTGTGCACTGCTTTTAATATTCAAAAGTGCGGCGAGCATAATTGTACTATAATAAACTGATGATGTCAAAGATGTTTAAAGACAGTAGGGGCGGGTGGACAGTGTAGCTATGTTGGAATCCAAATCAAGGTACAGTATGTATGAAACATAGTACAAACTAGTACAATAAGATTGTACAATGTGTGACCCTTTTCACCAGGTGTCTACAGTATAATCAATGAATCATTTAGGTATATTATCAATTTAAAAAAAGTAACTAAATTTGCTGGTTTCAAAATCAAAACATTTGCTGCTTTTATATAATTTCATTAAATACCTTTAGGTTTGGGGCTGTTGGTTATTTACTGTGACTATTGTTAAAATGGTCAGGCTTGGGAATGTTTGTCTTTCATGTCTTGTATATGTTGTTATTTCAAAAAATTAAAAATAAAGTTCTAAAAAACAAAACAAAAAAAGTGAAACAAAAACATAAAAAGTAGATTGACTGATAATGAAAATAATTAGTTTGGTGCAGCCATAGTAAGTATAGATGCTGAAAGGGCATAGACCATCTGTGTCATGAAATTACAACTTTTGTTCAAATTTAAAACCATATGAGGTTCCATTTATGATAACCTATGATAACGAGCAATTTGAAGACTGGGTTAAGAGAAATCTTTCAAAATGTTCTAATAAATTAAATGATACAATAATAAAATACAAAACCAGAATTCTTGCAGTCTACATGACCCCACACACTCAACAAATCTCTAACTCTAACCCCTGTCGACACCCATAATTTTAGATCTATCGGGATTTTTGCATGCATGTGTTGGAAGAGGGTGTCACTCCAGTCTCAATTTCTTGAAATAAACCATGCTGAATATCATATTGCCTCTGGCAAAGAGTTAAATCCCTCACTTGTGCAAGTCAGTAGTTGGCTTCATCCACAATAGCCGTGCAGGCCTGATGCCAAGACACTGATTAGCCTAGCTATGCCTCTGTTCTCCAGGCAATGCGGAGTGGAGGTGCAGTGGGAGTCCAGCTCATCACCAAAGAGCACTGTGCTAAACACAAGTTTAAGTGGAAGAAAGCCAGCATACTGTAGTGTATCCATGCTGGACACATAAAGCCTTGGGCAAGGAGGCATCTGCCTCTTTAATACATAATTCACTCAGAGCTGAAACATCATGCTTTCGTCCTAAGGGCCAGTAGTCTGCTTCTGGATGTTGGAACATGAAACTGTCTCCATCAGATAATGCGGTCTCATTGACAGTCAACTTGATGTATTAAGTAGCTAACTAAAAAAATAGGTTCAATCCCTTACCGGTATAATGTACTGTATATTCAAATGTTCAAATGTTGGTTTTCAAAGTGCACCAAATGTATGTGGAAGCAATGTCATCTCACCTTTCCACCTCAGCGAGCTTGTCCTCATCACCTTGATATGCAGGTAGGTCAACATGTAGAGACAGCCATCTGCCCTCGAGCTCTCCCTTCAGACATGCACACGGTCCCTTTACATTGCAACCCCTGCAAATGCATCTTACTGTAGGGGTATTATTAGAAGCACTCATGTCTTATAGCCCACATTATTATCATAACTGACAGGATGTGCATTAGTTACTTCAGTCTCTGCAGCAGATTGGCCATAATGTTGACACACTAGCATACAGGCCATTTTGGAATTCGGCATGAAGAGTGAAGAACCTGAGGCAGCTGTAGTGCTTTCATGTGTAATAGTCCCAGCTCAAGTTCCCATGAAAGAGGCACTAATGGGTTAACAGTAGAAATGAGAGGGGAAGAGAGGGAAAATCAATGCTTTTGTTGAGGGGAAGAAAGAAAGGCTTTCACAGGTCTATGTATCATTAAGCAATTGAGAAAGCTAATTAGAGTGGGGGGAAAAGATGTGCAGATCTCATAGCTAATTATTTCCATGGCAACCACAGCTCCTGTAGATGATCTGAGGTAGCATTCAGCAAGGCAGACCGTTACACGAAGAGCAAGAGAGACCCCTAGTGGGGTAAAATGAAGGTGTTCATGAGAAGCTATAGACTATAGAGCTTAAAAAACAAACTAATAGCTTTAAAAATAGAACACAATTCATATTTTTTACGTCAGTAGATAATAAACCTTGTGCAAAATCATATTCTTGGAACAATCACTATGGATAACTGATAAAAATTCAAATAAAACTGTGGGTTTTTTAAGATGTTAATCCTCCCTTACAGAGAAAAATAAATGTTTATTTTTTCAATCAAAGAACATAATCAAGAATGTATCTTAAACTTAAACCAATTGATAAAAATTTTTTTCCAGGAGCCACCCTAAGCACTATGTGTCATGCTTTAAAGATCTATTATTATGATACATATAACTTGTCTGGTAGGTGAAAGGTGGTAGGAGTCATTATTTTGCTGCTTTACACTCAATGCAGGCACAAGCTTCTACATTTCTATTTATTCCCAAACACACCACTATTGTTCCTTCCGTAAACATAGCAAACTCCAGTGCACAGGAGAGTGTTTCTACAGGAGTACCCTTATACATATACTACAAATGTACAACCCCATTTCCAATGAAGTTGGGGCATTGTGTAAAACATAAATAAAAACAGAATACAATGATTTGCAAATCCTTTTCAACCTATATTCAATTGATGAATTTTTTGTTTTGCAAATATTCACTCATTTTGAATTTGATGCCTGCAACATGTTCCAAAAAAGCTGGGACAGGGGCGACAAAAGACTGGGAAAGTTGAGGAATGCTCAAAAAACACCTGTTTGGAACATTCCACAGGTGAACAGGTTAATTGGAAACAGGTGAGTGTCATGACTGGGTATAAAAGGAGCATCCCCGAAAGGCTCAGTCATTCACAAGCAAGGATAGGGCGAGGTTCACCATTTTGTGAACAACTGTGTGAGCAAATAGCCCAACAGTTTAAGAACAAAGTTTCTCAACATACAATTGCAAGGAATTTAGGGATTTCATCATCTACGGTCCATAATATCATCAAAAGATTCAGAGAATCTGGAGAAATCTCTGCACGTAAGCTGCAAGGCCAAAAATCAACATTGAATGCCCGTGACCTTCGATCCCTCAGGCGGCACTGCATTAAAAACCGACATCAATGTGTAAAGGATATTACCACATGGGCTCAGGAACACTTCAGAAAACCATTGTCAGTTAACACAGTTCGTGTTTACATCTAGTTAAAACTCTACCATGCAAAGCGAAAGCCATGTTTTAAAAACACCCAGAAACGCTGCCGGCTTCTCTGGGCCCGAGCTCATCTGAGATGGACTGACGCCAAGAGGAAAAGTGTGCTGTTGTCTGACGTCCACATTTCAAATTGTTTTTGGAAATTATGGACGTCGTGTCCTCCGGGCCAAAGAGGAAAAGGACAATCCGGATTGTTATCAGCGCTAAGTTCAAAAGCCAGCATCTGTGATGGTATGGGGGTGTGTTAGTGCCTATGGCATGGGTAACTTGCACATCTGTGAAGGCACCATTAATGCTGAAAGGTACATACAGGTTTTGGAGCAACATATGCTGTCATCCAAGCAACGTCTTTTTCAGGGACGTCCCTGCTTATTTCAGCAAGACAATGATAAGCCACATTCTGCACGTGTTATAACAGCGTGGCTTTGTAGTAAATGAGTGCGGGTACTAGACTGGCCTGCCTGCAGTCCATACCTGTCTCCCATTGAAAATGTGTGGCGCATTATGAAGCGCAAAATACGACAAAGGAGACCCCGGACTGTTGAGCAACTAAGTTGTACATCAAGCAAGAATGGGAAAGAATTCCACCTACAAAGCAACAATCAACAATTAGTGTCCTCAGTTCCCAAACGCTTATTGAGTGCTGTTAAAAGGAAAGGTGATGTAACACAGTGGTAAACATGCCCCTGTCCCAGCTTTTTGGAACGTGTTGCAGGCATCAAATTCAAAGTGAGTGAATATTTGCAAAAAAACAATAAAGTTTATCAGTTTGAACATTAAATATCTTGTCTTTGTAGTGTATTCAATTGAATATAGGTTGAAAAGGATTTGCAAATCATTGTATTCTGTTTTTATTTACGTTTTACACAACGTCCCAACTTCATTGGAATTGAGGTTGTATAAATATATACGATCTGGCAATGACTTCACCAAAACTGTGCTGTATTCATTGGTGAAAGTGTGATAAGGTTACCGTGTCAAAACTTCACACAATAAATGACGAGAAGTTTAACTGTTGAGTCAAAGTTGCATTGTGTTTAATTTTATGTAAAAATATCATAGAAAAAATGAAAAATAGGAGGTGGGTAATGATTTGTCCATGGTAGTCAGAGTTGACCCTCTAAACAATGTCATTCAGTGTCTCTGTTTGCTGGGGTCAATCTTCTCCAGGTGAACCAGGGGTTTGAGTTGCTCAGCAAAGCTGCGCATGTCCTCTGACACAGTGTCCTGACCGGCAGGAGCCAACACACTCAGCTCCACCAGGTATGAAAGCGATAGACGCTCTGTGTTCTCCGTGTTCCCCGGTACCAGGATACGTGACAGCTTACTAACCACAATTTTCATTACACCTTTGCGGAATATGTGCCCATTAGCCACAAACTCATGGTCCATGCGGAAGCCCATCTCATTGAGGAACTCTGGCAGGCTGTGAGAGCCAGCCACGTCCACACAGTTGCGCACCAGAGCATGGCGGCTCTTGTCTCCGACTTCAGGTTGGCCCAAGTAACGTAGGTGCCATGGAGATGTGGGGTGGGAGAGTGAGCGACGGGCACGCAGAATGAAAGGATTTCCTTGTTGGCCTTTCAGAAGATAAACCAGTTCATGATCTGTAAAGGTCTCCGGTTCCATGTTGTCACACAGACCTCGAAGGCGATGCAAGAGGCTTTCCAGGGCCTGGTCTAACACACTGCCTGAATAAAGAAAGAGGAGAGGAAAAATATGCATACATATATAAATGAAATATTCATACAGTGATGTGATGGTCTGGACTGCACAATATGTGGTATTTATAATATTTACACAATAAACACTGCAAAACATCCAACCAACTGTGACACATAGAGCTGACGCAGAAAGGGAACTTTGTCACAAACATTTTAGATGTTGTCACTTAAGATTAAAAATCAGTTTGGACCATTGCCATGCTGGCAGTCTTGCAGTATCATACAACATTGTAGTTTAACAGTCATACAATAAATCCTACCTGAAGGTTATAATATTCAATTATTGATTCAACTGTTTTAAAAGAGGTCAGACTGTATTTTGTGATAATGTTGAATTCCATCGCATTTTATAGCGTTTCTAATATCTTGTTTGTTTAAATGAAGATTTACGTTTTGAGACTCCGTTATCCAAACACCAAACATAAGGAAATATATTTTAGAAGAACGGTTTCATCCCAACACTTTCCCAGAGAATGTGAGCCAAGAACCACTGAAGTTGTTTTGGTAGCTCATAGTTTCCTAACACCTCATCAGGGTACTTTGTGTTGGTTTATCCTTCAATTTATCACCCGTCTGTGATCAGTGGTAGTGGGGAAATGTTTTCCTGTTTTATGCATTATAATGATACAGAGAATCACGTGGTTGTTAGATAATAATAAATCATGATTTATTATGTAAATGTACATAACTTTAAAACTTATAGACACCTAGTGAAGTTGTGTCACAACACCATAGCAGTACTGTAACACTTGCCACTCATGGCACATATTGTTTTGTATCACTCAGTCCCACAGGCCATGTAACATTATAACACCTACGGACAGACAGTCTGCTGAGATGTCTTATGCTCTGTCCTCGGCTGTGTATTTTTTTCTGACATTGCTCACCTTGCAGCAGGTACTCCATCATATTGATCGTGCCCCCGGTGACAGGCATCACTGTGACTGGCGGAGCCTCCATCTTTATTCAGGTTGTTTTTGAATCTGGAGGAGGGAAATGTTATTAGCTCATATGTATCATAACATACGCACGTAATGTTACCTACATGTTAGTATGCTTAATAAAGTGAGATAGCTGGCTATCTTAATGTTTGTTTCCTTACCTGAGATACCCCCAACAACACAATGCAGCTGTTCTCTTGCTGAGGTAAAACCGAATAAATGTTAGGTGTTCGTCTTCGGTAGAGGCTCCGCAGTAAAGACCGAGGATCCGCTAGGCCTCGACGGCTTGTTCGGTCAACACACCGCTGGTAGCCACACAGCTAGCTCAGCTAAGTTTGATATCATGAGTTAGCCACGACGAAAGCTGCGTTACTCAAGCTTCAACGTCAAGTTGCGTGAATGGGATGACTTATATTTATCTGTGAATACAAAGAGCCGATTAAAAGAACAGTAACAACACAGCTCGGTTAGTTAGTAAGAGAATAAACACAGTCAGTAACAGTGAATGAAACCCATTTTTCTTCTCCCTCTGTTTTTGCCCCCTCTCAGCGGTTTGCATCCAACCTCGAGGCGCACTACAGCCACCTACTGGACCACTGGAGTACTTTCCTCTTCTTCTTTTAGTTTTATGGCGGGATCCAACCATGACTATTAAGGTACATACTTCCACCTGCTGTGCCGGAGTATGTGGCATGAGTTATAGTTAAATTCGACTACTTTACATCTCACACTGGGGCAGCATTACAGTTATTTTCCTAAGTGATGGAACAAGTGAATTAATAGCATATCATATACCCCATTAACAGTAAAAGACCTGCACACAACATTTTCCTCAAGTTGTCAGCTGAAAGTACTGTCAGTAAAATATATTTAAATAGTAAAAAAGTAAATGTTTTCATTATTCAACTGTGAATAAGATGTATATAATTGGGTTATCAGAAGTGACACATTAACATGTAAGCAATGGTGGGAGAGCTCAGATTTACTTCACTTTTCTTTTACTACTATAAAAGTATCAATACCACACTGTAAAAAATACTTTACCATTACAAATGCAACCGAAAGCTTTCCTAACTGCGCAGAAGTAGCTATTATAAGCAAAATGTAGGCCTAAGGTAACAAAAGTAAAAGAACTCTACATGCTGTTAAATTATTATTGATATTATTGTTTTATTATTACTGATTAAAATGCAAGCCATAATAATTGTTGTAGCTGGTTGAGGTGGATTTTAAGTAGCTATACTTTAATCTATAACAACAATGATATTTTATAAGCTCATGATATGTTTTGATTTAAATTATGAATCTGTAAAGTAATTATTGCTGTTAAGTGAATGTAATGGAGGGGGAAAGTATAGTATATCCCTATAAAATATAGTGAAGTAGAAATCATAAAATGAAATAATTACCACAGAATTTTACTTAAGTTCAGTAAGAAAATGCACTTACTTTCCACCACTGTGGAAGCCTTTTAATGTGGTTGCTTTTTTAGGTGTAGCCAATTTAAATTTCTTAATACAGTTTTATTAATGTAAGTTACTATTCCTGTCAAATAAATGTAGTGGAGTTAAATGGTACAATATTTATCTCTGCCAGTGTCCTCAAGTAAAGTGTAATACCCCAAATATGTACTTAAATACAGTATGTGCATGTATATTGTAGCTATGGTGTATAAAGACAGTAAACACAACTAGTATACATTTTTACACAAACCTCTTTAATAAATTAGTATCAAACCAACGTTTCTCATTAAAATTCTGGACCAATATAAATATTTTGGTTGGGAACACCTGAATTATTATTCAGAAAGGATGTCCCTGTGTTTGAAAAAAGGTAAAAAAAAAAAAAAAAAAAAAAGAAATAAAAAAGAAAAGAAACTAATAGTAATTTTTATTGTGGAACGAATTGAGTCAGCTCTTATTCGTGGGTCACTTCACTCAGTAAGGAAACTTCCATTCCAAAACGTCCATTGCTTAAAAATTTCCCTTCAGAACATGCGTGGGTGAAGTCACATACATGTTTTCGTCATGAAGCCCATTTTTTGAGGAATCATTTACTTAATCATGTGACAGTGAAGGTGGGAACTCATTACATCTGTGGCATTTATGGACCATGTTTATGGACCTTTTTCTTTATACATTTATTTCACTATACACACATTCACTGTAAGTCATATGATTGTTTGTTATTTTAGCAGGTCTCCTGATGACAATTGATGAATAAATCACTGAAGTCTCCTCTTCCACCTGCAGTAAAAAGTAAGAAATCTCATCACCCAACAGAACATCACACATGTTAGTTCATTGCTGCATGTGGTATAAGGTTATTCCATCACCATCATATAACACTTACCCTGCCATTCAAGCCACAGCAAGAAACGTATATAGGAAACGCTTAAAGAGAGAGAAACAGAAACAGAATGAGGGGCGACACCTAAACTTGCTGAGCCCAGTGACATCTGTTTCAAGGCAGCAGACCACTAAACAAGCAATAAACAGGAAGTTTAATGAGACAAAGAGCTGCATAGCCTACCTGCCCACAATCTTGGTCTGAGATAGCAAATTAAAAGTGCTATTAAAATAAGACATGTAAGGGTTGCTGATGTTCCATAAATAACTGGAATCAGATATTCAGGCTCTGGAGGTATATCTGAAAAACCAACATAAGAATGAATATTTCATTTATTCAGGTCATGAGTTTCTTAAATAAAAGTACGGCAAAACACCCACCTGTTTTATTATAAGCATTTGATGGTCCAAGAGTGCTGTTAACTGTACTGTATCCATCAAACGTCTGCTTTCTACTGCAATTTAAATCCCCATATGCATCTACAAGTCCTGTCCTTGTGTCTGTCACATTCGATGTGCTGTTTGGATTGATTTTACTGAATTCCATGTCACACACCACAGCACAAGAAACAGATGAATCCTCTCTGTGATGTACTGTAAAATGGCAAAAAAAAAAAGATTATAAATTAAACAGTTTAATTTTGATATTTAAATCACTGTATGTGTGTTATATTCTCACCTGTAATAACACACAAGTTGATAGTAAGTAGCTTCTGCACGTGTCCATTACATCCACTTGTCCAGCAGATATATTTCCCAGCATCTGCTCTTTTCACATTTAAAATGTGTATAGACTTGTTGGAAGTCACAAAGTGTGATTCCCTAAGTGCAGTCATGTTACTGACTTCAAAAGTCCATTTTAAGTTAGTCAATTCACCTGGACATGCATGAATAAAATTGCTGCCCGCAGTTACATAGAATGTCTTATTAGTTTCTTTCAGAATTCCTGGAGGAAAAAAAAGGTATAAATTATTTAAACAGAGGATAGGATTTCGAAATGTTTAGAACTAGATCCACAATGCAGTTTGGAACTTAATGTATTCTGTTTTACGACAACATATTATAACAGTCACAATTGCTCTGACCTTTCTTCACACTGGTGACTCTGGTATATTTATTCCAACAATTGTCTTTAATACAATTTTCACACCAGTACAGGCCTTCATCCTCCTCTGTGAAGTTATCAATGACCAAGGAACCATCACGCAGAACCTTCATTCTGGGACGGAGGACCTGCTGAAGGTGTTGTACTCCTGTCTTGTCTTCAAAAAATATCTGGATTTTGTTACTACGTCCATCTTTCTCGTAAAGCCATTTGAAAGAGACGGAGCCACTTTTGTTATGTTGACATGGTATCACAGCTTCACACCCCAGTGACAATTGAAGGTGATTTTCGGCTGCTAAAATATAAGATTTCTGTTAATAGTCACTTCAAAAATGTTAAATATGAATAATGTATTGCCAAACAACAGTAACATCACAGAACTGCATTTTAAATACAGTGTAATATCAATGATTGAGTTACTTACTCTTTCCTGAGGCAAAAAAGGATGAATTCCAAATAATCAGTAGAAAAATAAAGCCTTTTTGCATCGTGCTTGAGGCACTCATGTCTCTGCAGAAATAAAGACAATGTTGAACAGATAGAAACACCCCCTCAGTGGTTACACTATTACTGCTCTTCAAAACAGAGACTCTGCCTCACATCAGAAGGTTTTAGATTGAATTCAAGTAGAGACATCGGAAGTGGTCCAACAGCCAATGCAGAGGAAATTTACCGTGGCTTTCACCCACGCTGTTTTTCTGATTGTGTGGCATTTATTACACTTTTTGCATTAGCATATGTGTTAAGGTGCAGTATGTACAGCAGTAGCAAGTGTAATTTCTCATATAAAGGTGTCAAACTGATTGTACTCACTGCTTTTTATACGTCTGTAAGATAGGATGTAACCTATTTGAGTAAAAAAAACATTGTAATTGTGCTCTTAATTCAATTTACTCATCTGCCGGGCTTAAAATCAGCTGAGAGTTTCTTGCAGTGTTTCGCCTTCAAAAAGGCTTTCATGCGCTGCAGTTATGAGGTTTAGAGGTTTATTTTAAGGCTCTGAAATGTCAAAAGATTATTTAGGTTTACAGTGATCACTGATAAGCACAGTGTCTGGAAAGTGCAACAATGGAAAAGTTTACATGACAAGAACAATATGAATCAGATGTGAGTCATATCCACAGCAAGCTTATTCATGCTTAATGATTTAAGATGCCTTACTCATTTGTGAGTTCTTTATAGTTTTGATTTAATTTTTGATTTTAACATGATGGCCTATGCAGTCTGAGCTTTGATCAAAGCACCACAGAATAGACCACACAGTTGGATCAATGCCTCTCTTAAACAGTTCAGTAAGTAAACTGTGCATCAGTAACATCTCCTTCTCATATCAAACAGTTTGTGTCCAGTGCTGTTAATGCATGATTACGTGTGCTGTTAAATACATCTAGAAGAAAATGTGTAAATTACTTGAGTACATGAATTGTAATTTGTACAACTGGTTCTGTATGTTTCTAATTGATTTAAATAGTTGAGACAAAAACCGATTAATTAGAGATTAATAGAGATAATTAGAAGATAATTTTATTATATTATCCTAATTTTTTATTAATAAACATGTCTTCATAATCCGTTGTTAACATAGTTTTCACAATCTTAATTTCACATCTTGTTCACAATTACAAATATAAACGCTTACCTTCTTTTAATCTAATCTAATGCCTTGTTATCGGATACTCCAAAATCCGCTATTTGCGTCCGCACTTGAAGTCATCATATTCCCCGCCCATCTGCCATTACGTCATATCTAGCGAGTTGAGAGTTGTGTTTTGCCTCTCAGTGTTTGTCATCAAGTAGGACACTTTGGGACAAACCCTTTTTTTGTGTGTGCGTCTGTGTCGGAATGGAGTTAACTGAAGCTTTCCTGACACTTCACTGGGGCTTGCCGCGTTTGCATCACTTGTTGGCTCTACTTTGTCTTGTCGCCGTCGTCTATAAACTCGCCACCTTTGCTCGCCAAAAGAAGGGATGTGTTCCGAAGCTATGAGGATTTCCCAGGACCACCGACACACTGGCTTTTTGGACATGTTTTGGAGGTAATTCAGTCACGAGCACGCAGCCAAAAAAGCAGCAACTTTATGTAACAATGTGCAAAGTCTATTTGGCTTCTATATCCTTTTTTTTTTTTTTTTTTTTTTAGAGTATTCCTGCATAATGAGGACTTAAATTTCCAATAATCCGTATGAACTTGTATTTATTATATGAATTAATATATTATGTTATTATATTATATTCCATGTATTTACTTTATTACTGCTCATTAGAGCTACGCAGTGGGTAAACATCACAGTCCGGGCAAACACACTATCCTCCGCAGGTATTCAGTCATACGTAAATGAGTTACAAAGCATGCAGGCTGTAGGGTTAAAATGTGTTTGTTAAGCTACCTATGTTTTCATTTTTCTTTCAGTTTAAACAGGATGGGACAGACTTTGACACGTTAATGGCATGGACAAAACAGTACCCTTATGCTTTCCCATTGTGGTTTGGTCCCTTTTTTTGTGTCCTCAACATCCACCATCCAGATTATGTGAAAACCATACTGGCATCAACAGGTGTGTGAGCCATTCTTTGTCTTATCTTTACTGAAATGATACACCATTAAAACCTCGTAGTGTTAAATTCAGTGCTTTTATGGGACCATTTGACTACAGTTTTATAGCTAAAGGTCAATGTAACATTTTATTTGTTTGTTTCCCAACAGAGCCAAAAGATGATGTTTCATATCGTTTTATTCTGTCTTGGATTGGTAAGACGAGTCCGCCTGTCTCCTGGAGCATATTTTGGCCTATTGTAGAGTTGTTTTTTCAGCTGCTTTACTCACACACACACACACACACACACACACACACACACACACACACACTCACTCACACTGTTTGTTTGTCTTCAGGAGAAGGCTTATTGGTGTCGAGCGGTCAGAAGTGGTTTCGACACAGAAGGCTCTTGACCCCAGGTTTCCATTATGACGTTTTGAAACCTTACGTAAAACTGATGTCAGATTCGACTAAAACTATGTTGGTATGTAAAGTTTAGTTGTGTAAATCACAATTCATAAAAATTAAATAAAGATTGTAATGTAATGGTGAAATAATGTTAAAGGTCCAATGTTTAATATTTAAGAGGCGCTATTGGCAGAGTATAATTAGTGTATAATCACCTGCATATAGGAATCGTTATTTTTTTGTTACCTTAAAATAAGTTGTTTGTGTATATATATATATAGAAGCCGCAGGTTGTCTTCCATGGAGTCCGCCATGTTAAACCGCCATGTTTCTACAGTAGCCCAGAAGGCATAAACCAAACACTGGCCCTAGATATAGGCGATTGTGTTTTCACAGCTTGGAAAGGGAGGGGGAAGCGAGGGAGTTGCAGTCTGCTGGTTAATTATCATATTTTGTGGTAGAGTTGCAAAAGTTGAGCTATTGAGTGCGTTGGAGTTTTTTCCCCTGCAGAGATATCACATCGGTTCTCTCACTGTTGCCAGGACAAATGGGGAAGTTATGCAAACAGCAACGAGTCCTTTGAATTGTTTCAACATGTGAGCCTTATGACTCTGGACAGCATCTTGAAGTGTGCTTTCAGCTACAACAGCAACTGTCAGACTGAGAGGTAAGACTGTACAAAGCTTTTCCCATCACTCACTATTTCAGTTTTGTGTTGTCAGTTTTTTACTGTTTCAGTTGTCTAAATCACAAGTGGAGTGGATTTAGCTTATACATGTTTGCCTGTTTTCTCATTTCAGTGGAACAAATGTGTACATCAAAGCAGTGTATGAACTCAGTGATCTGATAAACCTGCGGTTGAGGACATTTCCATACCACAGTGACCTAATTTTCTACCTCAGCCCACATGGGTACAGATACAGAAAGGCAATCAAAGTGGCTCAGAGTCATACAGGTAAAATCTGAACACATAATTAATGACAATCTGAGACTAAATATCAATCATACTCAATTTAAATAATTTGCAAGATTGCACACTCATGCACTGAGCTTTTGCTAAATATGGTTAGTGTGCCAATACTCATCCATTATCTTGTTTTTTGAAGAGGAAGTCATAAAAAAGAGGAAAGAAGCACTGAAGGAAGAGAAGGAGCTGGACCGCATACAAGCCAAGAAAAACTTGGACTTTCTGAACATCCTTCTCTTAGCAAGAGTATGTTAAGTGGTCAAGTAACTTTAAGTTTTCTTACCTACTGATTTCAGAAAATTCTCACTTTTGCTCAATGTATTGACATCGGTGAGTTTGATGTGCAGCCAAGGTTTAAAACTCCACACGTAATAATAATAAGCATAATCATAAATTTTTGTGCCATTCATGGCACTCAGTTTCACCATATATAAGATAATACATTATAAATCATCAAATAAGTAATAAGTGAGGAAAATGTATTTAGTGCTTTTCACAGACATAAGTCACAAAGTGCTTTACAGAGACGGTATACAACAATGCATAATAATAAATCAAGCAGTGTATAGATATATATATACATTCATACACAGGCGCACACAGATACATACATACATTTACATACATACAAAAAATGTAGACGTGATGCATGCATGTTACCCAAACTCAAGTGTATCTTCAGCTGCTTTTTGAAGGAATCTACAGAATCTACAGACCGTAAGAGTGGGGGCAGAGCATTTCACAGTCTAGGTGCTACTGCCTCAAAAGCTCGATCATCCCGGGTCTTAAGGCGGGTGCGTGACAGACAGCAAATTTAGCACATTTGACCAAAAGGAGTGAGTTGATGTGTACGGTGGTAGTAGTTCAGCTACATATGCAGGAGCCTGGATGTGCAAAGCTCTGTACATAAGGGTGAAAATTAAACTGTATCCTATATGCAACAGGGGGCCAGTGAAGGTACCTAAGTATAGGGGTAATGTGCGCAGTAATCACAGTAATCAATGCATGATGAAATAAAGGAATGTATAAGCATCTCGAGTTCAACAGTTAAAACTATGGATCTCAGCTTGCTGATATCCGTTGGAAAAACTGGTCCACTGCTTAAGGATTTGTCAAATATTACCCCAAAATTATACAGATTTGAGTGGGCAGCAGAGGGAAGAGGCCCAATACTATGCATAATCACGGGGGCAACATTTTCTGGAACAAAACCAGAACCTCAGTTTTAGCATTGAGCATTGAGCTATAGAAATTTTTCTGCAGTCCAGTCCCTAATAGTATTAAGACAGTACTGGAGCCTAAATAACCCGAAAGCCTCACTAGGTTTAAAAGAAAAGTCGAGTTGGATATCATCTGCAAATAGATGGTATGCTATGTTAAATCTGTTTAACATAGCATACCACCATCAAGTATAAAGAAAATAACAAGATAATTACGATTGAAGTTAAGACATGCAATAAACAACAAGGCAGCAATAAGTTAGTTAAAAACTGTATATTATAAAATTAGATGCTGTTAAAACAGAGTGAGTTGTAATGATCTGTGCTGCAGAGTTCTGAATGAATTTAAGTCAGTGAATGTGGGGATGCGAGCCAGGTTTACATTGCAGCAGTCAATGAGTGACGTAAAACTTCCATGGAGTGTTGTGCAATGTGTAGTCTGTGATAGAAGAAGGCAGTCCCGCTGGGGAATTTCAACACAATACCAGGGCTCTTAACCTGTGTGGAGACAATGGTTTGAGCAATGGGGAGTGAAAAAGTGTGGATTTGAAACCGATGTAAATAAATTTTAAATAAGACAGTAGGGATAACTGTATAATAACAATAATTAAAATTGGAAGAGTGCACTCAGTAGAGTTGAGGATAGGGATTGATAAAATTTTATTAATACAATGGCATTATCGATTCTGCTTGTTGGTCCAGTTCTTTATCAATTGATTCCTGATCAATTTTCTGTGTGGAAAAAAAGCAAACACAGTTTTTCAGCAATAAATGCAACTGTTTTATTATCTCCCAATCTGAACACAATGTAGAAACAAGAGTTGAAAAATGGCATGCATGTGCAAAAGTTACACTGTTTGACTGAGAGGATATAATAAAAACAATAAGTCGTGTATAAAACCTGAGATCATATTAGAATTTGGCAGAATGTGTAAATATCATGTACAGGTGGCAAAACCCCAGTGCAGAAGGAAACAAAGAAGGCTGCTGATAATGTGCGTAAGCTGTCTCATGTTCAGCATATAAATGGCCACAGTTACAAAAGCAGCAGTCAGGCTTTTTGTCTTCTTATGAGACACTCTTGAGCAGCGGCTTGAAAACTAAAACTCAAATCCTTTGTGCAGGGGCTGATTAAGACAAGATAGGACAATGCTGCTTGCTGTAAACATCCCTATGCTGCTGGTGCCTAACTCACCTCAACTTTATTGCTGGTATACCATCATGTACAGCCCTTTATCAGATAAAAAAATAAGACAGTTTTATCAAAAGTCAATATAGTATGGCAAATATTAAAATGTCATGTCCTTGGGGGCAACATTTACTGAGAGAAAAAGCTTGTCTCTGCCAGCTCAACTTTTGACCTGGTGGACAAGTAGACTCGCTTGCGTTATCTCTGTGACTTCCATTACTCAGTACCAACCTGCCATTATTTTTAATGCATATTTTATACTTTTTTATCACAGTTTCATTGTTACGTGTACTACTTTTTAAAAGTGTTTTACAGGTAAAGTAGATAGTTAATATTCCTACTAGTTGTAGTAGTGGTAATAGTAGTTGTACTCGTAGCAGTAATGGCACAAATAGTATGTTTATTTCCCATTTATTTTTTACACTTTTGTCTTTTATCTCACCTTTAGGATGAGAAACAGCAGGGTCTGTCAGATGAAGATATACGAGCAGAAGTGGACACCTTCATGTTTGAGGGCCATGACACCACAGCCAGTGGCATCTCTTTCATCCTCTACAGTCTGGCCTGCCACCCAGAACACCAGAAGATTTGCAGGGATGAGATCATGCAAGTCTTGGATGGCAAGGACACCATGGACTGGTAGGCTTAGTGTAGTGTTGAAAACATTGCTATACAAAGCAGTGCCAGTATGTGTAACAACAGCTGCTGTGGGTGAGGTTTTGGCTGGCACTTTATTGTTTAGAATATCAACAACTAACCAAACCTTGTGTCTTGTCTTATTTTTAAGGGAGGATCTCAGTAAAATTCCATACACTACAATGTGCATAAAAGAATCCCTTCGTATTTACCCGCCTGTACCAGGAATGTCCAGAAAAATCACCAAACCTATTACCTTTTGTGATGGAAGGACTTTGCCGGAAGGTTTGTTGTTAATGTTTTTGGGAAGTTCATGTAGATAAGGCATACTTTATATAATAACTTTTACCCTCCCGGTAAAAGATGAAATATTAACTTTTCAAATTGGCCATAATGGATCTGTGGCCTTAGTTTGTGTTTAACAAAGTCAGCCTTGCACAACATTTGGCAGATAGTTACTCTTAAACAAACATTTTCCCCTTTTGTTTCCCCAAAAGTAGCTTTAAGGTTGTTAAAACAATTCCACATACAAAACCCCATATGCTGTATTATTATGGCTCCACCATTTTATCAAATGAAAATATCCCAGATGTCTTCTGCGTCATTTAATATACATTTTCCAAAGGTTATGTTGGTTTGTCCAAGGATTGACAACATAGCCGGTCGTAGTGGTCAAACTGACACTGACAGGCTGTTGCTCGTTCAGGTGTTAAGTGGTAGTGGAAGCACACTTATTTAGCCAAGTTTGGTCTATTTGTATTCATACATTGTCCCTGCACAATCCTAAACTAAAACACACAATTCTTTTCTTTTTTGTAGGTAGTTACATTGGCACAAGTGTGTTTGGGATTCACAGGAATGGAATTGTCTGGGAAAACCCTGATGTAAGTCAAGATGATATTCTGAGCAAAAACCTTGGTGAAGTGAAAGCTCACCTGTGCCCGCTCACTACATGGTGGACATTGTTAATAGAACCAGTGATGGAAGTAAAAGTATGATGCTTGCCCAGCACACTGCTTCTGCATAACCTGTGTCAAATAATAGAGGTGACGTAGTCATAAAATTAGTGCATAATAAATCAACTAAAGGGATAGTTTTGGTTTTTTGAAGTGGGGTTGGATGAGGTTCTTATCCATAGTCAGTGTGTTACCTACAGTAGGCAGTGGTCTGCACGCCCCCTGTTTGGAGAAGCAGACAGGAGTACCAGTATGGAAGCTAAGCAATGCACTGCTATGGATGGGGGCAGCAAAAAAAAACATATTTTAGCCACCTAAATCTATATAAATTCAAGTGTATATTATTTAGAATATTTTTAATGCTTTACCTTGCCGTCGGACAGCCCTTTCCGACGGAAAACAGAAGCATTTATAGCGATCATCATCAAAGCCACCAGACTCAGGACACAGGAGTTGCTCCACAGCAACTTACCAACTAACTAAAATGACTGTTTTTGTCAGAGGAGTCTGGTGTAGAGAGTGCGATATAAAGGCTTCAGTTTCCCATCTGACAGCAAGATAAAGAGAGGTGAAAATACTCTAAATATAGTGTACAGTTAAACTGAAGAAGGACATTTTCTAGGTGGCTAAAATACATTTTCTTCTGTAGTACACAGCAATGCATTTCTTAGCTTCCGTGCTGGTACTCCTGTCTGCTTCTCCAAACTGCAGGCATGCCTACCACTGTTTGCTCTACACTGACTATGGATAAGTACCTCATACAACCCCACTTTATAAAACCTGAACTATCCTTTTAATAGTTAAACCAGGAGTGCCTTAGTTGGTTAGGTGGTCAACTCCCAAATGATTAACACGACACTGCCATTTGTTTTTACTGTCTCGTCTCTACATAGGTCTTTGACCCACTGCGTTTCCTACCAGAGAATGTTTCCAAGAGGTCACCTCATGCATTTGTGCCCTTCTCTGCTGGGCCAAGGTTTGTTCACAGCTGATACCTTGTGACTGGGTCATTAAAAACTAGGGAGGGAGGATCTCAGTTTACAGCTACACACTGTCTATTTATCTGACAATTGTATGCTGTATGTGGATGTTTAACCCCTCTTTTCACCAACACAATATAATTAGGGTTATGAGATAGGGTGAACTCAGTTTCACCTAGGATTGATCCAATTTAAAACAATACACAAACCCCAAGAGGAAATACTTGTTAGGATATTAGGCTTGATGTGTGATAATGTGGATTATTCTCCAGTATAATATGAATCATGTAAGTGAATTTACAATACAAACTTGAGCTTACAAACAGGACAGGAGTTAGTATTTAATGGAGCATTTAAACTTTGCAAACCTTTGGATTTTACTGAACAACATTGTGTGCATGTGTCCCTTATCTGCCATCAGTTTTGTTATCATGTTTACCCAGAGAGGTGCTGCATGTGCTGTGTCGGAAAGATGGACAAATATAATTTAGGCTTACAGATTTAGTTTAATAGCAAAGGAGAACAAATGAAAGCAGAAAAGACGCACTACCTGAATGTACTTGGATTTATGGACAACATAAAAGAAACACTTTACAACACAATAGTCCTGCAGTAAAAACTAATGTGGGTAAGCCTTTTGGCAGTTCATCATGTGCTTTATCATATGGACATTTAGTGCAAGACTATTGACATTTTTTTTGTCCACTCTATTCTAATATTATGTCAGTACATACTAAAAATAATAAAAATTCTGGTACTGATGACATGTCTTATTATATTATTGCTTAAAAGCATTTAAATTACCATCATGTTCCTCATAATGTTTTTATGTTTTCCTCCCTCAGAAACTGCATTGGTCAGAACTTTGCCATGAATGAGATGAAAGTGGTGATAGCCCTGACACTGAAGAAATACCACCTGATAGAGGACCCCAACTGGAAACCCAAGATAATTCCTAGACTGGTGCTTCGTTCACTCAATGGGATCCACATCAAGATTAAACCTGTAGACCCACAAGTGTAAAGGGAAATATGTGCAGGAAATTATGGAAACCTGGAAAATACACTACAGAAAATTTTATATTGAGTACTAATTTCTAACACTTTACTAAGTTCACAAACAAATCATGATGAAATGATGAACTGTGCAGTATTTTGTAACATTTATTTAGTGACTGATTACTTGCTGAAACAGAAGCTGCATTTGTATTCTACAATCATTTTCTCACAGTGGGGCAGGTTTATATGTGTAAAAGAAATAGGACCTATATTGTGGTAAAATCTGTTTTTAATAACCTTTTTTAATTTGTAAAGGCATTATCCAATATAACATTGGTTCTCAGTTCTGAGCATATTCATAAAGCCTGTTAACATTGTCTTTGTTCAAGTTCAGCTTATTTATTTCCATAACCCGTACTTAAACATTAACAAAGTTGACTACCATTGTGTCAAGAGTCGTGTCTGGCCAGTCATGAAAGAGATTTGAGTCTGTGCCGCATGAATTCATTTATAACCAGGTCCAAAGTAGGTCTGGAGGTAAAAAGAAATCAGGTCTATGGTTACCGCCAAAATAAAGTTGTAGGTATGTGCAGTATACAATACACTCTTATTATACTGGATCACGTTTGTTCTTAACCTGTGCTGGTTGCTAAGAAGCTTTTAGAGGACCTTTTTTTTAAAATCAGGTATACATTTGGAATACAAGTCGTTAATATCAGCAAGTGCAATGTACCATTATTAATCACAGCTGAAATCACTGTAGAGAGTTATGAGTCAAAAGTAATTCATTTTTTATTTACAGTCGTATGATTACAAAATCCACACGCCCACAAGGACAAAAAGTCACCAGCACAGTTTGTAAACGTGAAACACCTCGTCTGTTTTTGATCTCAAACCTTTCACTTATTTAAAGATCCCATGAAATGGCAACTTCTTAAAAAAAACAGCTCCTTCCTAGACAGCAGTGGATCTTTAGTGGTGAAAGGTGAACTTACAAGTCCAACTATTTGTCATCTGATCATTGTGCACATAGTATTAACCTTACTGTCAAATGTCCCCACAACACTGTTTTCAAAAGGAAATACAAAGGGGCGTTGCGGTGGCCTCGTGGTTAAGATGTAAAATTTACTGAAACCGCTGGGTGCGATTCTGGTTGAGGACTTCTCTTGCAGGTCACTTTCCCTTGCTCCTCCATTTCCTGTCACCTCTCTACTGTCCACCTTCGAATAAAAGCAAAAAATGTCCCCAAAAGACATAATTCCCCCACTTCACAGGACCTTTACACTGGAAGTACTACTTTGCTCCACCAGTTTATTACACGTGTGACACTGTTGCTTTTTCTGCTACTGAGCAAAGAATTCCTATGTCTCAAGTCAGTTCAAACTAAATATGACCATTAAAGCATACTAAATCCAAATATTTCTGTTTTTACTAACTTTTATTTTGCAGTGAAGTTGGTATTTGTTAATGTGCTGCCATTTTAATTCTGCTACGTTCTGTTATGAATCAACAACAGTCCAATTCATGTACTTTAAAATCCTTGTATTTACAGTATACTGGTGCTGAGGAAATGGCCAACCACTTAAAACTCAATATACTGGAAAAAGCCAAAGGACAAATATGATCAACATACTGTTTAGACAGTGCAAATGGCTTTTTATCTGCAGAAGAATCCAAATGAATAACTACAAGTTTGCAGCACCACTTTCATGGGATGCCACATATAGATTTTGGACACAGATTAGGTCAGTGTAACAGGCAATTAATAATGGTACCTGCAAGTTTGCAGTCAATCCTCAATGAAAACCTTTGTGCACAAGTCACCATCTAGTGGCTTAGTAGAACAAATACAAGACACTTCAGTTGATATTATGTTGGTCTAACGCATGTAATGGAAATGTTTCAGTGAATAAAACACCTGATCACATTATATCAATAGGGTTTCAAATAAAAAGCAGCCCTGTGTTTTGATAGAAACTGACTTCAGGTCTGAATTCTCTGACTTTCCTTACTTCTCACAGTAAAATATTTTATATAAAAGTACTTTTTTGCCATTTGTTTAACAGCATTATCAAAATACTACAGAAGTGAAAAAAAGGTTGAAACGAGTTTAGTAGAAAAAAAAAAAAAAAAATCCAACTTTACATCCAACACATCAAAATCATAACTGAATGGCCCATCATATCCATGTCACCTGTCACATACGGACTAAGTACTCAGAGGCTCAAATGCTCACTGCCAAGTCTTTTATGTTCATTTTGTTTGCAATTGACAAGATTCTACGGTTTTCTGGCCGACTTATTAACTGCTGACTTAGTAATTTAAATGATATCTCGTGACAGACAACAGAGAAATTGCGTGGTGCCTTTTTGTAATGACGATGAGTAACAACAAATAAAAAAAGAAATTGAGAAGTGATGACTTCCTCTGCCAGGTCATAGTCCCTGATGTGTCTGCTGGTAACCTGAGAGTCAGCAGCTTTAAGAAACAGATTAGATGAGTAGTGAAGGGGTGGGTTTCTTGCCCGGCCAAGCTTCTTTGGCATACTTCTTTTTGCGTGGCTCGTTGTGGGTCTCTGGTAGGTATGGGGCTGTGACAGGGGTGGGGTTTAGGGTGACAGGGGGCTGGGGAGCCTCTGGGGCCAGGTCCACCTCTGGTGCTGGATTGGGGAAAGGCAGAGGAAGCCCTCCCTGCATAGCAGCACCTCCTGGCGCTCCTGTTGGCTGGTTCTCATGACTGGTGGGAGGCAAGTCCCCATAGAGACCACCGCCCAAGCTGTAGCCGTGGATGCGTTTTGAAGTCAGGTCGTCGAGACCCAGAGTGTTTTGGCCCTCTGATCTGCGTTTCTGCAGCAGGGATGACAGAGTATTAACTTCACAAGTCATACATTCAGCCCCTGACATTACACCTTCACTACCTTTGCAGGTCATAAACCTAACCCACTGCAAATGATCAACATCTATGCAATATATATAAGTACACTACTTATTTTCAGTTGAAACAGACCATAACCAAACCCTGGTGCCATGCTCACGCAGGAGCAGTTTTTATTCTTGCTTAAAAGTAACAACACACAGTAATACTTTGTATCCTGTCAACTGAAATGTGCCAACTAAATCAGAACTTTTTAAATGACAAAACCAAAGCTTACCTTGATAGGGATGACAGCAGTCTGCACCATATTTCTAAAGCGTCCCACTGAGGGGTCTATATCCTCTGTAAGTATTTAAAAAAAACAAGTGTTACAATTTATTGCTGGGTGCATTTCTTCTTTTCAAAAGTAGAAATGCACATATTGGATCAGTGATATAGCTTGGTTATATATTGACAGCATGACAGGAAGCCCCCTCATAGCAAAACCCTTCCAAATAAATCCAGAAAATTAATTAATTAGATGTTTTCTGTCTCTGAAAGTTTTGTGCCAAACTTAGATTGTGAAAATATATACAAGCCAAATTACAGTTGTTTTAACATAGAGTTGTTTCATGGTATGCAGTGTTTGTGTTTTCTTCAATACTGCTTTCACTTTGATTTGTACCTGGGTTAATAATGGAGTCCTCTTCATTGAAGGTCACCCTGGAGTTCCTCCGTTTCCTCTTAGGTCTCTGGATTTCCAGGTTACCCTCCTCAATGGTCAGTAGGGAGATGCGCTTGTTGTGAGCTGTGTTGAACTCTGTAAGGTTCTGGTGGAATGCAGACAAGAAAAGAAAAACGTGTGTAATGCGGCTGCACTGATATCAAGATATTACTACTTTATAACACAACAATATAAAAGACTGAGCAGGAGAAGGACAGATAGCATCATAAAACTAAGGGGGGAGTTAACAGAGCTACTTGTCATTAATAGGCATAAACAGGCCATACAATCACTAGTTCTTATGTTAATGTTATGTAAACATTTTTGGACAGCGCATTTTGTTTTATTACTACTCATACAATTTATAAACTGTAAAGATTGAAACAAAATGCTAAATATTAAACTTGATGAACAAATCTATAAAAATAAAACAATAATTAAGACACAAGACGCGGCCATTTTCTTTCTCTGTTACAGTGTATTGTTGAGAGCATTACAATGTTGTTTTCAAGAAACTAAATGTACCTCCAGCTCTGTTTCTTCCTCTGGAAGCCCAAGCAGTCCTTTCAGCTCCTCATCCTCTCCTGTTTTACTGTCCCCTGTGCCAGCGGTGCCCTGGGTTTGGGGTTTCTCTCTGATGGTGTAGGTCCGTGTTGAGGCCCCAAAAGATATTGTAGAGTCAATGGGAACCTGCTGAGGCTTGTGTGCCTCCAGACGGATGTGTCCAAGGAAAGTACCGTGTGCTAAAACAGTGACATTCAGGAAACAGGATTTGCACATGTTAGGAAAGGTTATTCATAGTTTGCAGATGTTACATTGTGGGATTCAGTCCTGGTGGAAATGCATGTGTTGCTGTCATGCTAAGCCTGAGAGACGGAGAACAATACTTTAAGATGGCTCTGCAAACCATAAGACTTTGTCTTACAAGTGTGATTGTAAAGAATGTCTTACTGCTGTTGAGGTCTATGAGAAAGACCCTTTTCAGGTGTTTGTGGTAGACCAGGGCAGCATGGACACGCGAGCATGACTGATGATCGATGGTGAAGTCGCACCAGTCGGGGTTCCTCCCAAACAGGTAGTACTTCTTTTCATCTATGATCAGTTTCTAGAAGGGAGAGACAAGTTTCAGTGAATCATGGTCATTAAAGCCACGGGGGGGTTAAGGTCTGCAAGCACTCTGCAATGTGCCCCTGAGCCATAACTCAACAGTGTTACTTCCCACTGAAAAGCTTAAATCTCGGGGCTAATGTTGCTTTTGCACCGTTTGAAGCCATGCAGCCATAGAAAACCGAGGTGGACTGTCAGGCTTGTATCTGGTGCATTCAACAAACGTACCACCCAGCATACCACAGTAGCATTAACAGCATTGAGCTGATTTCCAGTTACCTCCATTAGTTTGTCTCCCTTCATCACGTCTAAATGGAGCCCTGGGGGCGGCTTGCCTGCCCTGAAAGAAAACAGCTTTGTGAGCGTTTAAAACATTTAAAACAGAACATTTCTGCAAAGCTGACACACTACACACAATACATTAATAACTTTGCTTGGTTTTTCTTGTATCGCTTGAAGATTAATTCATAAAAACGAGTGCTTGGACCTCTACAGTCAGCTTATGGAAACCTCTACTGCGGTCGTCATCATCTAAAGCAACGCTATCACACATCTAGACACAAGGTTAGCAGTGTTAAAATGTCCTATCTATATCACAGAAGGCCTCCTGTTGTTCGTAAGTTGCGCTCTTGTAATTAAACATGTGGAGCATCTTCTAGAAAAGACGACAACACACAGCCCAACGCCATTTCTAAACCAATGGCAGCGTTAACGGGTTAGCTTGCTAGCTGGCATGGTTGCTAACGTTAGCTACAGTAACTACAAGCTTCCCTCTGAGTAAAAGTGAGTTGTATAAATAAGTCAGCGTTTTTGGGTTTTTTTTAGCTCGTTTGCATCTGATATTGCATTACAGACAAGTAGTTACAACTTTCGCATGTGCATTTTCTCACCATGTTGGACAATCAAAAGGTGGAGGACTCTCTTTGCTTATTTTAGTCGCCATCTTGCCTCATCTTCTCAGAGCCGCGCTGCATGCTGGGTAAACGTCTCTTTGGGTTTTTGGGAGTTGTAGTCAAAATACTGCAGCACGAGTACTGACAGGAACTAGGCAAATAGATCACATCTCTCCTGTACTGGCTTCCCTGTAAAATGTAGAATAGAATTTAAAATCCTCCTCCTCACCTATAAAGCTCTTCATGGTCAGGCCCCTTCATATCTTAAAGAGCTCATAGTACCCTATTACCCCACTGGAACACTACGTTCTCTGAATGCTGGGCTACTTGTGGTTCCTATAGTCTCTAAAAGTAGAACAGGAGCCAGAGCCTTCAGTTACCAAGCTCCTCTCCTGGGGAACCAGCTTCCAGTTGTGGTTTTGGAGGCAGACACCCTCACCACATTCAAGAGTAGGCTTAAGACATTCCTCTTTGATAAAGCTTATAGTTAGGGCTGGATCAGGTGAGTCCTGAACCATCCCTTAGTTATGCTGCTATAGGCCTAGACTATCAGGGGATTTCCCATGGTGCACAGAGCTCCTCTCTTCCTCTCTCTTTCTGCACTCATTCATGTCCCTTTAATGCATGTTACTAACTTCACTTCTTCCCCGGAGTTCTTGTGCCTTCTCGTCTCGCAGGTTCTTATCGATCCTGGTGGAGCCTCCTGCCATGGTCCTGCTAGATTGCCATTACCAGTACTGTTGTTGCTGTGCACCTGTCTGTCTGTCTGTCTGTCTCTCTGTGTCTCTGTCTGTCTGTCTGTCTGTGTCTCTCTCTCTCTCTCTCTCTCTCTCTCTCACCCCAACTGGTCGAGACAGACGACCACCCACCTAGAGCCGGAGGATCTGTCCTAGGTTTCTGCCTTTTAACAGGCAGTTTTTCCTTGCCCTTGTTGCCAAGTGCTTGCTCATGGTGGTACTGTTGGGTCTCTGTAAATAATGTTTTAAAGAGTTCGGTCTAGACCTGCTCTATTTGAAAAGTGTCCTGAGATAACTTCTGTTATGAATTGGCGCTAAATAATAAAATTGAATTGAATTGAATTGAATTGAATAGTCTTACAATCCCAACACGTTGCATTCAAATTAGGCCACCAGAGCCATTTGATAGAATATATTATGTCCCTTAACTTAAACTAAAAGAGGGTAAACTCTTCATACTCTCATTGTGCTAGCATCAAGTGAGGGGTATTGCAGTGAATAAGAACAACTTTGAACTCCCTCTAGAACCACTAGGGGTCCTCAAATCCCAGATATCTGACTAACTAACTGCTACAAAAAAATGTCTTTGAATTACTCTTGTTGTTGTGTATAGGTGTGAGAACCTGAACAAGACAGGTGTTTTCAGATGTGAATATTCACTGCAAGGGCCTTGCACCTAACAACATGTTATGTCTTGACTCTGGTTACTGAGGAAAAGCATACATTTACATTTTCTCTACACAAGTAACACAGGTGTTTAGTCGTGGTAGCATCTCTTGTGGCATTGTTGGATCATGGAAAAGAGAGGGGGGGAGCCCTCCAAGAGATTCACCCAGTAGACTAGGCTGATCTTTGAGGAAAGTGGAAAGTGTTGTGGGTTTTGTCAGATGCTGTGAGGGGCTGCTTCGTCATGTCACAGAGGTGGGAGGATGCAGAACAGATCAGCAGAAGGAAGTGAGGCTGCTTTTTTTTTTTGTGTGTGCTATGTTTCTGAGAGAATAGAGGGTATTTTCCCCCGTTAACTGATGTGTCACATTTGACCTGGATATATTTGGAGTGAAGGGTGGTACAGAGACTAAAAAGAAATTTCCAGAGAAATCAGAGAACCCTTTTCTGGATCAGCTGGGTGAAACTTATCTGTCCTTCATGTCAAGTATCAACCATTACCGTGTGACAAACTGGGGGAGATCTTCTATTTGGAGCTGTGTAATCTGTCCACACAGTTTGTTATGCTTGACATGACGTCAAACCCCCTCATTTTGCAACAAAATTAGTGTGGGAACTTGCAACTTGCATTTCCCACACGCACACACATATTCAAATTTGGACACCTTTCCTTAGAAAGGTATACATCTTACTGTCCTTTAGTGATAGCAAACCAAGGCTTTAGATGCAGTCAGTTAAATATGACGACCGCTGCACTTCCTTGCCACTTGGGTTCAGAAGTTACAAGTGTATACAGCCCTGGCTGTTACAGTTTCTCTCTCTCTCTCTCTCTCTCTCTCTCTCTCTCTCTCTCTCTCTCTCTCTCTCTCTCTCTCTCTCTCTCTCCTGCCCTTTGGTTATGTTTGGTTTAGTTCCTCTTCAGTTTTTCCCTTTACTTGTACGGACCCCAGAACATTTTTGTACTATCTCCACTTTCATGCACACTCTACACCACTAATTTCACTTTCTATGTGTTTTGTGTACTTCTATTATGTATTTATTTAATTTCAATTTGTTTAATGCATTACTTTTGAAAATAGTGTGAGTCCCTCTGAAATATAGCAACATAAGTAACAGAATAAATACATTTCACACCTTTAAACATTGACAGTATTACAAGGCCTATCGATTGGCTTCCATCTCTGACTGCAAGTATTGTGCAAACCACTCCTGTAACTTCCTCATTCAGTTTTGTGGTTTCTGACTGAGAAAGCATTCTCCATATATGCTGCTCTTGTCATTTGCTGTCTGCCTTCCTTTCTGACACACACTGAGGCAGCAGTGATGGCAGACACAACTGCTTTGCCACTTCAGCAATTAATTGCATCTTTGGACAACACTTGTTTGCCAAAAATTCTACAAGTTTGCTCTGGAGTTTATTTCCAAGGTAGGCCTTTTATTGTTTGATTCTATTGTGAACCTAAACTGTGAGAGTAGATAAGGACAACGCTGAAGAGATTAGAGATTAGAGTTGAGAACGCTCCAGATACTCCAGATTTTTGTATTGTGTCTGTGTCTATTGCATACATTTATATCTATCTAGTGTACATGTTTCCTTCTTTTCTAAACTCCAAATCAGACGTTGTAGCAAAATCAGATTGAGAATTAGTTTTAGTAGAAATGTTTGTATTGTTCATGATTGATAATTTTAAATTTATTAGAAGAGTAGTAAGATTGTGTCCCAGTTATATACAGCACAATACGAAAACATATAGGAAAACAGGTTATTTATCCTTGATATAGCTTCTCATTGCTGTGCTTGTTGTCTTGTTCCTTCTTTACTCGATTTCTTACTTTCTGTTTCAGGGTCTATATATGAGATTTCTGGGAGTGAGGTATGCTTTTCCACTGGGGATCTAATAAAGGTCATTGGCATTGAGCTCTTATCAGTTTGCTGTGAAGACATCGACAACAATGAGAAGTTTGAGCTGCCTATCAACCACACAGGTCGGTCTGAGCTAAAGACAACACTTGTGAGAACAGCTAAGTTTGTTTTGTAGCTAACTACTGACTTTCTTTTAGCTGACCACTGACACTTGTTGCTGTTTCTCAGGCTTGTAGCTGACCACTGACACTTATTACTGTTTCTAAGGCTTTTAGCTGACCACTGACACGTGTTGCTGTTTCTCAGGCTTGTAGCTGACTGCTGCACTGACACTGGTTACTGTTTCTCAGGCTTATTCAAGGTTGTTCCAGAGGAGATGCCATACAACACAGTCGAGGAGATGGTTAGTCTGAGGCCTGTGGGTCTGGACTCCTGCCTTCCCTTCACTTTCACCAGCCGCTCCAAGATGACCTTTGATAATTTCACTGTTGGGGCCGGGACAGCTTTGACAGTGCTCTCCATTGAACATAACACGGGTCAGGAGGATCAGGTGCGCTGCCATGTTCAAGGACAACAGGAGGCCTCTGCAGAAGTGCATATCCCACTTTCTTCCCACGGGCAGTTCATTGAGTGCGAGAGCGTGGAGCGCTTCACTCTGCGGGAGATCATGTCCTCGCCCTGCCTGCGTAGTCGAAAGTTCCGCTTTGTCAACACCACCAAGTGTGAACGACCCCTTGTTCTCACTCCCATATACCAGGTCAACGCCATCATGCACTGTGAGAATAATCTACTTTTTAATTTGAAAAGAATGAAAATGATCTGAATCTTAAATACATAACGGTTATTCTTTTTGCTTACCGTAAAACTACAATTAAAATCAGGGTCCCAGTTAGACGCAGGTCCCCTTTATGAGCTTGGTGTGGCTACACGTTTTGACAAATCAATGAAGGTCTCAGTAAGATGCCTGGTCTGGATTTTAAAGAAATTCTCTAGATATATAAAACCTCTTAAAAACCCACTTTTGTCAATACGGACATGCTACACAACATTAGATCAGTTAGATTCTCCACCATCCAATTGTTCAGTTAATTTTACAGAAATGATTGGTCACTAATATGTTATTTGACGTAATAGTAAAGTAATATTCATACTGGTTTAAATAAACAATTTGATAGTATTTCCCATCTTTGCTGAGGAACAGTTTTATGGCAAAGAAATGAAAGGCCTGTCCCATGAAGACACCTGTTCCAAATATGAGCAAGTTGACTTCAGTGATTAAAGCACATAAAAGCCCGGGTCATTATTTGAAGTTTAACGGTATTTGCACACATTGTTCATTGGTTGATCAGAAATGATTAACATATCTGTAAATTACATTGTAATTAGTGTGCAAATTAGAGCACAATGTAACATTTTATGTACTCATTACTGCACTTAACAGACGTTTCCTTTTATGCTTCTTTAATTCAATTTAATTCAGTTTTATTTGTGTAGCACCAATTCATAACAAAAGTTATCTCAGGACACTTTTCAAATAGAGCAGGTCTAGACTGTACTCCTTATAAAATGATTTACTGAGACCCAACAGTTCCTACCATGAGCATATCTCACAACATTTGAAAGGCAAATATTCTACTTTTACCACTCCATTTATCTCCCAGTTTAGAGTTAGTACTTGTGTGCTGATTGAGATTTTGTACAGAAAAGCAATGTAACACTTTACAATAATGATGATGCAAAGTGGTGCATCATACTGACTAGTTAGTCATAGTTAGTCCTTTGTTATTTCATGGTCATTATTACGCTTATTTACTCTTCTAAAGTAAAGTGGTGATCATTCTGAGTGGTTACTGAGTGCTGAATCATTACTTCGTCATTATTTTATGAATGTGAGTGATTAAAATTACACCCTTGGAAATACTGCTATAAATACCCTGGCATGGTAGTCCATAGCAACCTTTAACAAAATGATAAGCTTATTCTACATAAACTATGAAAACTATTTAAAAAAACGATTCAATTAAATTTATAATGTATTACTTTCTTCATTCTTTTTTATTATTATTACTTAGTCAAATACAGATACGCAAAGATGATTGCTGGGTAATATGTACTGATATATACTTGATGTTGTCAGGTGTCAAGTCTTGTTTAGGTGACAAGATGATATGATATATACAGTGTCTTGTTTGGGTGCAAAAAAAACATCTACAGGCTGAACGAGCAGTTATGCCTTTCACACATATAAGTGTCACTTAGTGTGCACTGGGGCCCGTCATAACTACGCTACTGTACTCAGTAACCCCTCAGTATTATGCAATGACATTACTTAATGGCGTTACTAGTTTTGTGCTGTTCGTTCACCGGCTGGTTCAGATGAAGAAAGTTGTCAGTGTGATTGTTTCACAGATATTCATGAACGAATCATTACCTAATGATTCATTAATATAAGATCACCCAGTCTGTTCTCCAGTAACTCATGATTATCTACTATGTAGTCCACCATTAGGAATTATTAAGGAACTGCTTATTAACAATCATCAATTACCAAGTTATGCCTGATTCGGTCCTTACTCGTTTCTCAATTAGGTAAACATTAACTAATCTATATCTTCTCTATAAAATTTGATCAAAAGTCACTCATTAACTAATTGTTCACTAGCAGTTAGTTCCTCATTCATTCATCATTTATTTGTTCCCTGGAAACTCAACTCAAAATTGTGTGTCCCTTATTGTAAAGTGTTACTGATTAAATTACCCTACAGTAAATCGCCTTGACCAACATCAATGCATTAGTAAAAATAACTCTTAGAAAAATCTTTAAAAAAAATAAATATAATATACTGCTGTACTTTAAATAAAGGATTTTCAATGTAGGAGTATTTTTGTATTGCTACTTTTATTAGTTGTACTTGCATCTCGCAAGGTTCTGAATACTTCTTCCATCACTGATAAAGCATGCTGTAGTCTGGTTTTAGTCAATTTAATTTCATCATGTGCCTCTACTACATTTTCTCACATAATTTCTCTCATTCTTTGTACAGTGAGGAAGAATATATTGAAGTTTCCCTCCAGCTTAGAGGTGGATGTGGTCGATGTCACTGAGCTGTGTAAGGATGTGAATTTTGTGACTCCGCTCAGTCTGACAGAGGTCCTTTCCAAGCCAGAGGAGTCCTTCCCTGCAGTAGTGGAGATACTAGAAGGCCCAGAGACCCGCTCTCTGTTCAAGTGCAGCTGGCTGCCACAAATTAGCCAGAACAGCCACCTGGTTTTCCACAAGGTAGGAACCTCAGCCATGGTTTTGTTATCCAGCTTGAAGGGCCGAAAGACACAGCAGTACTTCCTGGTATCTCAGCAATACGGTGGACGATTTCGGAGGCGGCCAAGAGAGTTTAACTCAGTGTACGAGCTGTATGTTGCTTCAGTTCAGGCACCAGGTCTGAAGTTCAGTGTGACAAGGAACTGTGACGAAGTCGAGGAGGAGGGCCTGCCTGCCCTCAGTGTGGGGGAACAGCTGGAGATTGTTCGCTGCGAAAGGATGGAGTTGCCTTGTGGAAGTAGCACGGGACAGAAGCAGTCCGTCGAGGCCCTTTTGTGTCAGCGTCTCCAAGAGGCGGATGATGGAGATGAGAACGATGATGATGAAGAGGAGGTCAAGCAGGAGGATGAGAGAGAGGAGATCTTTCTGCCTCTGTACATGCAGGGTCACTTTGTGGAGGTGCTCACTGATAACAAGAAGTACAAACTCAGGGACCTGGGCAAGGAGTTTAACCTGCCGCTGGATGTTAAAGTCGTGAGCCGTGATACTGAACTCGAGACTGATCCACTATCCGGGTTTGCATGTCTCAGAATAGAGGGGGCTATGTTAGAGCCCACCATCCAGGCAAGCTTTCCAAACAAGCCAGACCACTGTTTTGAGATCCCAACCCAGTGGCTCTCTATGTCTGTCTCTTTCACCAGAGACCCCCTGCCATGGCCCAGCGGTGAGCCTCCTAAGTGGCATGTGGACAGGGTTACTGAGGTGACAGACACGTTCTTTTATGAATATCGCAAACAGGGGAACTCAGATGCGGCTCCTCCACCTCGACCACCAAAGCGAAATCTGACGTCTTCAAAGTCCTGCAAAAAAGCATCAAAATCCTCGAAGAAATCATCCAAGGGAGACAAGTCCAAACATCGACCAGACAAAAGCACCCCAACCAAAGAGTTAGCTAATTTGACTTTAAATACCAAAAAGAGGCCCCCAGCTCCCCCACCTCCAGTAAGTATCACTTAGTCTCACTTTTCTCACACATGACATATGTTAACTTACTGAGTATGATTGCATTTTCTCACAATGTGACTTTCAGGAAATCTCATACTGGTCAGAAACAGCTAACTTTGCATGCAAGATGTTTCCTCTTTGTGTTGTGGTAAAGAATTCATCTCTATAATAAAACTTCCTCTTATTGTGCAGGCTATCTTAGATGATCAGCCTCCACCGATCGTACCCCGAAAGCACTCAGCAGCTGAAGTGACAACAGGGAAGGCTCTGCCCAACACCTATGTGGAAAGGGAGGACTCTAAGAAAAAAGGTGAAGCTCTTTTTTCAGACTTTATCACACAGATTTCAGACATACTGCCAAAATTTAAAGGATCATTTAGATCAACAAGTCCCATGAAAAGACCAAAACCAACAATACTTTACAACTCTTCTTCATTTTTTAAAGCTATTAATTTAAAAAGTGACTCAAGCAGGTGCAAATATTGCATTTGTTTGGGACTATTTTCAGCTGCTCATTAATACACATTTGGTGCTTAAGTAACTATTTAGGGCATCAGGAGAGTGTATGTGCGATTAACTCAAAATAACATGTTGGCCACAAGAGGTGTGTCATTGACTAAAGCACAACAAATAAATGAACAATTTATTGTTGGTTCCTGTACTCTTTTTTAATTGGATTTATTAATAGTATTAAAAATTCAAAATACAGAATATTACTAATAGATGAATCATTTTTTTTACCCCAGTGCTGGTGTGTGAAGTCGAAGCAGATGTGGACAGCGACCACGACTATGAAACTGTGGACGACAATTTGGTGGCAATGATGAAGGCAGCCCAAGAGAATGTCATGTTTTACTAAAATGTTCTACAGCAACAGTGAAATATTATTATATTAAGTATTTACTGTTGTAGTATTTGTCGAAATGTTATTGTACCTTTTGTATTTTTTGTTCAAACTTCACAGCAAATAGTTGATCTAACGTATATGGTAGTTTTTTTGGGGGGGTTGTAGCTTGTAGTTTTGTATACAATACCATTATATTGTGCAATACTAGCTGTTACTGTACATAGTCCATCCTGGAACAAAACAGCAAGGCTCTACAGTATAATACAGTCCTTATATGATGCAAGAAACAACACCCTAAAAAATGACCAGAGTTAAATCAATATCTTGTATCAAAAAAAATGCACATTTATAAGCTTCACAAATGTGATCGTACAGGCATTTAATGCATGTCAAACTCCTACAGTATATATGCAAACTCTAAACAGAGAGGGCTCAAACCAGTCCTTGTTTGGAGGCAACAGTCCTAACCACAAACATGACAAAATGGCTGCTTCTCATATGCTAGCGCTAGAAGCTCTTATAGCTGTAACGGCAAACTATTGATCTGAGAGTACAAAAAGGTGCTACACATTGTATGTATTCCTGTTTTTTTGTTTTGTTTTGCTTCATTGAAATAACTTGTTGGACTTCCTTTTAATTATATGGACTGCGAGCCTTTATAATAGACAATTTCCTTCAGTGTGCTATGTTCATTTATTTTACCGCTGAAACCAATACGTATGTAATACAATTGCAAAACTGGAGGTGCATTTTATACTTAAGACATTTTTTTTTCTCCATCTTTATAAGATGTGGCTTCAGAATGCACTCACACCTATTTAATTAATTCATATTTTAAAAGCTTTTTTACTATGTGAACCAGTAAGGCTGTATAGACGGATTTCTGCATCATGCCCAGTCAACTTAATGTGCCACAGCTGGACACAATCAAGTAAACATCTCAAGTGTGACCTTAAATACAAGTGGTTAAATTCAGTTTGTGGTCTCACAGCTATGAATACACATGTAAATTTAGTATCTGTGCAGGGGTGGGTGGGTGGGTAACTGTCTTAGATGAAGGTTTAATGTGACAAAATGTGGAAAAGTGAAATGGCTTGAATGATTTCTAAACCCACTGTCTAGACTATATCCATTAAGGATATAACAAAGTTATATAGAAAAATGAGTAATATGTGTAAATTATGAAACAAAAGAGTTCTGGTAGATGACCCAACTGTACTTTGTATAATCTTTTAATTTTGGCAGAAGTATGTTACATAGACAAAAACTGAGTGCTTATGTTCCAAGTCTTTAAAATATGAAAATGCTTTACAATGGAGATGGGGAATTCAGAATAGTATTAACAGCTTCTTAAACAGCAAAACCCCCTGGACTTACAAGCAGAAGCAGAAGCAATTTGAGGAATACAGGAGGTGTAAAGGTCTTACTAAATATAAAGCATGTTTTTTTTTTTCTTCAACTAACAACCACCACAGTACCTTAACAGAGAAGGCCTTATTTCACTCAGTTCGCTGGCATTAATGAGGTCAGAGGGATAGTGATTTAGTGGATAGATTTCAGTTATAAAACCAATACTAATGATTTTTATCAGGTTAAATTCACATAAGTAAACCCACTAGTGCTAAGAAGGTGAAGGGGTCTATTCATCATTGTCTGTTGATTTGTAGTGGTCTTCGTCGATGGTGGAAAAGATGTGACCTTCATTGCTTAGGAACTCCACTGCTTGCCTGTTAGAGCACAACGAGAAATATTAATGGTATTTTGAAGCACTTTTTATATAAACCTCAAGTATGCAAATAAAACTTCTCAACATATTAAAACAGTCTGACACCTCTGATTTCTGTCTCTACTGAAGTAGCTTTTTGACACATTTACAATACGTCAATCAATGATTCAATGATTTTCAAGCAAAACACAAAACATGAACTGGTTTGTGGTTGACGCAACACAGATGAGACAGATCATTTTTCAAGCCAGCTAGTGTGAATGTTCTGTGTCTTCTTAAGCTGAAGTTACAGTCACTGAGCTACCACCAAAAAGTCCCTGATCATATCATTAACACAATGCTCTATGGTTGTAACACAGTAACTGACTTCACTGTCCAAATTTCTAAGAACGCCACATTGCAAAATTTTCTATGGCTGATTATCCCCTTAAACTTAAAGAGGAACTTCTCTTACTTGATGACACCCAGGCTTATACCACTGAGTCTCTGCTTCAGGTCCTGAATGCTGATTCCCTGGGGGTCTGGACAGCTTCTTATCAAACTCAGCACCTTGTGAGATGAGCAATGACATATTAAAAACATGCACACATTAACAAACTGCAAATACAGAAACATCCTTCAGCTTTAGCAGCTTCTCTTTGTGAAACCATTACTTCTTTTTCTGATTAAACTATTTTCATGTAAATCATATTTATAGTCAGGAGGAGACAGAAATTGTGTGCTTTATTTATAAAGTTTCACAGTCAGTGTTAAATCAGTATCCAGGAAACTGACACTGAGTGATCCCCATATAATAATGACGCCAACCGTTCAAAAGCAGTGTGTTCTAAATTTCTCATTATAATGTATCATATAGGCTCACCTGATTCTGGTTTGCGCTTAACCCATTGTTAACCATGTTGTTAGCGCCTGCATAACTCCCTCCTGTGCTTTCCATGACAGGCCGTGATGGGGGTGTGATGTTACTGCTCACTCCTCCTTTAGCACCAGAAACTGACTGAAAGAGAAACAAAACAAAAAAATTGCTTTGATAAATTTCCTAGTAAAAACACAAAAGTACATCCCCGAACACAAATACTTGTAACAAGATATGTGACAACAGCAAATTTGAATTCTGTATGATCCTCTATGGCTACACTACAACAGTGTTGGTATGCAGAAGCCCGGTACAGTATAGTCTCCTCAGATTATAGTTGTTATCAGTTTAAGAACTTCATTGCTTTTAAGCATCACATTGATGTGTGTTTTATACTTACTAACAGCTAACCTGACTTCCTTACTTTTGGGGTTTTGAAACAAACGATAAAGCCTGCTGAGGTTTATACTGAAGAGTTCTCACCGTGCTTTGAGGTTTGCCGAGCGCCATGTGTGCTTGGACAACCTCCAGCATGTGTGAGGTGATTTCATTCATGTCCTCCAGCGGCCTGACGCCGAATGCCACGACAGACCTGTGGTTCTGACACCGGAAAAAGAGACACACCCCCTTAGTCAGTCTTAACATGGCAGAATTCACGGAGTACTGTGAGACATCCTCCCTCGCAAACTGTGTTGCATGTATTCCAAGAAACAAAACAAAAACCATGTTGGTCAATAGATCACAGCCTTCTCGAGTGGAACGAAATAAAATTCATATTTATGGCACCAAAAAAATCGTAAGGGATAATAAAGCTCCATTTGATTTGTTTCTGGGAACTGCGGAGACCATTTTAGGACAGTAAACTCACCTGAAAGGAGCGCAGATTGCCTGAAACTTTGACGTACGTTCCTGGAGGCAAGACAGTGCTGTCCACGCTGGGGTCCTATAGAAACCAAAACAACCGTGTCGCTAAAGGGCATGGTTTATGTGGTTTACCAAAACATAGGCTATGCTTCAGCACGCTACAGCTTCTGAAGAATGATGTGGGGGCACGCTTGTGGCAAAAAAAAAGTTTTGCATTATTGTCATAGCACCTTACATTGTATGTTACATTTGGGCTTACATTCTTAATTCATGCTGCTATGACTGCTTATACTTACTGAAGTTACTGTTACTCGGAACAATAAAATGATCTCATATCAAAAAGAATTCAACGTTTAAATGGTTAAAGAGCCTCAGCTGAACAGGAAACCACCAACAATGTGGCCTTCTCAGTAGCAGGTGTCATTTATCGCATGTTTATATTTCACAGACAAATGGTTGTATTTCTTCTTTGCATGAATTACTGAGAATACTACAACAGCAGAAATTCAAGTTTAAAAGCACCCTCACTTACCTCAGTGTCAACCCACTGCTTCACATCCATGGGAGCACCTGTCATGTCATCGACCTTGTACTGGATGTTGGTCATGGATTTATCAGTGCTCCTGATGATACCCACGATGGTGACCTATGATACAGAACATGAACTCTTCTCTTATGTGGTACATGTGGCAATAAAAAAAAAATATGTTGATCAATAGTGGTTGTGTTTTTTCTCACAATACATAATAGCCAATTTTCCAAGCACTGTGGTCCTTGTCAAGTTAACTCCCACTTTTGAGCGGGGGGGGTATACCTATTGTGACCTCGCAACTAGGGATGCTACTAACATTTTCATTATTGATTAATCAGCTGGTTATTTTCTTGCTTTTTTTTTAAATTGAAAATGATAGAAAATAGAGAAAAGATTATGTATTCAAATTGTTTGTTTTATCCAACTTACAATACAAAACCCCCAACATACTCATGTTTAAGAAACTAGAACTTATAAAATGTTTGGCATTTTAGCTAGAGAGAATACTGAAATGATGAATCAAATATCGAAAAGGAATTGCTGACTGTTTATTCTGTTGCCCTTCCCTTTTTCATACCATTGTAAATAACTTTGTGGTTTGGACTGCTGGTTGGACAAAACAGGCAATGTAAACTAGGGCTGCACAATTAATCACAATATGGCCGAGTGCAACATTCAACACAGCATTATATTGAAGTATTGTTTTTCTGAAGAGATCCCCTAATAATCATTACTTTCAGCCCTACTGTAAATGCACCACTAGACACTATTGAGAGTTATTTTCATGTTTTTCCAAACATACAGACCCTGCTTTACTTCAGCTTACCTGGGCAACTTCCACATCTCCTACTTTGAAGGCCTCATCTGCCTGGGAAGCAGACATCAGTTGCGAGACTGTGCATGGGATTATCTGTGTGGCACGGGTTCTCTGTAAAACATACACACACAGACAGACAGACAGACAGACAGACAGACACTGGTTGACTGCTGTGCCTCACTCTTCAAATTGTCAGTCGGTGTTTCCATCAGATCAGTACACATACACAATAAATGTAGTACAAGTACAAACCCCTTTCTTCTCTCCTCCCTGGGATGGGGCAGGAGATGCAAAGCCTCCTGCAGACTGAGTGTAACCTCCGACCATACTCGACTCACCTGAAACACAAATATGTTATAGTTATATTTATATAAGTTATAGCTGAGGACTGGGAGCCGTTTATTCACCATTTAAAACACTTATTCTTTCACAAACTGACGTTCACATCAGAGACACAACAACAACAAAGAGGTAAAGTTTAGTAGCCCAGCTAACGTTAGCCGCAGCCAGAAAATGTAAACAAGCACGACCTGACCACTTTATGAACTCAACCGTGAGGACATTGAACCTACCCTGATTCCACATGTTGGCACCTTGTTATTGAGTTATTAAACACAAACGTGAGACGTTACAGCCACTATGTAGCGATGACAACAGTCACAGGTACGGTAGCTCTGCACTGGGGTCCCTTGTGCAGTCCCGCGCGCCAAACTCAATGTACAACGCATGCGCACAGCAGAAGTCCCGCGAAACCGCCACAGGAAGTGATAGCCCTGATATAGGCTTGTCAGGCAGTTGTTGCTGTATTGGTGTGTACAAATCCCGTATTGTCGGTAATACGGGCGACTCTAACTCTCAACCAATTGCCGTAGCCAAATCCTTAGTGTCTATTTACCCCAGAATTTGACTCGTATGCCTTGTTAGGGGCGCTACACACTGCGCTGAATAAATGAGTGCCTGAAAGGAAACAATCGGGGCAAAATACACCCAAGCAAGTCGCAATGAGTGGCGGTGGTGAGCCAAAGCTTTGCTGCCTTAAAGTCCCGTCGGAAATATTGCGTGTACTGGCGATATACTACCTAATATCTACTCTTTAAGTATTGCTTTGCTTGATTAACTGTCACGCATCGACTGTTACGAGATATACTTGCTTTATGTGTACCAATTTCAAATAAATAAATTCTCTACAGTTAATAGTCCGTGAATTACAACCTGCGATGCGGGAAGTACGAGCATCACCCGAAGGCAGCATACGCACCCCAAGACTTGTTCTGCCTTTTTTAAATATTCAAATAAATGTAATTTAGCCTACGATGTAACAACATGGAAACAACACACTGATTAAAGAACTGTAAACGTAGATCTGACTTTATATTTAAACTATATAAAATAATATGTACGAAGGGATTTTGCACTAACTAGACTTACCCAGGGTGCTGTAGCCTATCTGATGCCTTTTTATGGCATTGTCAAATCTGTAGCCTATAAATAGCCTGCATATTGTCTGGTACACTGCTTCAATCTCTGAATCAAATAATTCCACATGATACATAGGCCTATTGGATTTCTCTATTATAGTCTACCAGTTTACTGCTCTGGGCCTGTTGCCAAAAGCAGCCAAAAGCTGTTACTTCTCCTTTTAATTAAAAATAAAATGCAAATTGTAGTTTGAACTTCTTTATTTTGTGTATCCCATGTTAGTCTATCAGGCTGTAAAATCTCGCTCTATATTTGAAATGGGAGCAACAACAGGAACTTGCAGAGAAATGGACCACCTTCCGGTCAAAGACTCGTTATGAATAGCTGTATCTTATCTCGCTTTGTCCTTTATAGACTTACCTCTCAAACCTGCTCTTGACTTTTGTTTGTTTGCTTTCCTCAAAGAGTTCAACATGTCTACAGTAAGGCTGCTCCTATCTTATCTGCTTTTCAAAGAGGTTCTTGCGCTGTCAGGTAAGTATCCAACAACATTAAAATGTTTCTTTTAAAAAACTCCTTTCATAGTGCAGGGGCAACTTCATGCGCGTAATTACGCATCGCTTTTCTCCAGGGAACTTCTGGCACATCACGGATCAGCACTGGGACCCAACATATAACCCGAATAATAATCCTGAACTCGTGTGCGCATCAAGCGGTAAACGACCCGCAGCCAATGCCGGGATATTTGGAGACTACGCTTGTGACTCGCCATGGGACCTTATTAACTCCTCTGTGTATGCCATGAAAGATATTCTACCAGACCCGGACTTCATCGTATGGACAGGGTGTGTGCTTTAGGCTAATTGTACAATAAAAAAAAGGAAGGAATAAATATACGATTCCTGCTGGATTGGTGAGTCCCAAGTCCATATCCAGAGAGACCAGTGCTTCATGCTTCATAATCATTTGTTTTGTTTTTTACGAGAAATCTTGCAATAGGGCAAACCATGGAAGCATTGTCCCACTGAAAAATCATTGGCGTGGGCCTCCGTTGTACATTATAGTTCTACTCTATTCAGTGGGGCCTCCAACTGTGGGGCCCAATAAATCACCACTTCCCCTCAGTATTTAATCCTAAAACTATATATTGTTTTTATTTTCAGAGATGACACACCACATGTTCCCAATGAAGATCTGGGAGAAGTCGCAGTGCTCAACATTATACGCAACCTTACCCACATCATAACACAGGTGTTTCCAGGTAAGTGTGAGGTCAAGAGACATCATATGTATTTAAAGGAAGAAAACATTGGCTATCAAGCTTTCCATTTTGCCTTCCTCAGATACTAAAGTGTACTCTGCCCTGGGCAACCATGACTATCATCCCAAGAGCCAGCTTCCTGCAGCCCAAAACTACATCTATGACCAAATAGCAGAAATATGGCAACACTGGTTAGATCCTGAGTCCCAAGGAACATTTAAAAAAGGTGGATAGAGCCTCCTGTAATATTTGTATTTATTTTGAATATACATTTAAAAGCATGTTTAATTGCGTCATGCATTTTCTGCTTGTCTATTTGTCTAGGTGGATATTACACTGAAAAGCTGCTGAATCGAACAGGTTTCAGGATGCTGGTCCTCAACACTAATCTCTACTATGATCAGAACAAGGTGACCCAGGACATGGATGATCCAGCGGGCCAGTTTAGCTGGGCAGACAAGGTTCTTACAGAGGCCACCAACAACAAAGAAAAGGCAAAGCATCTTGTCTATCTGTGAGACTTCCATCCTCCGCTATCCTGCCTTCTCTTAATTTGCTGTCGTGTTTAAATTGCAGCGTAGAGGGCAGTAATCAGAATCAGGACTACTTTATTGATCCCCGGGGGGAAATTTGTTTGTTACAGTTGCTTAAGGTGCTCACACAATGTTAAAGAATAGAAATAATAATCATATTACAGTATGTAACATAATGACGTTAGTGCATCATAAATACATCATTCCTCTTTTTAACCCTGGTTACCAGGGTAAACAGGAAGGATACTTTTAGGTTACATCCTTTTTCCGTGTAATTACTTCATGGAAAACAGGTTAACTTCGACAACTTGACACTCATAAAGAAACATGACACTAATCCCAGAATTGGGTACTAATGCCTTGCAAAAAAACAAACTGCTGTTGCTAACTGTACGTGGGTTTTTCTACCAGGTGTACATCATTGGCCACGTTCCTCCAGGTTTCTTTGAGAAGAAGAGAAGTAAGCCGTGGTTCACACCTAAATTCAACAAGCTATACTTGGATTTAATTCAGAAGCATCATTCAGTCATACTTGGACAGTTCTTTGGTCATCATCATACTGATAGCTTCCGAATGTTCTACAACTCAGAGGGTAAGGTCAGACTGTTGTAAACGTATTGCTGATACTAATGCCTTTATTTGTTAATGTCTTGACTGTGATGCACTGCTATGGTCCTTCTGTTTCTACAGGATCTCCTATCAGTGCAATTTTCCTCAGCCCAGGTGTCACACCGTGGAAAACAACACTTCCTGGAGTCAAAGACGGAGCCAACAACCCTGGGATCCGTGTCTTTGAGTATGACACCCAAACACTTGTGGTAAAAGTAAGTCAAGGCCAGTATGTATAATTTCCATTCAAATTTGTTTAGAAGTCTTTATGAGCTGAAATCTACAGCCTATTTGTAACAGGATGTGCAACCCCCCAAAAAGCACTTAACACTTTTATTGTTCTGGTTTCTGGTGTTTTTCCTACTCAGGATGTGGTGACCTATTACCTCAATCTAACTCGAGCAAATGCGGCCCGCGGACGCTGGGAGAAGGAGTATCGCCTCACAGAGAGCTTCAGAGTACCAGACGCCTCCCCAGCCTCCATGCACCAGGCTCTGGAGCGCATTGCTAGTGACAGCTGCTACCTACAGAAGTACTATGAGTTCAACTCCGTCAGCTATGACCTGACGGAGTGTAACAATGACTGCCGTGTTGACCACGTGTGCGCAGCCAGAGAGGCAGACTTTGAAAAGTATGAACGCTGTCTACAAGGGGCGGCAGCTGCCATTTATGGTGGGTTGCTGCCTGTCCTTTTTGTGGCTTTAAGTCTGGTTTCGGCCAATTGGTAATGATTATCTATATCACAGATAATGTTTAAAATATATTATTATTACAAAACTGAAAATCAAGATCAAGAGCATTGTGGTAATGTAAATGTTTGATTTAAATTACAATATTTAACAATCATGTTTTAAGTCATATGACATCTATAATTTAACTGAGTCGTGCACTAAATGTACTTAATCAGAGAGAAAACAACCTTTGGCTTCAGCAATCTTTGGTGTGGCCTCTTTACCTTGATTTATTGGTACTGGTTGAATATTTCATTTCCAGTCATTAGAAAAACTATGTGGTTCTTGAGGTTAAAGTACACGGCACTCAACTGTAATGTTTTGGATCAAATCCAGACTTTTGTAAAATATTTTCGCTCCCCATCTAACTCTTATCTATTAAATAACACCAAAAATGGCTAAAACTGTTTTATACTGGTTTAAAAAATGTTTTAACAGCAAGGATTGATGCACTGTGAATATCAGTGTTATCGCAACAATAAATCAATTGATTAATATCAATTGCACCTACTCATGCCCATATAATGCAACCTGTTACTAATATTACAGATACAACTGCACAATATGGGTTCTATAATGCTTCCTGTTATCTCATATCAAGATTTAACAGGTTTTTAATTAGTCAGTAAACTCGTAACATGTGACATGAAAGATACTGGACTTTGAGCCGGCTGTGAAAACACATTTATTATGTTCTTGAGCAGTGCATTTGATTGACGCATCAACAATAAAGTGGCAACCTTGTGGTTACGCTTCAGTTCATAAACTTTGGTCAATGCAGTGTAGTAGTTAGTCGATGAGTGCGTTCACATGATCAAGATCTGTTTAGCTGAAGTGAAAGGCTGCATGGCTGTATCCAGAGCTTTGCTGAAGTCTTGGAGGCCCACCTCTGTGCAGACAGGAGCTGTCAGCTTTCCCTGCCGGATGAGGTGGCACAGTTCATCCAGCATGACTCTAAATGCTGTTCCATCTAGGGAGAAAGTCTCATGAAATTCATTTTAAAAGACTTATTTAGGTATCTTGATCTATGAAACTCCATGCCAACTCACTGTTTGACTGATCTTTTTTCCACTGTGTGACCCAAAACCCACGAACCTTCACATCCTTAAAAATGAGAGCACTCTGGAGAGAAAAAGTTTAGTAAGTCTACAGAGAGAAAAAGTGTCCAGGTGAAAAATTATCTGAGAGGCTGTAAAAGGTTTCATCTTACCACAGGGACCGTGACTGGCTGTTTGGCCATCCCTCCATATGTCACCATAGATCCTCCAAATCTGAAATACATGGGATTTAAAGATCAGATTTACCTTTCAGTGTCAGATCATGCCAATAAAGATTATTCAGCATCCTTACTGTAGATGACGGAGCAGTTCTGTTGCGCTCTTGCCTCCGACTCCATTCAGTGCCAGTTTAGGCTTTGGACAGGTCTTTTTTTAAAAAAAACAAACAAATAAAAGAGATTTATCTTGGGAGTGTGTTTATTTGCCAGTAACCAGAGCCACGTGATCATATCTTTTAACCAGTCTTCAGACCCACAGACCTTGAACAGTTCCTTAATCTCAGGCCGCCTCAGTGCCTCTTCTTTGATCACATGAGTTGCTCCGATGGCCTTCAGCCTATCACTGAGCTGTGTGAACTCTGGCCTTTGAAAAGGAAGACACAATGGAGAACTTCATTACCATCATAAATTCTAGCACACAAAAAAACTCTTTCCCTTTGTTACCCTTGGACAAAAGACCCCACAATTTTACAGTCAGGAACAGACTGATAAGCTGAGCCTTTGATTAAGACTGAAACGTTTTGTCTCCTGTGACTTGATACACTTAGTGGGAAAGAGAGCTAAAGTGTAACCAGTCCTTTATTTACCCACAATAGTCATTTAAATAAGTTTAATCTAAAATGACTCTAATATAAGTTCACCTGTCTCTGACGACGTTGATAGTGTTTAATCCCCGTGCAGCAGCAATCTGTATCACCGCCTGCCCAACTCCACTGTTAGCTGCGTTCTGGATCACAGAATCACCTGCAATAATAATAATAATAATAATACATTTTATTTACAGAGCATTTTTATGATATCCAAAGACACATAAGTTAAAAGGTCATAGAAACAACACACTAAAATAAATATAAAACACACAACAATTTTTAACACATTAAAAGTGTTTCTGAAAAGATGGGTTTGATTGGGGATTTTAATGTGGACTGATTTGTATAGTAATTTTAATATATAATCTAAAATGTCATATTTAATATAAAATATATATTAAAAATATTATTAGTACTTTAATTGGGCAGGATTGGGCAGGATTGGTTCCAATGAAGGTTCACGGTGCAAATACCAGCACTACTTTCAAATTCACTAGTAAGGACTGATTCTGTAAGTCATCTTGTTTTTTACATTAATGCAACCAGGGGGCTGATGGTTTGATCAGTCTGGAGGCTAAAATGTCAATTTAACCAACATTTCCATAGGAAAGTGGAACATTAGTAAAATAAAGGGACTACCCCTTCTATGGTAGTGTGTGTTGAAATAATTACCTGGCTTAAGATCTTCAAAGTCAGAGAGCATCCTGAAGGCGGTGCAGGGATTCACTCCCAGTGTGGCAGCAGACAACAAGGGAATGTCATTCGGAAGTGAGATTACATCGTCCTCAGCTAGCACTGCCTCTGTCCTCCAGGTCCCTGCTCACCCAAAGGCACAAAATCCTTAAGATCTCATGTTGGGAGACATAATTAATAATCATTTGTGTAAGCTGCAATTTACCTAGACCAGCATCTTTTGGGATGACCCAGTCTCCTGTTTTGAGGGACTTCACCTGGCTGCCCACTTCTACGACCTGGGCCACTCCCTCGTTGCCCCCAACAGCTGGGAGGTCAGGCAGGATAGCATAAGTACCTGGAAAAACAAATAAACAACTGACCTTCATATCTTACACGCATTAACAATGTTGGGCTTCTTGTTATGTAGTCTGGTGTGGAAGTAACCCAGAAACCAAATACCTTGAATCATGTTTATGTCAGATGGGTTGATTGGAGCTGCAAGCATTTTAACCAGGACATCCTTTGCACCTATGGGGGGCAGATCTACATCCTCCAACCTGGCAACCAAAAAAAACCATATACAAAAACGAGTATGTGCAATGCTGCTTTTGGTTTGGTGACAGCTTTCTAATTTAAGAATATCAGACTTGATAAAACAAGAGTACAGAAAATATCTCCATTATGTGATAGGCTTATTGTTTCCCCTTGTGGCCATTGGGGGAAGAACAAAAGCTACAACTGCATTTCTGACCAGCTGTCAAGTGCAACTAGGTGTGTTTCGCCCTCCGACCTCTGGGGGCAGTAATGAGCCCATTAAGACGTGGCCTAACACAGCGAAGAAGACACCACACTGGAAAAATTACCTGGACAAGCGACACAAAAGGTGAGATTTATGCTTTACCAGACATGTTTTCAAACATTATTTTTCACTTTTACAAGAGGAAAGACTTTGAGGATTCAGACTAATTGGTTGGTTTGTTAAATGTACGTCTGGTTAACTGCGCCGACTCCGTTAAAGAGCAGCGTACAGCCTCTTCCCATTACTATAGGAGACAGTTGCATGGCAACAGCGGCGAATAAACCACACGTTTAATGAGACGGGGACTCTTACTGGACGACTTTTGAAGGGTCTCCGTGTTTTCTATACAGAAGAGCCGGGCATGTTTGTGCTCGAAGTCCAGCTGAATGACTGAAGAGGGACACGTTATCTTTCCCCCTGTGCCTTGAAATCTGTAAAAGAGCAGCGACGGAGCTCCTTCTGCTGACTGTGTGAAGTGGCAGCCACATCGCGACACGGGAGTTAACTTTAATATACAAAAACAGCACTACGGCTCAGTTGTATTTGTCATTTGAAGTGTGATCCTCCTACTGCGTGGCCATGTTGGATTTCACTCATGAGGTGGTGTCATTGGGAATATAAACAGAGAACAGCGCCCCTGGTGGATAAACGTGGACCCGTGCACCGTGGTTCAGTTTCACGGGGTTGCCAGTCAAACAAAAGAGGAACTGATGGTTTTAAATTATATTTCACTTCATGTATACAGCACGTTGAGACACGCTGATGTTTATAATTCACACCCTGTGTACATTTCTTTTTTGAGTCATAGGCAATAAAAATGTCCTCAAATGAGGATGTATAGGACACAAAATGTGGTGGCCTGTAACCACGCTCCTGTACTGTACACCTTGGTGGCTTTCACCTCACTACATTTCAGAAGTTGGTAGTATGAGGCAAGGCAAAGGCAAGTTTATTTGTATAGCACATTTCCACAAGACCACATAAAATAAAGGGTAAAATGTGTGTGTATAAAATATATAAAAATATATAATAAGTCAGATAATACTCAAAACCTGAAATCTCATTAAATAAAAGGCAGTGGCAAACAGCTTTTCAAAGTCTTTGATTTAAAATAACTAAGAGTTGCAGCAGACCTGCAGTTTTCTGAGAATTTTGTTTGATATGTGGACTCATTTCTCTTTTTGTCTGTAGTCAGATTATGAGGAAGGTGACAAGAATGCTTTCTTTTTGTAACTTATAATTAAAAATAATTCTCCTGCGAACATTTCAGTTTCATTATGCACAAAGTCACCACCACTTTCAGTAATTTGCTGGCAATTGATAAAGCGCTTTTACAATTAATCTGTTTGGCTATCAAAATCGTTGTGAATTTTCTGTTTACTAATATATTGTACATCTATTTAAAAGTTATACCAGTTACCTTAAATTAACATATCACTATTTTTTTTATATCACTATCATTTTATGACTTGTTGTAGAATAAACTTCACACCACTATATAAGTAAGTTAAAATCAACTCCACCATGACCAGGTACACCGTTAAAATGCTGTGTACCACTTTCTAAGAACTACTTTATAAAATGGATTTATTAATATTTAAAAAAAATATTAAGACTTTATAGATTAATCATAAACCATTAAAAGGTAAAATATATGGATTACAAACTATTGCAATCCTTTAGAGCCATTATGCATGAGTACTTTTACTTTTGATACTACATTACACCTTGCTAATATTTTGTACAATGTACTTCAGTAAGATTTTGAATGCATGACTTTTAGTTGTAATGCTAATTGTTGATCTTTGTTGTAAGAGTAAGAAGGAGAAAAAAAAGACACATGAATATTGACATATTTACTAGGAAATGGAGCAGATCTTTACATATAGCAACATAATCACAGTAATACTTTGAAAAGCCTACATGCTGCTCATCATTGACAAACTAGCCATTAAATCAAGATAAGATAGATCAAGATAGTTGTAGTTTTATGGCAGTCAACATTGATACATTCATCAGTAATAAATGCACATTTTTTTGGAAGTTATTTATCTGATAAAACACCAAATCACAAATTAAATGGCTGATGGTCACAAACAAGATGTACCATGAAAAGCCAACTGTGATACAGAATGCTTTGATGTGCTTCAAATATTACCCTGAGCACATAGTCTTACAGGTCCTTGGATTTTCAAGGTATATCTAACCCATCTAATACCCGACAATCATATCACAAATAACACACCACCGAGGGGGTCAAACAGGTTTGTTGCAATCAGAATGTCTTCCATGGACTTAAGTTTCCAAATGATACTTTGAAAACATCACTAAGTACAGCAGAATATTGCAAACATTACAATACAACACATAACTGTCATTCAACCTTTATCTAAATAGTGGGTGTCAGAATCCAATTAAGAGTTCGACAGATGAGGTAAGTTAGTGGTTTCAGGGATTTTAAAGAAAGTTAAATCACAGAGATTGCTAACAAATTCATCCGTGTGTCCCTTTTTTGAAATGGAGAGAAAGGAAAATGTTCAGGTTAGAGGATACACTGGCACTGCAATCATAAGTGGTAAATTCAACATAAAAGTACACAGAAAAGGAAACCATTCCATCTAATCAGAGCACTTACTTAAACAATCTTTGTATCCTTTTACATCCTGAGTGGAATTATTAAAACAGTGTTTGCTTCTGCAACCTTTAAACTTGGAAAACGTATATAAACACCACCTAACGGCAGAGTATGAAACGATATTTGAGTATTAAGTCATCAATGACACATTCTTTTTGTCATAAGCACTGATAGTCTGAAACACCAAGTATCGGCCATGTGTTAAGATGAGACAACCCCGGATTATATACTACTAGCCCCAGTCCCTTTAACAATATTCTACTACATCCCCATCTACAACGATTATAGAGGAAAAAATACAATAATAGTGGAACATTTTCTTCATATCATATCATGGCAAAATATTTCAAAGAGGAGAAAATATAAAGAACATCTCGCATTTGGGTGCATGGAAAGTTAACAAAGTATTAGAATCAAAAAGCTTGTGAATCTCAATCTTAACCGTTTCACATCATTGCTTTTTTATTGGCCACAATCAGTATTTTTAAGTAAAAACAGAAAGCAAAAAGAGAGGCTTTCTTGTCCTATGCTTCACATCATGCGGATGAGTATTCAGTCCCTGCTTTGTTTTGAATAAACACTCCTCGACTCCTTCCAATCAATCTGAAGTATTCCCTGAGTTTTCAGATTGGCAATTCCTGAGATGAGCCTAAGAGTGGAAGTACTTTTTTTTTGTTTTCCAACCAGCAATCAACTGTATGTAGTATATGAAAATCTTAAAAAATATAATATTGAATATGAAACATATATTCAAAGGATTAAACAGAATATAAAAAGACAATTAATGCATCTTACACATGATTAGTGCAGAGTAACATTGCATTGGTTTTGGCATAGATAGGAATAACAATGGGACTCATTGTGCACAAAAATAAAGAATAAAAAAAATCATACAAGGCAAAGAAATAAAAAAAAATGTCACAGTTTATGTCAGTCCTCATAATACTATGTACCTGTACAGTATATAGTGTATATTGTCACTCTTGTGTCACAGTATATTACTGTTACACTGCATTCATACTGCAATGAATTATTGGTAAGGACAATGATTTATCAAGCACATATGTACACATTAATACAAGTACCTTGATGTTAAAAGTATGTTACCCAAATATATTCTCAAGTCATATGGAGCTTTGAATGACACTTGGCTGGTTTTTTAATGTATACTATTCATTGCTGAGAGGCTTCAACAGGAGCAGATGGAGAAGCGGCAGCACTATTGGATGAAAATAAATAAGTAGTATGATTTCTTTTAAAGGCTTTAGAATAATTTTACATATATATTAATTGGGTGTAAAAGTCTTGTCAGCTTCTCCTGTAAAACGGGAGTAAAAATGCTGATTAGCTAGCTAGTTCTACATGCTCCTCCGTGCAAGCTTGGTGTTCCTGAATTATTACCCTACTAAGGGTTATAGGGAGGCAATGTCTTAAATAACTACCTAGAAATAGATCACGCTGGATATAAACAAAAACATCAGCCATCCCACTGGCAACATCATGGCTGATTCTGCCTCATTTTATTCAAGTATCAAGAGGAGAGCTAGCTGGATCCCTCAGTAACCCAGTCCAGGTCAAGTATCGTATTAGAACTGATGATGTACGTGTATTGGGTTTAGTATTACATTACATTGGTTGGAATTCTATCAAATCCACGTTGAGGTAATCATAAAGCAACAGTATTTCACACAGCAGCCAATAAAATGAGAGGCTACTGTAGATGGAAAGTTGACTAAGATCATGCTGCCAGCTTCCAGAGAAGCTAAAGAGAAACTCAGCACCAGGCTCAAAAAGCTGTGTTTTGCTGCCCTCTCTAGTTGAGATCACAACTTATCTTTTTTTTTCCCCGCCAAAAAGTAGTGACACGTTTTAGACGTGCTGAGCAGCTGTGATGTAGCGTGGAGATATAATACCACGCTACATCGCACAGCCAAGTACAACAGACCACATCTGTCCACATCCAGCTGTGATGTTGGGTGTAAAGTAATGACAATGCTGTGTAAATACTGTAGTGCAATAAGGATTTGATTTAACCCCAATTAAAACCACAAACTCCATAGCTGTATTCTGAGAATATTTGGTTTACCATCAGCAGTTAGAATGACGGTTTTAGTAGCAGACCAAACATGTACCATTTAGGTCGACCGTGCACCTTTTGACAGCCGGCAAAACGCTGGTTGAAAATAATTAATTAATGAAAATAACTCTGACCAAAAGCTGGAAACCACTTCTGGTCTGACATTCATTTGGCCCCAGGATTACTGGATGGTCAATTGCAATATTGGCAGATGCCAATCCATTGCCATTAGTTATACCCTAAAACCCGTCCCATGTGTTTTCACAAACCCTCCCATTCCCCATGCCATATGCAAAACATTCATTACAGAGGTACTAATTGTCACGTCTCTGCCTTGTCGGGTAGTGAGGTGTAACAGTCAGGAAGAAGACTAAAAAGGTAAGGCAGCAAAAGTGTAGCTCTATACTAAATATACTGACTGAGTATTATGCAAAAACAGAAGAGGTATAATGCCCACTGGAGAGGAACAGTATCGCATAAAAGAAAACACAGATTCTACAAAAAACTCATCAAGATAATCCGTTATATGGCATTGCTCACTACAATCTCAAACCCGTCAAAGAACAACGGTGATTTAAACATTTCCAAAGCGTCCTGAGTGCAATAATACAGCAGTATTCCTGAGTGTTACACCAAATGAAAACAAACAAAAACGTCAGCAACATTCTTCATCATAAGCAATTTTTTTTTAACCTGAGGTAGTTCCAAAAGCAGCTTCAACAGGTGGAAGAGGATCGTGTGTCCCATCTCTCCATCAAAGCAGTTTGATTGGCCTCTGTGCTTCCCCCGGCGTCAGTGTAGCCCAATTTCTCGTTTAATCAGAGGTTTCGGGAGGCAGTGCCAAGTGGCTGTGCTCCTCCTCGTCTCCTTTCGAGGGGGACGGTTTTCCCTGAGAACCCGGCGAGGACTGTTGTGCTTTGATTGGGCAGTTGGCAACCATGTGGTCAATGCTCTGGCAGAAATGGCACTTCTTGGGCTGGGGTGGTAACTTGCACTCTTTGGCGTGGTGGTCCAGGCCTCCACAGTTGTAGCACCTATAAGAGCAGAGAGAATTTAGTCAGATGTTATGTGTGCTTAAACATGCAATTGCTGATTTTTTTTGTCCACTTGGGAGCAGTAGATATCATTGATTGATACGGCCTACTTGTTAGCAAACAGTTGCTTATTTACACATCCAGCAGAGAAACATTATAACTCATTTGGATGTTTCTGGCCACCTGGCAAATGTAAATCCAATATTCACTCTTCTTTGAGCTTGCTAGTTTTTGATCCCTCCTGAGGGAAAAATCTGTCTTTTTAGCTGCTGAACACTGTGTTCACCAGCCAGCCAGCTAGTCCCTTTGTTTGTCTGCTGTTTGGTGCTGAATAGGTAGCAGATACAGTTTTTAACAGAAACAAACCAGTGCAGTTTCAGGCCAGAAAACCAAAACAACGAGCTGAAAGATGCTAAAAAGAGCTCAGGGGAGGCCATTTTTACATACAGGTAACCCTGTGATCCATAATATGTAAGCACTGATAATAGCCACTTTAAGATCCTCTGCAGACTGGCTTCCAAACTAGTCCATGCCAAAACATGCTCGTAGATTCATATCTTAAACTTAGAAATCACAGAAAAAATGTCTTCCTTTAGCAGATTCATGTGTAAACAGCCTATTAAAAGTAAAACTATGCACTGCACAGTGAAGAAAACATCCAAATGAACAATAACCAAAGCACATTTTTGAGTGGAGATGCACCTGTTTGCCACTAGAGGGCAACATTTCACCTGGAATGACTTTAGTTTGCATTTGGTCACAAATCTTGCAAGGGCAATCCAGGTCACACCACATTGCTCTTTGGAGGAGGAGATCTCAAAGCATGTCATGTTAGATGGCCAAAAAGTACAACCAAAATGTATCCGAAACGGGAGTTTCTGGAAGGTTTAACTATTCAAGTGGACAACAAAATTGCAGAAGAAAAGAATTATGTGGGAGGGCTCCTAGTTTTTCATATACATGATATTGTTACAGTGGCTCATCTCTAGGTATCGTGAACAGCTTGACCTATTTTGTCAGTTTGTCGCCTCCAGTTGGACTCTTTTGTATCAAAGAGCGAAACATCCGTTTCATCGGCATTGAACTTTAGAAATGAACACCATGAAGGGTCAGCAGGAGCCATCAGGGGTGCCATTGGCCACCTCTGTTGAAGCATAATCTATAGAATGGCCACGCGTGCAGGGGCGGAAGACAGATGGGTGGTGGGCGTGGGGCGATCAGCCTTTGCCACTGCGGACCCCCTGCCACCATTGTAGCAGCAGATGAGGTTTGGACAGGGCGGCCGCCGAGGGGTCAGTGTGGCTTTGTGATGGTGGCCGTTGGGGTGGTGTCAAGGTCTATACAGTCACATCACAGAAGCTCTCTACATTAGCATCCATCAGGAGGCAAGTGGAGGAAAGGGGAAGTGGTCCCTTTGTCTAAAAAAGCTGCAGTAATGACCTCTGAACCCTGCCCTCCGCTCCTCAGTTCTCTAACCCCCAATCCCATCCCAGCCCCCAGCCCACTTGCATTTACTCATACGCTGTTGCCATGACAACAGTGACCTTTCACCCCCTTGCTTGGGCTCTTACATCTGTTATCAATTAAATGGACAGGAGCTTTTTTCCCCACCCTCAGTCATATATACACACACACACACACACACACAAAAAGGTGGTCTATAAAAGGTAGAGTGGAAAACAGCTGTTCACCTTGGTGGCAAAGCATGAACCCAGAACTAGAATAAAACGTCTTTCCTCTGTCCTGATGATATCTGACTATTGGTTATAAATATGATCAATCAATCATAAAACAACCAATGAAACACCATCCAGTGTTGCATAATGAAGTACGCTAGAGGCGAACGATATCTTATCAATGGATCAGTGTGGTCTAGGGAGAGTTATTGAACCACAGCGGGCCTCCCAGGACTCTTTGAGGCGGTAATGATCTCTGTTCTCACACTGACTACTCTCTGGTTCTAATCACAACTGACAGGAGGGTGAAGCTGATACACCTCTAACCCCATGCTATATTGCTATTCAAAGAATTACCCAAAAATCAAGGCCCTGTTGGAGGGGAGGAGGAGGGGCATTGTTGCCTTTGCATGAAACTCTTGCATTTTCATGAATAAAATATACATCAGCAGATTGATCATTAAGTTTTATGTTTTTTTACATGACTTGAACTCATAAGAATATTTCTCAAGGATCATGTGCTGGTCCAGAACAAATGGGGGGGAAATCCCTTTTGCAGTAATGAGGAATGACATGCTTAAGGCTATTCCTATCACATATAGTTGGCTATATTGGTAGCAATCTCTCAAGAATTCCTCATTCTGTGAAGAAGTGAACAGGCTGGAATAATCATAAAAATTTTGATTAATGTTTATGTTATTAAAATGAGGATTTTTTTTTTGTTATTAATTTGGTTTTGGAGATACAAATCACATTGGTAGTAGAGGTTTAGGAAGAGAGAGATTGTCCGTGGGTGTGAATTCACTAGGGGCCTGCAGATTTAAACAGTTATTGATCCAGGTCACACGTCAAGCCTGCTGGTGTGACCCTTGCTAGGGCTGGAGGTGGGGGTTGGGGTCATGGAAGAGGAAGGAAAATGGGGAGAATCACCATTGTATATCTGATCCAAACTGGACACAACATCATCTATTTGTGGACTGCTGAGAAATAAAGCTTTCAAGGGTCCCTAACATAAAAGTGCATAATCTGCTGCTGCCCAATGAAAACCAGCAATCTCCATTTTCTTTTTTTTTTTGTTGCATAAACTAAAAATGTATGCGTTTCCAGTTTTCGAAAAATCTTAAGCTCAATTAAGCATTTGTATCTAAAAAAAAATGCATTGTCACAAAGCTAAAAACTCAACCTATTTATTTTTATTTATTCATGAAAAGTTGATGTTCTGGAGATGTAGGGTCTTCACTGGACAGTAACAATGTATGAGTTGTTACACATACTATGGTTTTCTATAGCTTTTTGGTCAAATGCCATGTCTTTAAAAATGGTGCTTTGTGTGGACTCCTCTCGGCATGTTTTAGTGTATGAACTTAGAAAACATCTTCTGGTATTGATGAATTTGCATCCAACGTAGTTGAGCGACAGTAAGTATGTATGCCATTACACAGAATCTCACAGAGGCAATGAAATTATATACTGTACTAATTTCACTAACATATTTCAGAATACCCACTTCACAAGGAACACACATGTAAATGTCTTTCCTGTTCTTTCCCAGTCCCTTCCTGCTTACCGATCTCCCTTTGAACGTCGCTTCTGGACCTTCTTGCCTTTGGGTCTCCTTTCGCTGCCCACACAGTGGATGCCACCTGGTCCGGTAACTCGCTGCGACTCCAGGCCCTTTGATGACTTCTTGAAGGTAAACTCGACCGCCTCGCCTTCCTTCAGGCTGCGGAAGCCTTCCATGTGCAACTTGCTCTGAAAGGCAACATAGGAAGATGATTCAGTTTTAAATGTATTGTTTTGTGTTTGGGGAAACTCCAGTTTTATGGTGACTTAAGCCCTAATAGGTACGACAGGAAGAGTCAAACCACAAAGGGATGACTGACTGTTCAGCCTTCTCCTAATCACAGACATACAGTAGGGTGGGATATATAATAGTGATAATTTGATTTTTCAAAACCTGCTATATTACACAACCAGTGACCAAATCACCTCCGCATTGAGCCTTTGGATACTCTGACCCTTGAGCACAACCCCCCACCCATTCTTCACTGTTTGATAGCATCAGAGCCTGTTAGCACTTATCAGGTATCTGGTATTTTAAGGTGATCATTATGCCTCACTTGATAAGCAAACAAGCACTACGAAGCTTGCTGTTCCCACTCTACCCAGCAGTTTGTACACATACTGCCCTGCATGAAAGGCACCCATGCCTTAAGGCTACTTTGTCTTTTTGCTGCGTTTGAGTGGTAAATCTGACAAGGATAAACTTCAACCCATCCCCCCCTCCGGAGGAACAGCATTCCACACTGCTGACCCCACCCCATCCCTCTTCCCACCCACATTACAAAGCTCCACTAACACACTGACCACCACCACTAACCCTAAACTGCAGGATGCAGGGGTTAGTACTACGGTTGGGGGTGGGGTGAGAAGGCAGCGTGGCTTCTCTGGGAGGTTGGGGGTCAGGGTGACATTCCTTGGATAGTTGTTTGGCAGAAAGACGTGGAAGATAAAAGTTGAGTGAAAGCACAAATGATTGATATCTCCCTTTGATATCCGTGTTTGAATATGTGACATCTTTTTTTGTGAACGAAACATGATGATTTCAATTAGTAGCGTGTTTGATGAACAGCAACACTGGAGAGGCGTGCTAGCTTTATTAATCAACAATGGAACTGGAGGTTCGAATATGCTCAGAATAAAAACTAACTTGGTCTCCTGTTAAGCTCAAAATTGATGTGACCTTTAAGGGGGTTCTTTATGATACCAGTGACTTGCCAGAAACATTTCTGATTACACAGAACAGAAAGAAAGAAGGAAGGAAAGGTGTGGTGCGGTTTTGAGGATAAAACCCAGAGATGTCTAACACAACATGGGAAACCCCTCTCTAAAATTCCCTTTGGTGGGACTGTGAGATTAACTATAGCAGACTGTTGACATAGGAAGAACGATCCATGATGTAGCAGGTTTGTTTTGATAGACATTAATCCTGTTCTCTTCTCTCATTTTTGAGTAAAATCACAACCCTCTTCTAATTATGAACAACAGTGTTCATTTTCCTAAACCAACAGGGATTAAACTGAGCTTCTCATAGCACAGTCTGGGATCTGCTTTAAATAAAATCTAACATGATCCTCCAGAATCCTTTAGGACAGGTTATCATTTAAAAAGCGTAAATCTCAGATCAATCAATAAGGAACTTTATGTTGGAATCATTACAAACACAGCCTATAGTTTAGTGAGCTAACACACCAGCGACGCCTTCTGCAGTGAAAACAAAAACAAAACATAACAAAAGCACCATCTTCGCTAATCCTGTCACATCCACTCACAGTTGAGCATCTGCTACAAAGTCCTGCGCAGCGAGGACACACGATTGGTGAGCCATGACATTTAAGTGGCAACATGGATGTCCACAGAGCCCCAATCCCATCAGGCTTCTCTGCCCTGGTGACCGTTAACCCACTTCCTCTTCCATGTGTGACCTTCCCCACCCCCATAACGGACCCTCAGCAGCCACATGCCCCACATCAGATTATCTATACCCACACAGGTATACATGAGGGTGGGGGGCTTTAGACTTCAAGGACCTGATTTTGAGGCCTTATTAGTGGGTTCTACTGTAAACTGTCCAGAATGTGTCTAGAAGCCAAGTGAGGCAGAGAAAGACATCAGAGCAGGGAGGGACAATAGCAGGGCTGCTGCTGAGACAAAGAGGGGCTCGGTCACGGCCGAGGGGTGCTTCATTCGGATGCATGGCTCTATTGTCCACCTGCACAAAGGCCAGAGGACCCGGGGAGTTAATTTTCCTTGACACGCGGCCACTAATTTTAGGGCTGAGGCCTTTTACGTTGCCATAACCCCTATACATCCATCATTGACACACGTGCGTCTACCTTTTCAAGTGACAGAGAGGGAAGTAAGTCATTGGTTACGCATTTCTTATGGATAAACTCAGAGCCCAGTGTGAGGTTACTGGTTTAGTAAAGCAGCGAGCATTGCAACTTTTCGCTCTTTGTTTGAGCTTGGTATCTAAAGCAATAATGAACTTGTTTTCATGACATAAAGACACACGGTTTTGGACACTGGATTGGACTTTTTTTCAAGCTGCAAGGCAGTTGGGCAACACACCGCTATTAAAACCACTCATTCCTTTCCATTTTCTTTTAATTCTCTGTAACTACTGGAGCAACAAACTGTAGGTTTCAATCCCCAGTTTAACTCACGTTCACATTTGCAATATGATTAATCAGGTACCAACTTCCTGTGTATAGTCAAACAACATTTCGTTTACAACGGCTGCACAGAACAATGGGATCTCTCTATATGCATCATCATAAGCAGAAAGCGGACAACTGAAAAACAGAAACGAGTAAGAGCTGCTTGAGTCTGTCAACTGGCTCCAACCAAGTGTGGAGGCTTTAGGCTGACTTTATATGGATGTATTGATAGCAAATAAAGTTAAATCATGAATGAAATGAATTGCATGAGGCCTGGGAATGGTGGCGGAGGGGTGTGGAGATGGAAATTTACCTCAAATAAACCCTGAGAGCTCCTTTCCTCTTTAACGCTAGTGCCACAGAGGGGGTTGAGCAGACAGCAAAGAGCCTTTAATCACTTTATGACAGGAACCTTGAGGTGAATGAGCAGCTAGTGGGGACTCCTCTCATTCACATGCTAAGCCTTTATCTTATCAGACAGCAATGGAGGCGCTCACTCACATGAGAAGTAGGAGGGAAACGCACCCCCCACCTCCCCAGTTGTATATGCAAAGGTGAATGAAGGTTTGTGGTCAAACCTGGGTGAGCTGAGAAGGTTTCTTTTAATCTCTACAGTAATGGCAGAAGGAAACAATAAAACCTGATTTAAGTATGCCAATTTTCAGAGCCTTCAGAAGAACATAGGCCTACTCAAGGCAATCTTGCATAAATATATGTCAAGTGATTGGGTTGTATTCCGCCTATAAAAACCCTAAAAGGCAAAATCATGAATTGTACCTGAAACGGATGTGTTTAGAAGCATATTTTAACCTTTACAATAAGCGATCAATAACCCTTGTTTAGATGGTTTGCCTATTCATGCAGATCAATCTAGAACCCCAAACCCTTTTAAGTCATTTTAAAAGCTTCCCTTTTGTAAACAGATGCAATGATAAATGACAAAAAGTGACATACACTCATCATATTCCAAACAAACAACTAAAATAGCTATAATGTCAGACTATTAAAAAGTATGTGTCTTTATTTCTACATCACATTGTATCAGCGTCCCTCATACAATAACCACGAGGGAGGCCCGCAGATCTCTTTTGGCTGAAACACGTGTTCCCCTGAGGGAGAAACACCCACCGACCACACTGCACGCATACACCCGTCCAAAACCAGTTAAAACACATCGCTTATTATCTTAACTTTAATATCAAAAAGGCCTGCTGATGCAAGGTTGGGTTTGTTGTTTTAAATGCATTTATATTATTATAATTTTTCTTATTTTACTTATAGGATAATGAGTCATTTCTGCCTAGTTTCGACAAGGCTGAGAAAACACCTAAATGAATTACGCTGTATTGGAAACAGGTGGGGCGATCGCACAGAAATTCCACTCGATTCAAGGAAAGTAGATTTTCAGACCTCGAAGTGTTGATGGGCTTCTTTTGGAGTCTTATTCGCGTTTGGATGTGAGAGGTTTTTTTTATTTATTTATTTACTGCGTCGATAGTTTCAGTTTCAGCCCCCCGAGAAGATAGCAATCCTACCTGATGAACAAACACATCAACCGGTTCGTCCAGTGGCACTCCCTCTCGGTCGGTCATGGACAGGAACCCGAAGCCCATGCGGACGTTGAACCATTTACACAATCCGACCCCGTGGAAAGACTGTGAATCCTCCTCGGTGCTCGGTCCTTCATCCTCCTCGGTCTTACACACTCCTGCAATGAAAAGTGTATGTAATTACAACAAAATACTATATATATTTTTAAAAATCTGTATATAATGTTGCAAGTGCGACAAAAGCATATTATATCCAAAATGGCAAAATTTTAGTAAGATTTAGAAACTTTTATCCTCCTCCTCTCGCGTTGCTGCATCATCAATCAATACGGATCAATGAGGAGAACACACAAGCAACAAGACGAGGCTGTATTTCTGCTTAATCCCGCATAACATCACAACTCACTTCGTAAAAGCAACTAAACAACATGCGACTTTTTTGTGTGCGCAAAGTTTGCGTAAAATAAGTGATCGCGGAGGATGCCTGATGTCAGAATTTCTAAAGAGCGATTAATGCATTGATGGACACACGGATTCCACATCACGTGTGGTGAACAATGCCATTTAAAATGCTCCATTACAATCGGATAGACAGTCCACCAGAAGACAACTTAATTAAAGCATTTTGTAGAGGAGAGAGAGAGAGAGGAGAACAAAAGCTAAATACATCTTATTTTGTTACTCAACCTGGGAATTCCTGGTTAGAAACGGAGCCCATGTCTTCAGTTCTGCCTTGAGTCAAAATTAGCACCCAAGCTACAGTATCCTTTTTTTTTTTTTTTTTTTTTTAGCCCTCAAACTGGGTAATCCTCACAGATTGCCACTTTCATGCAAAATGCCGTGAAAAGCAGAAACTGCGCAGCGAGTGGGGAAAGCGGGAGAGGGAGGTAAACAAAAGGGGGCTGGCAACCTATTCCCCCTAAACAATGAGGGGTGAGGAGGGGGGGTGGGGGTCAACGGGCAGAATTTCTCTTGAAGAATCCCCCCCTAAACAAAAAAAAATCTAAAAAACAATGCAAGGACACCCAGCCCCTTAAGAAACCACTCCCAGAGATAACTCCACAAAAAAGCTCCCAACATACCTTCTGCCATGTTTGAGGGCCAGTTTACTCCCAGTGTTCACGGCTGCCGATTCTTGTGTCTTTTCCTCTCTCCTGCAGTGGTCAGCTCTGTTGGTCAATACAAATGACCATTTCTCAGCCAACAAACCCCCCACACACTCTCGGTCACGTCCACGTGATTCACAATTATAGTCCCCAAGGATAGATTGCATATTGTGTGATGGAAGGGCCCAAATCTGGGAAGTGACCAATCACTTGTAACGAAAAATCCTGATATTCCCATCAAGGCTTCTGTGATACTCTAAAGGAAGACAGTGACTTCAGTTTTTTACAATTAACTGGAGTCGGTAGCACTAATAAGTCTAATTGTTGCAGAATTATGCATATTTCTGTATAAATCACGTTAAACCTGAATTTTATTCAGATATTCCCCAAATGATTACTACCCTTTCCAAAAAGGGTTTGAATTATGACACTATAAAGGGAAGAATTAAGAAATATTTAGTTTTATCTCCATAAAATACATGCATCAGGCCTGCATACACTCAAGGTGGGGTGACAGCAGGAAGACAGTAAACCTGGTGGAGACTGTAGTTGCCTGTGTTAAAACATCCATTTAAAGTACATTTTGGTTTTAGTTTTTATTATAGATCAATATACTTTACTTGGCAATCAGACTTCACTTACTGCAGGCCATTTAATATTTAGTCTCTGATCGTGTGTGCATTCGTTTCCTTGCGATCAGTGAGATGGTTTGCTGCTGTTGCAGAGAAACGATTGTAATGGTAATCCAGATGAAACATGGAAGGGGGGGTGTCTCGTCCTCATGTAGCAGAGGAGGAAGCAGCTAAACTCGAGTCAAGCCATCGAGGTAGAGAGTTAGAATATTGAAAGGAAACAAAAGCGGACTTGAACTAAACAAAGGGATAACGAACAGTTTTTATTAATTTTTTTTAAACGGCCCACGGTACAAGGTGGCAGCATGAAAACAAGCCAAGCTGGTCAAACGAATTCATGGATCAATAGTGATTGATTGCATCACGTTAAGATGTTGACTCGTGTCCTTGTGGAGTGATGGATGAATCAAAGGCAGAGGAAAGTGATCTTCTAACCAAGCTTCAAGTGAAAGTCCAGAGCCGAAGTAACCAAAAGATGAAACGGTCTTAAAATGTTGAAATCAAATTATAATGAAATGTATTATTGTTATTATTTAAACAAAACAAGAATGTATACTAATTAATTGTCAACTGCAGCCGATGATAAAGACAAAGATAAAATAAAGAAAAATAGGCTGTTTGAAAAATTATTCGTTCTGATGATGCCAACAAACATCAGCACAATTTGTTTTACATGTGTCATATTTCAGTTTAAAAGAAAAAGCTTAATTGTCGACCTGTGTAAGAGAAGACCACTTATTAATTGGATAAGTTGCATTTATCTATTGAGATTAACTTGAACATTACTTTAACTATTGGGCACACAGTATGTATAAACCCCTGATGGATGTTTCAGAGGTGACCCGTCGGTTTCATCACTACAACCACAACGACCCCTTGTGGATCCGTAAAACACGTATTTGTCGCCCTAAACATGACATAATTGACAGGATTAAACAACAGGCTTAAACACAATAAATAAATGATAACAGCACACATCAGGTAAAGCTATAGTCCCATATCAATGGGATGTCAGTGTTGTAAGTTGGTGATTTTTAAGAAATAGAGAAAACTTGAATATGCTGATAAAATGACTTCTTGACTGGATAACGATTATATAATAATGCAAAACCAGAACCTTCAACTAAACCTGTAAGACAAAACCAGGGGGGATTTAAACATATAGGAACCATTAATGTTTGGATAAAAATCCGAATAAACCAAATCGATTTAAATTAATATTACCAAGCATTAATTGGATTTTCTTATGTTTTTTTTTTTTGCATAATCCTGATGAGATGTTGAGGTCTAAAACAAGAGGTGTGTCCAGTTTTGACATTGTTTTGCAAAATTATCCGCATATAATATCACAAATCTAGTTTTCAGGCGTTTTTGAAGCTGCAAAAGCATCTCTGAATCACTTTTTCCATCACTTCTTGACGTTTTACAAATGATTTCGGATGAGAGAAACTGAAATACAACGTTTTAGTGATTTAAAATAAATGTGCCGCAATAACAAAATATTATAAACAACACATCTGCCCAAAACTGGCGCAAAATGTTTAACCTTAAGCCTCCAAGATGTTACTCAGACCCCTTTTATTGTATTGTCATTATTTAACATATAAAACTTCTAAAGCTGAATATTAAGGCCACCTGTATAACAATTCGGTAAGAAATACACCTATGCCTTTGGTTGCCAGAACCTTGGACAGCAGTGTGCTCGACAATGGGAGGATGGAGTTATTTTAGACTTAATTTTATATTAAACAACAAATAAGTTAAAACACCGGTTGCATGCGGATACATTAGTTTTGCTTCGGCAAACTGCTTTGTAGACAAGGGAAACAATCTAATGAAGTCTCAGCAGGTCAGGTCATTTTCAGTGGAGGGGTCAGTGCCTCTCAAGTGCTGCCTGAAATAATCTTGGCCAGAAGCCAAGGCGTTTGGGTCCCACTGCTGGACTCGAGCCAAAGTGCAACAAGCTAAGAGACTACAAAGATGGCTGTCTGACATTACCAGATATTGATTTATCCAGAATACTACTGTTTTTAAACTAACATTTTGCTTCCTTTTATGTGGATGAAAGCACAGTGTTTTGGCCGATGTGTTATTAAACAGCAAAGCATAACATAACATAGAGCTCTAGGGTGTCATCATTTCCTGCACTACCTGAAGGCAGCATTGTGTTCCATTAAATGACCACTAGATGTCAGTGTAACTCAGAACTTGCAGGGCAATCAGACAGTCAGACACTGGAGTTTGAACTTTAAAACAAACATTATGCCGATCATCATACTGTGTCTCCAGAGATTAGACTCACAGGCTCTGTATTTGTGATGTCGCTCCCTCAGTCATGTCAAGACTTGAGCCTAACTTGTTCTTTTGTCGCTGGTCTGCAGACAGCATTCATGATGACTTTTCTTCTTTTCTCCTTAAACGTTTTATTTCTGTCTGCGCAAGGCTCCGCAGCCACGCACATATAGTCAAAATAGTCCCGCCTCTTTGATGTCCAAAACGGACTGTGTGAGGGAGAAACCAACCAACGACGGAGGCTGGGAAAAAAAACCCTCCGTACACCCATCACCGGAGAGCATCACTCTGCGCTCCGCCGATCATCTGTCCGGTGTCAGGTTGGATGGATCAGCCTTTGGGCGGGACACGGCAGCCAGCTGGAGAAGTAAAGCAGCCCAGAGACTGACGGTTCAGACATCAGTGAGTGAAACGTCTTTGGTGGGAGCAACATTGGGAAACATCCGCACTGTAACAGCATGCACGAAATTCCCACAGCAGCTCTTGGAGGAGCTGAGGGGAGAACACGTTAGGAGACTCGGTTAGTCCCATTGCACGGAGCAGGACAAAGCGGTGTGAGTGAGTTTCTGCTGCGGTGATAGCTCCCAGACACACAGCTCAACAGAAGCTCAGCAGAATGCAAACAACTAGGCTGCAGAAGACAATTTAAAACATCTCACAGCCAACTGCGTCGGGTAGTCTGCTGCGACTGGACTGCAACCATGTAGCCACTTTCTTTTTTTTTTTTTTTTTGCATGCAAGACACTTTGAGGAGTAGCTGTGGAAGGCTGTGAGGTGAACTCTGGGTGCGAGGAAACCAGAAACAGCACACACACACACACACACACACACACACACACACACACACACAGAGAGAGAGAGAGAGAGAGGTTTATTTACGCTCGTCCCGTCCACGCTGCTTATAGTTTCTGCACACTCCAGCCAAATAATGGCAAGACTACGGAGGAAAGCTTGTATAGCTCTCTTTCTCTTTACACTGTTCGTCTTTGGGACCATGATGGGACTGAGGACCCTGAAGCCCACCGACGGCTTCTCAGATCTGGCTCCGGGCTTGGAGCTGCTGCCGATGATAGGGGGGAAGATGGACCGTCGCTCCGTGTCCCGTGACGCCACCGCGTCCCCGGGTCAAGCCCGCCCGGCTGGCAGCAACACCAAAGCAGTTTTGTCCAACTCCGGCCCCGAAGGGAATATATTTTATGATGTTCATATTTTTTACTACACCTGGTACGGTAACCCGCATATGGACGGTAAATACATTCACTGGGACCACATCCTCGTTCCACACTGGGACCCCAAAATCGCATCCAGTTACCCGAGAGGGAGACACATGCCTCCCGAGGACATCGGGTCCAGTTTTTACCCCGAACTCAATCCGTACAGCTCGAGGGACCCTGACGTGTTGGAGTCCCACATGGAGCAGATTGGAGCATCTGCAGCAGGTACAGTCCAGAGATGCAACGGGGGGCACCCGGGATTTCTTGGAGAGAGAGATGGGTTGGGGGAAAAAAGAGCTGAGTGTTGTTTTTAGTGCCCAGCAACTGCACAGAAATCTGGCCTCTATAAGCGCAAAGCTGCCTCCTTTTCGCTTGACGGGCATAAAAAAAAACATTTTCAGCACCACACATCCACTGGACAGCTCCCTACACGCTCAGCTCAAAGTCGCCAAATATCTGCTGCTTCATGAGTTTGTAAAACTCCAGTAATCACAATATCAACCTCTGAGGTGTGTGGTTTAGTTTAGTGTGTTTTTTCAACACTTATCCCTTAGGGCTGGCTCATATGGTTGAAATCATTATAAATAGCAAAATATTAATATGGAAAATAGCACATTCATAATAATCAATGGGGAATGCAATAATGCAATGAACTGTTCCACTTGTATGTAGAATGAAACTAAGTTAGTCTGTTGAAATAATTACTTTGATTAACAGAATTAAGTAAAACAGAAACAATACAATATGGTCATATCATTAGGTTACATTTTTATTAACGTTTTTATCTTTATTTATTCAGGTAATCTCATTCAGATCAACTTCTCTTTCATGAAAGACCACCTGAGAACTAAACAATTAGAGTCAAACTACCACACAGCATTAACAAACATAACAGAAAGCACATCCAATGCCATGAAATAATCAACATTTTAAAAGGTGTGTAATTACCTACGAATAAGTTGCATTGTGTTACTGTAGTTACAACATTTAAATAAAAAAAGAGATGTATAGTATTAGATTATCAATGTCCCTTATCTCTGTATTGAGAACTTCAGGACTAGATCAGGTTTTTTTTTGGATGTCTCATGAAATATTAATGGGTTTGTTGTTAGTTTTAACTTGTATGGCTTCCCAAAAAGACAGTACAGTGCTATAGCCTGGTTTCAAATAACAGCCCGGTGTGTCCAGCCTTCAGCAGCCTGAACAATGATATGTTTCTGTCCTGCGGCTCAGTAGGTTATTGTACACCATGCGGGCAGATGACCAGACCATCCATCCCTTTGAAACTTCCCCGCATTGACAGATGGATCATGAGTGCTGCCTCACAATTCTTAGTTAAAACAATCCATTTAATTAGACACCAAAGCCAGCCAAACTCCAAATAGTTCCACTTGGCCTGATGACTGATTCCCCACCACTTCACAGAGACCCATAAACAAAATGAATAGCTTCGACTGTACTCTTAATACACACAGACATAGTAGGGTATTGTAATCTAATAGTCCCCACAGATCCACAGCAAGCGGACACGAGTTTAATGAATTAGCTCTGAGTGCATATCCCATGTGCCAGATCCTCTCTGGTGCCAGGCACCACTGTGGCTGATATGAAGTTATTTCTCAGCCAGCATCAGAGTATGAGGAGGCATTTCTCTGTTGGAATTTATGAGCTGTCACACACTCGAGCTGCGCAGAGATATTGCCACTAAAACAAGACGTAATAAATAGTCCAAAGTTGACAGATGCATATTCATCAATCAGCAGCAGAATATGGGTGTTGGGCAGGTAGGCATTTAGATGCAAACAATCAAATTTCCTCCATACAACCATGGATGGATTATTGAGCACAGGCCCAGGGACCCAGGGGGTCAGGGGGCTGCTGGGCCAGAGCCTCTGTTTAAAATGAATGTCAACATTTCTTGTGGACGAGTCAATTAAGCAACTACAAAGACACTAAATGACCATAAAGAGATGCAACAGACCAGAAGGAGTCATTAAACAACCACAAAATGACCACAAAGAGACATAAAATGGCCGCAAAAGAACCACAAAGAAGCAATATGACCACAAACTGAAGCACACCATTTGCAAATTGTCCACAGAGACATGCAAAACCACCATGAACAGATGCAAAATGACAACAACAACACTCTAAACATCCATAAAGAAATGCCAAATGACCACAAAGATACTAAAAACAACCACAGAGAAACACAAACCACCATAAAGGGACACAAAACCACCACATAGTGATGCATAACCAGCACAAAGAGTGACGTTTTGCTCTATGCATACAGCATCTTGCCACAAATCTTACCAGCATCTGTCCAAGTCCTGTAAAATATGTGTGGTAATTACTCAAATGGATTACTAGGGCAGACATTTTACAATGTGTTCAATAAAAGCGCAACTGACTGTGTTCATTCAATGGTCTCAAATGGCTCTGTAAAACTGTGTGAAGGGCTGTGTGAAAACCTCATAGTAGATTAATCACAGAAAAAGTTTTTCAGTACCCATTTATCCCCACAGGATTGTCAGCATTTCTTGCAATCAGCATGAAATCCATACATCATTTCAACAATGCATAAAACCTTTAGAGGTTCATATGCATTGTGTACATATGTTCTCAGCAGTAGGGGCTCTCTGAGGTATTAACCAGTGCATTTGGTCCAGGATGGATGATCAGACTCATGAGTGTCCATGTATCTCCAGGGGTTCTGGTCCTGTCCTGGTATCCTCCCGGCCTGGCTGATGACAACGGGGAACCTGCTGAGGATTTGGTACCAGCTGTACTGGATGCTGCATATAGACATAACCTCAAGGTAAAAGGCATCAGCACATTTTGAGAGTGTGTGTGTGTGTGTGTGTGTGTGTGTGTGTGTGTGTGTGTGTGTGTGTGTGTGTGCACGAGCAAGAAACAAAGTGAGGAAAAAGTCCAAGAGAAATGAATCAAATCTATTCTGTGACATGATATTCAGCTCAATTTTTGCTGCATACTCCAAGTTCTTGCAGGAAAATGAGTGTTGATTGTTCAATGATTTGTCCATTTTTAGTCTAGTTTTTTTTTTTATTTGTTCTTTATTTTCACATTTCATTTAACCAAGTTAATCCTATTACACTAGCCTCTATTGATGAAAAAATAAAAAATTAGACAATAAAAAACAGTAGGCTAAGAACAGACATAATCAAGGATAGAAGTATTTACCATAAAGTTTACAATTGTGCGAGATATATCTAATTTATCAATTTACCAATTTTCCTTATCATCTCCATCAGTAGACACTAGAGACAGACAAACAATATTTCTGTTGTGATCTGAGATGATAATTGCGAGATGAAAATAAATTTGTAAGATTTGCATATAATTTGCCCCGGATTAATTGCATTATTATTCAACAAATCACCATAATCAAGAACCCTTACAACGGTGCTGTCGACCAGCCATCTCCTCAATTCAAAGGACAACAGGACTAAACTTCAGCTTCTGTTCCTTCACAAGGTTTTCAATGTGAAAGGAAAAAAAATCATCAAGACTTTAAAGGACGGACTGTATTTATTAAGTGTATCTGGGAGAGAATATCCACAGCTATACAACACTTTATCATCTGCATAGAAATAAGGGTTAGTTTCAAACAAGACACCTAAATTATCTATTTAAAGATAAAATAAAAGCAGGACAAGCCCAGAACCTTGAGGCACTCCATTAAAGGCAGTAAACCAGCTTAGACTGTGTTTTAACGTATTAACATAGGCTAATTATGTCAAACCTCCAGCTTCCTGAACTCAAATGTTAATGTATGGAGAGATACCCATTATTTTATTTCTGAATAGTTGCCAGAATATGAATTAGGCTGAGGCTCCATGTGTAAATATGATTGTCTTTCCATTATCTCTCCATCCATTCCTCTCACTGAGTACAGTGACACAGGAGCAAGTAAAGGATTATTGATGCTCCACAGAGGTGAGCAGAGAGCTTAACACTGCTCAGGATAGTAATCTAAAACCAGCCATTGTGCTGTGGTGAGTTATACATGGAAGCAGCGGTTTCTTTGTGTCACAGGAGAGTAAGATTAAGAGCTGTTGAACTTGTTCTGCTGCCTCCTATAGAGCTGTCTGTGCTACTCAGGGATTTGACTCCGGATGTTTGCAGCTGCAGTGACATCTCCAGCATTAGAGCAAAAACGGGTCAAAGAGCTGCTGCTGCTGGATCAGTTGTTCAGTGAGGAATGAATGAGCTCGGGAGCATATCAGTAGGGTGGAGAGGTGGGGGGTAGCAAAACCATGTGACCAATTGCCAATTAGGTTGGAAAATGGCACGTTGAAGGAAATAACTTTCCATGTTGGTCCCTCTGCCTCCTGTCACTGTATCGAAGGCTTATTAAAGTTTTACAGGGAACGCTCGCTTGTAATGCGATACAACTCATGTCAGATACTCTCCAGATACAGACAGAGAGAAGAGGTGAAGGATGACAATGCGATGGAGAAAGGGAGATACAAGATTATCTTTCAGTAGGAATTTGAAATGATGTATAAGAGAGACAGGCTTGTAAGAGTTTTCCTATGTCAAAGCAGGTGCCATTAATAATGCACCAACAGCATTCTACATGTTTTAAGTAAAAATCAGACATCTGACATGCTAGGGGGCTGGAACCAGATAAAAGCATCAGCGTTACTGTAAAGTTTTTCTTTTTTTTGTAGTTTAACCTCTAAAATATGATTATTGCTGTTTTTCTTGTTTATCATTGTAAACTGAATATCTTTGAGGTTTGGTCTGTTGGTTGAACAAGACATTTTAACCAAGCTATTTATTGATATTTGTATTCAATAATTACAGGAAAGTTGTCATCTTAGCGACCACCCAGTAGATTTAAAAGAAGATCACTTGTCTTGCATTTGAGAGATGATAAATAATTTGTGAAATTGTGGGAAAAAACACCACTACTCTTCCTGAACAAGCTTCATATTTCTGTGTTGAAGTTACACATTTAATTGTATTTTTATAAGCCTCTTCAAGTATGTTCCTATTTTATGTTTAGGACCAAAAAGAACTACCTTACCTCACTGACCTATAAGGAATCAAGTTGTATTTGTAACTTGCAAAGTTATCACCAAGGTTAATTACAAAGTTAATTAATTTCGAAGGACCATTATTGTAACTCAATTCATTATCATGCCAGTGTTTGTATGCTGATGTGAAGATAAAGTTAATTTATTTTCCAGCAGCAATGTGACACATATTGGCCTTGTTCTCCGTATGAACTCAGAGGAGAGGCAGTACGTTTGTCAGGCCAGTCTGTCAGATTTGATATCAGATTTGTTCAGTCTGCTGTTTGGCTGCAGGCAAAGGAATAATGTATCTTTTGTGAGAGCAAGACAAGTACGCCTGGATTAGACATGCAACACTGAACTGATGAGGTTTTACACATAATGCTGTCAGGAGAGAAGCTAATAGATTGAATTTAATGCCATATTTTCTTGTCATCAGTGACCCACCAAGCATGACATTTTTATAAAAAGTGTGGAGGAGGCGTGTGTGGAGAACAGGCTGTGACATGCTTTCTGCAAATCAAGTGAACATTTCAGTATCTCATTGAAATAAGAATACGGAATTGCTTATCTTCATGTCTTATGAAAGAAGATCACAATCAGAGAGCAGAGCAGAGAAAGCCTTCAAATAAAATGATTCTATGTACAGCAGCATGTTGAGTGCAGCCTTTCCAAGCAATCCTCTTCCAGTTCTCGTTGTTTTTGATGAACTCCTCCCACTCCCTCTTCACACAGGGACATTTATCGTTAGAGTGCTTCTTCTTGCATAATTTCAGCAAAATGCTGACAAGTAAAGAACTTTGGCTCTCATCATTTGGAACTCTAAATTAAATTTTTTTGAAAGCAACAATCTTTAAAAAAATCTTTGCTCTTTTCTACTGAAAGGAAGACTAAAAGGTGGGAGGGAAGCCCAAGTGAGGAGGACAGATGGTCCCGCAGGAGTAGTGACAACAGCCAAAAATGTATCAGATCAGGATTCAGGAAACGCGCATTTCTGCAATCTGCTTTTAGTAGCAAAGTGGCTACCAGCCAGTCTGAGAAACGGTTGTGACAGTACATGAGCAGTTTTGTTTTGAAACATCAGGCCCTTGGTGAGTCTGTATAATTACACTAAAATCGTTGTATTACTTTCTTTGTCCTGTGCTATCTTCTCTTGTTTGTCACAACAGCACTCCTCCTAACTGAGAATGAGGATTACAGTACGCCTGCCACTCTTCCTAACCAACTACTCGATAGAGCAATCTAAGACAGCATGTGGACAAGTCTTTACAGTGGTTTTATGTAGCTCAGTGGGGCATAAATATGGCATTAACCTTTCCAAGATTCATGGCTGGATAAACCTATTGGGGGCCTGGGCCAAAAACTAGCTATTGGGCCCCTAATGACTCCCAGAAATAGTGAAAAATGCCTGTTTCTCAAATGTATGTATTGAAATTGCTGTTTTATTCAGTCCAAAACCTCAAAGATATTCAGTTAACCCTCGGACAGAGAAAAGCATGAAACCAGAGAATTCTTGCTATTTAATGTTTGCCAAATTACTTAATCTATTATCCAAATTAGTTACTGATTAATGTTTTGTTTTAATGTATGATAGGTGGGTTTAGTTTGTTGCTACAAGCCACATCTAAGTTCAAGATGAGTCAGTAAAAATAATTTAATTTATTGTAAAATGTACATAAATATTGGTTTAAAAATAGTCAAAAATAATATTTTGGACATCTGTTTTGACACGTAACGAGGGATAACTGCACAATTAACACAGGAATAACAGTTTAAAATGTTAAAAATACATTTAAAACTAGATTTTGATACTTAATCCCTACAAGTGACCACAGTTGCTTAATGTAGCCTGGGGGGGGGGTTTGTATGCACCCATAGTGGTATATGGAGAATTAGGTAAGAAAAATACTCTAAATTACTCTCAAGTTCAACTTCCATCATACTGGCAATGCCTCACCACATAGCTAAAAACACACTGAGACCTCGTTGGGTAATGCTGCACAAGAAAGCAATGTACTTTTTATTATATAAGTTGAACTGTATTTCAGCAGCACCCACACACTTCTCGTGTTTTTTGTATGAAAGAGTTGGAAAGCAGAACACATGGAGCCTCCACAGCAGTGCTGCTGCTCGACCTCAGCTTGAAGTGGATCTGAAATAGTCCTTCTGCCCAGGGAGGGTGGGGGCGGTTTGGTGGGGACAAGGTTGGGGGGGGGATTGGAAGCTGGTTGCAGGAGGGAGGGAGCAGAGGGGAAATGTGCATCATGGGTGCCATGACTCAGTTTGCCTCCCTGAACAATCTGCACCCTGAGGGGCTGTGAAAGTTCTATCCAGTAAGTAGGCCATGTAGCTGCATGTACGCAGGGGAATAAGGCCCATGGGTGCCCTGTGATGGCATCAGCCACACATTCTTGTTTCCAGATGTACCAAGTAGCTACATTCAGTCTTATGTGACCCTCCATTATTGTGTGTGTCCAGTGGCTTTGACCACAGAATGAAACTGACACTTTTGCATAAAGAAATGTGCTCAGCTTCCTTGAAATTGATCTAATTGTTATAAAGGTCTGGACCTTTATCATTGTGTTGGCTCATATCCCTCTCTTTGTGCTTTCTGCATGATGTGGCACTAAATTCCACTCTGCTCAGCATAAATCATGCTGGGGTTGTTCCAGGCTCATGCTGTCAGTGTTTATGAGGTTTCAAAATGCGTCGACTCTGTCTCATTTACTTCTAAATTACCACAGAGTAATGGGCCAGTGTGTTTGGAAAATGAGTTGAGTTTTCTAGTGGCGTGCAGTCTGCTGCAGTGAACAGGGAGACCATAACAACTTTTTTTCCTCACTGTGGATGGTAATTATGTGGCTTCATATGCTATAATACCTCACAGTTTTTTTAAAAAATAGGTTCATATTTAATCTGGCTTTACTGGACTGGTACTTAACAAGACATCCAGAAAGTTATAGCTTCCCAAACACTTATCCCAGGCTATGATTTACTCAGGTGGCAAGGATCTTTCTTCCTCTATCTTTCTTCAAATTGATACTTTGCCAGCATCCTACACCATCAAAATGTATGTTTTGTTTTACAAAAAAGCACTTAGCATCTCCCTTAGCGGCACAAGTGGTTCTGTTTTTCTTGCCTCCAGCTGAAATTTCATCTAAAGACATTTGCCGTGTAAAACAGTTTGCTAGGCTTTAGCCAATTTCAAACATCACTTTAATCCATTAGTACACTTATGGTCAATGTCACAGTGACACACTCAGTGGTGCCAACAGTCCTTTTTCCCAGAGAAAAGCTCCAGTGCAGTGTGCACCGCATGCTTATAATACAGCTTCCTATAGTAAACATTTTACAGATAACAAGCACACCATCACAAGACAAAGATTAAATGAACAATGTAAATCGTCCTTTTTCCTCACTGTTATGTTCTAATTCCAGATAGTGATATACATGCTTTAATCCTGCACATTTTCTGTCAGTGATACTGTTTTTTAGCCATGGTAATGCTGTGGCTTGAGGGATGGTAAAGTCAGTCTGTCGGTAGACCTCTTCGGTCCAGACTGATGTATCTCTACAACAAAAAGTCATTGCCTCCATGGCATTCATGGTACCCACAGGATCCTGATCACTTTGTGGAAAGAAGGTGAGAAGTATTTAGTTGGTTGCAATCTGCAACTTCACCGCTAGATATGACTAAATCCTTCACTTGTCCTTTTAACATCAGCAAGTTAGCACTGTCATTGCAGCATAGCATCACACAGCCTCACAGAGCCACTAGCATGGCATAATAAAATCCTGGGCTAATTGTAGCCGTTCACCTGATACACACAACTTAGTTCTGTCGGTCCTGTGTAGCTCACTAGATGACATCTTACATCCATTTAGTTGCTGTTGGCCTCCATCGTCTTAAAAAGCCCATTTCTCTTTACTTCCCTGGGGTGTCCACTGCTCGAGAAGAAAAATGTTTCACTTTGATCATACATTATTCAAATTGCTGAATTCTCTGGCCATGCCTTAAAATATTTAACCCAAGCACTTTTTGTGTACATGTCACTTCGGGTCCCTTGTTCCTCCTGCTGCTTTTGTTCATCAATTGAAAATACCCATGTCTAACTGAGAGTACTAAGAGTGTTACAAAAGTCTCCAAAGGGGCACCACTTAGGGTTAAAAACATCTTCTACAGTGTGACAGAAATTTGTCATGAAAAATGAGAGAGTAAAAACATGGTTCTTTACAGTCACATCCTGTCTGCCGCCTGCTGTCATGCTGTGCTTTAGGGCCACATTCTTTAAAATGGTGCATGATTTACTTGTATTGCACACTTAGCATGGTTGATGTCAAAAACAATACACATCTCTTTGAGCTTTTTTCCTCCTGGCAGCTCCTGAGTCCTCTGAGGAGTCTCCCCTTAGTATGTGAATGTTGATTTTATGTCAGTACTTCATCTGTATGTGCTGACTGTGGTATCATTTATATAATGAATGGAAACCAACAAGGCGTGTGTCTTTCTGCATGTTTTCCTAGGTGGCATTTCACATCCAGCCATACAGAGGACGAAATGACCAGAGTGTGCATGACAACATCAAGTATATCATTGACAGGTATGCACTTGTCTGGCTGCATTACTCCATCACTGACTCAACTTGAACCATTAAGACTTCATGCACAGTTAAAGTGCAACGGTAGTTACAAAACTGAAATACTTTTAGAAAGCATTTCTGCTTATATAAGGCCAGTTTCATGACTTATGAATGAGTTCTTGAAGCAAAAACTATTTTTTTTTACCTTTTAGTATCAAGGTTGCTCTGAAAAGAAGCACATGTCGTCTATATACAAACAAAAAAGGCTCAACACCTCCAAAGATATTCAGTTTCCAAGAAATACTCTTCATATTTTGCCTCAACAGTGATGGTGATAGGACAATCCTTCACCTACTTAAAACTATTTGCTTGGTTTCCATTATGTTTGCTGTAGATTTTGGTGACTCTATAATAATCCTTTATTAACTTAATATGCAAAATAATGTTTCCGCTTTTGTTTCCCCTTATGTAGCATTTAAAAATATAATAACATATTTTTATGGCCACTTGGGGGCAGCAGAAACACGTTGTGAACACAACACTGACATTTCCTCAACTTTTAAGTTTTATATAGTGAACTTGTTAGCAAACAGTTGGTTATTTACACATCCAGGAGTTAAAGACTAACTTTATCATTCATTTGAAGTCGTGTCTCTAGCCATCTGCTGAATGTAAGACCAGTATTCCCTCTGTTTTTAGCTCTGTTTTTAGTCTCCACCAACTCTAGTTTTTAGAGCCTTTTTGCCAAAAACAGCTGCCTGCTACAGCCAAAAATTATGCTGTGAACCAAAACGGTAACGTTGTGGCATGTACGGCTAAACAACCGGCTGCAACTTGGTATAAAGCTCCATAAAGCCGAGGGAAACTGCAGATTCCTAATCAATTCTTTGTAGGTTCATCACTACAAGTGACCTATTTTACATCGTCATTTGACACAAAACATATTGATTATAGCTGCTGTAGGTTTTTACAATCATCTTACTACACACTCTGACAGCCTCATATACTGTATATTTTTATGTTTATTTAAAATCAAATATGCAAACCCATGTTTTGTCTGGCTGCATCATCCCATTAAGTAAAACTATTCTCCATGTCTTGTGCATCATTTCATACATTTCCTCAAAGTTCAGCCCATAATGACCTATTTGACCTCTTTAATAACTTTTTGATCTCCACTAGAATTTGAGTTTATAATAACTGGCCAATGACTTGTTGAAAGGTTTACTGCCATCAGGCCAAAATATCCACTATGAAACTTACTGAGAAGATTTGTGATCCCCAGAGGATAAACTCTTTCCTCAACAGGAGATTTCTTCTCCTTGTGTCCCACGGTCAGCTTGAAACATATAATATAACACATATTAACAAACTAATCTAAAAGGCAGATTGATATGACACTTGACCACATTAATCCTACTCAAAGGGTAAACACTTTTGAATTGATTTAATGACTCCCACGGTTTTTTCTCTTCCACCAGGCTCAGAAGAAACATTTTCAGCCCTTTGCTGTTAAATCTTGCAAAATGATCAGTTTGTTGCACATTCCTTTGATGAGCATTGCTGCCTCTTGACTTAATCAACTAGTCATTTATCAACTAATTATTTCAGCACTAACTTACTGTTATTATTTCACTGCATTATTGTCTTTAAAGGTACGGTGACCATGGAGCCTTCTACAAGTTCACTTCCAGCACAGGGAAGAGTCTTCCTCTATTTTATATCTACGACACCTACCTAACTCCACCAGAGTCCTGGTCTGAATTTTTGACTCCCACTGGCTCCCACAGCGTGCGAGGCTCAGCCTATGACTCCATCTTCATTGCCCTGATTGTGGAGGAGCGCCACAAGCACGACATCCTCGCAGGTGGCTTTGACGGCATGTACACTTACTTCGCTTCCAACGGTTTCTCCTTCGGCTCCTCTCACCAGAACTGGAAGGCCATCAAAGCTTTTTGTGACGGCAACAATCTCCTTTTCATCCCCAGCGTTGGGCCTGGTTATATCGACACAAGCATCCGGCCTTGGAACAACCACAACATGCGCAACAGGGTGAACGGACGTTACTACGAGACGGCCCTGCAGGCAGCACTGAATGTGAGGCCAGAAATGGTCACCATCACATCTTTTAATGAATGGCACGAGGGGACGCAGATAGAGAGGGCCGTACCCAAAAAAACAGTGACCCGTGTGTACTTGGACTATCAGCCACATGGACCTGATCACTACCTGGAGCTGACCCGCCGCTGGGCAGAACAGTTCAACAAAGAGAAGGAGCAGTGGCTCATGTGAGCTTTCATCAAACTGACTTGAAACGGCATGCTCTTGTGGAAGTGTGTGTACACACAGAAGAGAAAGAACAAAAGGGAGTGAATGTAGAGTGATCAGTATAGATTTGAGTGCATAAGGACATGCTTTTACCTTTAATTGACTGGATATGAGACTTCCTGTGAGTGAGTGCATTTGTGCAGGGATGCTGATCTGCAAGAATAGATCCCGTGTTGGTGGTGTAACTGTCTTGAAGTTTTCAGGTAAAGCAGCATTAAAGGGTTATTCTTGGGAACTTCCATTGACAGCCCAGACTTCTAAAATGCTCTGTAAGGTGGTCCCTGACCTCTATTCATTTAATGATTTTCTCAAATACGCTTCCTGAGAAACTCCTGCCTGAGACATTCATAAATACTGTCACCATGTAAAGGCCTCATTTCCCTCCCTGCAGTTACATAATAGATTTGATTACAATAGCAAGACACTTCCATGGTTTTGCTTTGATCCACAACAGACTCTCCAAACAGAATGAGACACTAATCTTCCCTTTTCCCTGGTTCAGAGAGCTCATTGAAATGGTCTTTTAAAGGCTGTGAGTATGGGGTTAGGCATGCAAGTACAGAGTTTAATGAAGTTTATTGCAGCTGTCATGCAAAAACTCCACTTCTTCAACATGATTCTTATGAAATTTAAAAGGAACAATTGAGCATTTTGGGAAATACTTGCTGTTTTCTTGCTGAGAGTTAGATTGATACCACTCTCATATTGGCTATTAAATATGAAGCTACAGCCAGCTGTCCAACACTAACAGTATTCACTGCATCTCTAAAGCTAATTTATTAAGACATTATATATCTCATTTGTTTAATCCGTTCAAAAACCAAAGTGTAACAATGACAAAATGATTGTTGTTGTGGCATTGACGTTGACTGCCAGTCTCCACTTGTTGCCTCGCAACCTGATGCTTACATCAATCTTCATATTTAACTCTTGGCAAGAAAGTGAATACATTTATTTGCAAATATGTCAAACTATTGCTTTAAGAGTTTTATTTCAAATCATACAAAATATTTCAACAGGGTTTTATAACACGTCAGAGCCCAGCCTGCATCAGTAATAACCCCCTGGAAGAAACTTCAAGAAAAGTATATTAGTTGGTAAGTAAAATAAAATACCCTTCCAGTTTATATATTTATAGCATGCAGATTTTCACTTCTCTCGATAGTGCTAACCAACAAAGGTGTTCGGTGTCAGAATTATATCAGGTCCATTTGGCAAGTAAAGAAAGTCAGACAGGCAATTTAAGCGCAGTTACACCAAACGTGGCCTTAAGGTTGTCCAAAACAGAACAAAAAAATCTGAATTTAGCAACATTTTTCCTGATTCTTCCCCACCTGATGATCAGAATTCGAGTTTCTTTAAATTAAGCAGAACTGACAGACTCAGAATATGATATGAATAAAAATGTACCACTGACTGGGGCACTCCTAAAACCTATTAAAGTAAAAGGCACTTTTAGAGAGGCATCTTTAAGATTAAAAGTATGCTCTTTGATGTGTCTTTGGTTGTGAAGGACGTTTCGGAGTGATTTCTGCTTGTTTTTTAAAAACATTTATGATCTGACTCTTGATTTCACACTCCATTAAGAATCAATTATGAGTAAAGCCAGCCAGAAATCTAAAAATAAACCCAGAAGTATGTCTCAAATTGCATCTTACGCATGAATAAGACTCTTACAGAAAAAGTTTTATTGGTGTATAAGGTTGTACAATTCGTCATAACCAGTTAACAGCAGGTGATGAGAACTTCAAAAAACGCTCCAGGTTTTAACCTGCAAGAGGACAGATGAATTTCACACTGCATCAACACTTTGAAATATTACAGTATTTTTCATCTTGTAAATGTATTGTAGTTTAAGTTTCATAAAACCGTTATTGTAACTGGAAGGAGACCAATTGCAATGCAAACCACTGTTAAACTGACGTGGATGAAATAAATAAAAGGGGATTCATAATTTATTGAAAAATAGTTCTGGACTCAAAAAGATCTGATGTATAGTCAATGCGATTCACAGAATCACTTAGAAGTTTTCTGGCCATTAAACAGTTGCCTACTACACCTCTAACATATTAAGTCAAAAAATACAAAAACAAAACAAAACAAAACATTGTATTCTTGGTTAAGCCATGTTGAAAATACAAAAAGATTTAGTTTAAATCCTATATAGCTGACATTGTTCTAGTTTTCTGAATAAAATGGTAGAGAACTGTGACACTTAAAATCCTACATAATCCCATAATGGTAGACCCATAGTAAGGCGGAAATATGGTCATCATAAAACCAAAAAAAGTCCAGACCCTAAAGCAACTACTAGAATGATATCGGCCATCAGCGGTTTAACGCTCAAGTTGTTCCTGAGTTCTAGTCTTTCCCGGGAAAGGCAAATTCTTCCATGTGGACATTCAGACAGGATTCATCTTGTCTGAGGACACCCGGGGTCAACGCTCATTGTGCGTCTTGGCGTTTGTTGTGGAGTGTGGAGAGTTCAAAGGTCATTCCTCTGACAGTCCATATTTGTGCTCCAGCACGTCAACCGTACAAGAAAGGGCACTGAAAAGAGAATTACAGTCGTTTAATGTACGGAGTCTCCGACAGGAGTAAAAATTGGGGTGTGAGGTGGCACAGTTGGTGGCAAGACCAAAGTCAACCGTAGCCATGTTTTTTAGTCCACGCCACAAAAACACCCCTGATGACTTTCTGTTAAGTGTTTACATATTCTGTCTTCACATGCAGATGCTGCAGGAGGCTCGTCCTCCCAGCGGTTGAGTACATTGAGGTGACACCGTCTCCTCGGTAGAAAACACAGCAGGAAACCATAAACACTGTCAGGTGCTTGAAGCCAGTCGTGAATCTAGGAATTTAATAAATTAGCCTGCGTGCAATATTGGTGCATATATTCCTTTCTTCCTGTGTGCAGTAAACAGAAAACCTGAAGGTACGGTCACATCAATCTTACGCATAATTCACTCTGTCTGTACAAATTTAAGAATGTGCTTCCTGTCTTCAGTGCGACCTGGGTCAGACTTCACCTTTGTTCAGCTTTGTCCTGCAAATTTGTTTGGGCAGCCAATAGAAATAATAGCTGTGTCCCAAATCCATAAAACGGTACATACTAATTCTATACATGTACTACATACTCGCCATGATATACTGTTTTAGCAGTTAGTATATAAAGATAACATAATTTACAATGTCATACCAACAGGAAATGATAAAACATGTGATGTCAGTTGTCTGTAACTTTAAAAAACTCTAAAAGAGACATCAAAATGTTCAAGATTTCTTTAGGTTCCACTTGTAAGCATCGTCCATTTGCTTTGTGCATTGCATTGTGGGAGAATAATGCATTTCAACCGCACACTCAAAAACTGAACGTATTTAGTATGCATACAGCTTTTCTGCATTGTTTTGCCACTTTTCCACTGTGAACATACTACACTCTAAAAACCGGCTCAGAATCAGCATGTATTATGGATTTGGGACACAAGTGTGTTGGAAACGCATATGTCATTATTCTTATGATGCCATCATGTAGTTTTGTACAATATTAGACCACCAGATGACAAACTGTACCATCGGTCTCATACATTGTCTACAGATCGCTCTGATCAATATTTATTTATTACTGAACTCTGAACCATCACATCCTTTGTCAGGGACGAGTTTGGGGCTATTCTGTTGCATGAAGTGTAATCTGTCCTTTATTACATTCATTTAAAACATGATGAAGGTCATTAAAAAAAAAAAAAAAAAAAAGCATTTGAAAAATGTTGGGTGTTTTTGCTAAAATCTTAGTGGTCCTGTAAATCATTTTCTGGATATTATTACTATGTTACTGCAAAATGAACATTGATTGGGTCCCAGTAACAACATGAACTCACCAGCCGGGTCTGATGATGCTGTATTTGCCCCGCACAGATAAGTTGACCACTGTTGATCCGAGGCGGCTCTGATCTCCTATTGGTCCTTCATCGACCACCACTGCTAGTTTGGGCCACAGTTCCTGAAACTCCTTCAGAGGAGACACAACAGGATTGAAGAATAATTATGTAAACTTGAATGACAAAGAGATAAAACTAAGAAACACTCTTCCAACCAGAATTAAGAAGCTGGGAAACATGCTGAAAATTAATAACAAATGTGAGATAAAAGAATCTCTCATCTCATTTACTTTTCACTTACATGTACGGCCACAGTGCTGGTGTGTGAGCTGATGTTAGCGCTGGTAAGTGCGAGGGGTTCCCCACACATCTGGCAGAGGCGTCTCATGAAGGCGTGGTCTGGGATACGCACACCTACAAGCTGAGGAGCACATGGACACGTTAACAACAGAGGATTGATAAAATCACACATAAAACATTTGTTTTATTGCTTTATTTTCAGTACCAGCCATTTGAAGGAGTGGACTTACCGAAGTAAAGGGGTTGAGATCTGTGTTCAGCACTTCAGATCTTTCAAACACCAGAGTGACGGGACCAGGCAGCAGGTCCTCTAGCAGTGGTTCCTTTACCGGCACCTTACAGTACCTGACCATGGACACAGAAACATGTTTAACATTGTAAGTGTGTGATGTTGCAGGTTTAATCCAAGGAGTATCGCCTTGTCTCTTCTGCAGTATTTTGTGATTATGTACAAAAAAAAATGCCTTCATTTAAAATAGTTACCTAACGAATGAATGAATGAATGAATGAACGAACACTGTGGTATTTCTGTGACAGCAGGTGTGCCTGTCAATCAAAATGTAAAATGTCTCTCGGTGGTGTGAAGAAGGCCTCGCTGCCTCTTCTACATATGACTCCTGTGTATGATGACTAATATTTACAGGAGGTGGAACATTTACTCAAGTACTGTACGTAAGTACAAATTTGAGTTACTTGGTTTCTATTACTACTCTGCTACATTTCAGAGGGAAATACTGTACTTTACAATTTGTACTTGTTACTCTAGTAAAAATCTGATTTTTGCATACAAAGAGCTAATATTAATATTTAATTAATTAATTAATTAATAAATAAAACTATTTTGACAAAAGCTTCAGCCATTTTTCATGCAAAAACATTTAATGGTTCCAGGTTGGCAAATAAGAGGATTTGCTATTTATTTAAATTTTTTTCCAGGGGGCTTTTTTCCCCAGATAGGACAGCTAAAGATAGACAGGAAGGGGATAGAGAGAGGAGGGGGTGACATGCAGCAAAGGGCCACAGGTTGGAGTCGAACCTCCCTTTGAATTATTTTGATTTCTTTTTTTGATTGGTTGGATGTGGTGTCATTTGGGGCTCTGGTTTTACAAACAATCTAATAATGGAGATAATAATCAGCAGATTAATCCATAATGAAAATAATCACGACTTTCTATCCAACACAAAAAAACTTTTACTTAACCCTTACATACTGCAATTTTTTTTTTTGTAATTGACCCGTTTTGACATTTGACAGCAGTAAAAATATTCTGCATGTCATTCTTTTAACCTGAAATTTGATGACTTTTCCTAAAGTGACCCAAAATACACACACAAAAAAAAAAAAATGTTAAACTTTTGCACAGGTGCTACACATTTTTGTACATCGATGCTGTTCCGGATCAAATTTGACAGGCCCCTGCTGGTCTTGGGAGGCCATGGGGGAACCTCGAAACAGTGAAATAGTAAAACAGCATAGGAGTGGTCATATATGGTGCACATAAGAAACAAAAGGTCATACAGAGGTCAGAGGGTGCCTTGACACAGAGACTTGCACCTGCACCTGCAATGTAACAATATAATCTAAAAATAGACAAACTAGAATCAAATCAATGTGTGTGTGTGTATATGTGTGTGTGTGTGTGTGTGTGTGGAGGAGAAGGGGTGGGGTTAATACGATTATAAAAGGTACCAGAGCTGCCCTTTCAGTGGCAGAGGTACAGAGGTCATGGCAGCAAGACTCACTCTTCAACAGGTCCTTGATCAGATCTTCCACGATGAAGAAGCTGAGAGTGATTTGGAGGAGGATGTGTCAGAGCAAGAAGATAACATAGAGGAAAACTCTGATTACAGCCAATCTGATGAAGATGCCTCTGAGGGAGAGGAGCAGGCAGCAAGAGAGATTGTTTATGTCAAAAAACAATGCCATCTGTTGGTCAAGTTTCAGGCAGGAGGGCAGCGGAAAATGTCATTCAAATGACTCCAGGACCCACAAGATTGGCCACCTCTTATGCTTCACTATTAATCAAATATATTTAAATCATTATGGCTGTTATGTTTTCATGTCTTAGGTAAAACAGGACATGATATAGTGTGATATAGCTGTTTTTTCTCCAAAAACGAGTGGTCTAGAACCTGAAAAATACACTCATACCATTTAAATTCATAAATTAAGGATTAATAATGAATGTATTCATGTAAGATAGGCTATTTACATATTCTAAATAGATCTGTAGTTCAAAATATGGTATAAACACTTTTTATGAGGACTTTCATTTTGACCCGGACCATACTGTGAGGGCATTGGATATGAACAGTTTGTTTTCAATTCAGGACAATATATTTTACAGTGTGGTATTATTACTTCAACTTAAATAAAATACTTCCACCAACACTGTGCATACAGATGGGTGACAATTTAAAGGCAAAACCAACACAAACCTCCGACTGTCTGGAACCCTCTCCATTATCCCATAGGTGTTCAGTTGATTCACATCATTTTCATCAAAGCATTCAATGACCCCTTGTGTCCCGGATGAAAGCCTGTGTACTTGTCATGTTCCTCCTCTTATTCATTCAGGTTTTTCCTTTAATTTGTCACCCGTCTGCGTGTGCAATATGGTAGGTCTAACCATCTAAACCATCGCACTTCTAAAAAGGACTGGCACCAAAACACAACAGTTACTGTCTGCATTCAAAGTGTAGCTCCGTTAGAAACATCAGCCATCGTGTTCACCATCCACCAACAACGACAAAATAGGCCCAGATTACGTCTTCCTCCAATTCTGGTGGTACAACAGCCGAGACCAGTACAAATACTTACTTATAGATATCCTGAGTTTCTCCGACACAGATGGCGAGCGGCTTCTGTCCATTACGTCCTTTGATGTCGTAGGTTTTTCTGATGGCTTCGGAGTTCTGGGCCAGACATGCCAGGCCGTAGATGGTGTCCGTGGGCACAGCAACCACGTGACCCTCCTTCAGAGCCTTCACCGTGCAACTCAGGATTTCAGCACCATCTGCAGTTCAAAAGACGACAAGGAGGGTCAAACGAGGCATCATCATCATCATCATCATCATCAACAACAAACATTGTGTCATTAGTATTGTAAAAGGATTTAGACTGAACGAGATAAACTCGCAGATGTGGACAGTCATACATGTATTGCTTTATAACTGCACTGCATTGATTTGTCTAACACAGCTATTGAGTTGCATTATGGGAAGTGTAGGATTCAGCCTTTTTCCTTTCTCTTTCAGCTCATACCAGGGATTAGGATATCTGTTACTTGTGAGTACCCTGAATGTATTCTTGTAAGCACTCGAATACTCATATTAGTAAAGCATAAAGCACTTCATACATCTACTGCACTGCATTACAGAGGGAGCTGTGCTTTCTGCTCAGCCACTAATTATCTAATCAGTAGAATAAGGGTTGGCAAAACATGAGTTATAAATATGACAAATGGCAATACTCTGTATACTCAGTACTCAAAGTGGCTTCATTGAAATGATACATAAACATAAATGCATCAGTGATGTAACAGCCTGTCAGGTTGAAAATGAACACTCATTATTGTTACTATCTGATGACATTAGAAGTAGGACAGCTGTCTGTTTACAAGGTGAACTACCTTCACTGTCCAAGGTAGAGGAACCAGTTGGGTGTGTGTCTATTTCAGGAATCTGATGCAACACACTGCAACTGCTAAACATCTAATGCAAATAGCTCTTTAAAATCTCTCCCAGTCACTCACTCACGTTTAAAACCGACCCACGTGGTCGCTTGCTGGGACAGAGCTCACCTGTTTGATCCCCCTGGTGAACAGACGGCCCATTGGAGGTCGGCGGCAGTAAACGCAGCACTTTGGTCTTGAGCTCTTTACACATCTCTGCTCCGAGTCGACTGTGAGCTGCGGCCGGACTGTGAGCGGCTCCGGGTTTGAGTAATTCAACCGCGATGTTACAAACGGACTTCATAAAATCCAAGTTACAGACATGGGAACGTGTTGTCGCCGCCGGATGAAAGGACAGAACACTTCCGGGTGACGCCCCCCAAAACCATGACGCTTAACTTTCTTAAAGGGCCAGTAACAGCTTTGTTTCAGATAGTCGAGTGGAGAGTTAGGTTGTGTTTTAAATTACTCTATTTAAAAGAAAATGTAAAAAATTCATAACCCAAAAAGAGTACCTTTATAACAGAAACCCAGTTTAAAAATGTCAGACATTAAAATGTAACATTGTATTCAAACGATCCCTAATATAACCAACTTTATTGAAACATCTCAATATATATAAATTATATAAAACAAGTTAGCCCTGAACTTTTTTATTTTTTATCCCTGAACTCTTGACATAATGATGTTGTTAAAGTTTGGTATGTCATAGTCTTGCTATAAAAATAAATAAACATTATTTTGGACACATGTAATATCTGGAAAGGTATTTTTGGGGGTATTTCTTCAAACTCTCCAACAGATATTGCGCACACTGACGCTTATTTACTTGCCTGCCGTCCTCATCACTCATTAGTTAGGGAGATTTAAATCAGCTGTGGAAACCTGCTTCAAAACGCAGACACAATAGAAAATAGAGTTTTACAGGACAAATCATATGTCTTTGGTCATGGCATCGGACACAGGTAACTAACCATGCAGCCTTTTTTTTTTTTTTTTTTTTTTTTAAGCATAGCTGTTGCATTATAATGAACATTTCTGTTTGTAACTTCTACAGATTGCACAGCAGAGACAATGGCCCTGCGGACTGATGAGGCTGTTTCACCGGTCGAACAGGTCAGACACAGTGTGAGGCTTTAACATTTGACGGCTGTCCGCCCAAATTAACTGGTGGCCAACATGTTTCTGTCCTCCGCAGAAGCTGGAGGACGTTGAGGACAGACTGGTGAATCTGTCTGACAGGATAACTCTGTGCAACAGAGTCCTGAATGACTTAAAGGATCTAAGTGATGTTCTAGTGGTGAGATCTCTTTTTTTTTTTTTCTCCTCTCCTCACACCCCTGTGACTCACTGCAGATTGTGAAAGTTAATGTTATTAATATGTCCCACAGAGGAAGTCTCTCCAGGATGTGTCCTTACCGCCACAGAAGTGACCAGAAGTGGAAGTCTTTTTCTTTTCTTTTTCTCCCTGCCTATGCTTATATAATTTAAATAAATTCAATGAACATCAACTCTGCAAAGACTTCATTAAGCAGAAGAAACATTTCAGTGACAAGGATAAGGTTTTATTAGTATTATATTGCTCTCAATTCAGAAAGTTATTTATCATAATACTTTATACGAAACAAGCATAAGCAAACATTTTCACATTATACATTCTTTTAAAAAATACAAATCCTCAACAATTCATCACTCTTTGGGTGTCAAGACATTCCTTTGGAAGCATATAGTCCCCCCCCCACCACCTTTGTTGTTCTTTTTCTTTTTTTTTTTTTTTAAATATTGCCCATATTGGAAAAATGATGGCAGAAACTCTGTTTCCAAAAAACACTGTGGCTTTACATTTGTGATCAAACAATGTGCTTCCAAACAAATGTCACCATCAGTGATTTACTGATGTTACCATTTCTGGTAAACTTTCAGATAGACTAACCTGGGCCACAAGTTTAAAAAAAAACAAAAAAAAAAACAAACCTTTTCTCTGCTTATTGATTAAAACAAATATGGGCAGCTGCAAGTTTGACTTTCATTGGTAAAGATGAGCCGAGAGATGTCAAATGTGAAAGGCTGAGATGACAACTTAGATGGAGTGGGCCCAAATGAAACATGTTTATGCATAAAGTGTAAAAGTACAAAAAAAAAGAAAAAGAAAAAGCTGCGTACATTTGACCAAAATAATTCTTAAAACAGAATCATTCATTCACGAAGTACTTCAAACAAATCCAGTTGGTTTTAAAAGGCATGTAAAAGGAAAACTGTGGTGCAACATTCATGGGAACAGTACATGGATGGACAACTACAAAGTCCAGATTCACACCACTGTGGAATATGAAATGCAATAAACTGGAGTTCAACGAGCATACTTAACGTGTATGCATTGGAAAGGCAACGTTTGCCTTCAGAGTTCTGCATATAATGTTTCAGCAGAATATAATTTATTGGAGGGAGGAATAAATAATCTTTTTGTCTTGTAGTCAATATTTAAACTTGTGAATGCCACACGTAAAATTGCATAGTTGTGTTCAATGACAGTATGCATGTATGAATATATATTTATGGTATGAGTCTGACTCCTGGCAGTAATTTCATTGAGTGTCTCAACACGGAAACGGTGAGTAAATTGTTACCATTTTGCAATCCAATGGAGCCAAGTAGAGACACTCTTAATATCTAATACTGCATATCTGGAATGGTTCAGGGGACAAAAAATGTGACTAGAGGCTTTCACAACATTATCTAAATACCTTCTTGGCACCTGTGAATTGAGGGAAAGCTCCATTTTGAAATTATGGAAAAAGAGAGGGGGGGAAAAAAACAACCCAGATAGGTAAAGTGATGTGCATGTCAGTTTGGTTTTGATCCTACTGCCTGGACCTAAAATGTAGAATCACATCACATGCATCTGTTATGTAGCTGATTATATTTTTACAGTCAGTTGGGAAAACAATACAGATTCAAGGAAAACCAATAAGCTTCTCTGTCTCAATGCTTTTTGCCTTGTTGTGATCTGCTGCTGGAAGCGATTGCCTGAGACTCAATGACGATGAATGTGTTGGCATGTCAATGGCAAGTCTGAAGCAGAGACTGTCAAGGCAAGGAGGCTCATAGAACAGTTATGTTGTAAGGCCAAGTAGCTCTACACTCTAGTATACAGGGCATAATGCCGTCGCTCTATCATCATTGCATTGTGTCCCATATGTGAAACAATACTGTTAAATTATACTCTGAGGAGGAGCCTATTTGTTACATATATTTTGTTACTATGGGGACTGTACAAAAGCCCAGCTGCTAGTAGAACTATTCAACTAAACACAGCAAAAACTCTTCTGCATAAATGTGACTGGGGGAAGAATGCCAGGGATACATTAGCTCCAAACTCTGAGAGTTAGTAATTCAAAAGTCTATACAAAAATACAAATTCTAGAATAATCTACAAGTTTCTCAAAGATGTTTACACTAAAATGTACTGTATTTACACTGTCACCAGGACACCATCTTTTTAAATGCTACTTTACAGCAGTTGTATACAAAAGTCTGTAGTGGTGCTGCAGTTCAGCTAACAAGCTGTCAGGTTACTCACTTTACAGGTTAGTGTGCAATAAACAGGGAAGAGTGCAGCAAAACGTAGGGCTACTGCAAGTGTGGGGCATCTGGTAAGAAAACCTTATGTCTAAGTAACAAATTAAGGGAACCAGGATCACTTATGACTTGATGCATCCCTGAGAGGGTCACAACCCTATAAAACATGGGATGTTGACAGTAGTTCCTTACTATTTCATTGTGGACAATTTTTGCAAACAAGCAGATCCTTGAGGATAATTTGCTTCACTGTGCAGTCAACTATAGGTGCCTCTTTCCTCAAACTTGCTTTTAGCAATACCCATTACGTTCTCAATAAAAAAATGGAAGAAAAAAAGCAATTCAGTAACATAAAAACAGCTCAACTTAAAAATACAAGTGATTGGAATAAATTAATAGATTTCTCTGCTATCTTAAAGATAATATTACCAGTATAACGAAAGAATCAAGCATTAAAATAAATTAAGATGTACAATTTTAAATTAGTTTAAGTTATAGGCAACTTATTGATGTAATGACTTAATTTCACTTAAAAAGACAGGCATATCTGGTCACAGGTTCTTTTTTTTTCAATGAGTAAATAACTGTCAAAAGAAGTAGAAAATAATCACATCACATTTTCTGGACTACAACAGTCTTCCTAGGAAACAAAAATACTGAGGAAATCACTTCGTATTGTATGACAGCCATATGAGGGGCTATGTGGCCGACCCCTTCAGATTCTTGCTGGGAGCAATGCTTGTTAAAATTGGAGCAAATTCCTCTAATATACAGTGCATTCTGGTCAGTTGCATACCAGCTTTTAAGCATTTGTTAGGACCTGTAGTACAGTACAAGGATATACCGACAAGTTTTGTTTTCCTGCGCAGGTGTGTGACCTTAAAGCCAGGAAAACGGAACTCTTAAGTTATCAGTGCTTGAACAACACTCATTTGTTTCATCCGATCAATTCAGAGTGGATATTGAGGGTTATTATATACAGTTTGATTAAGTTTATAACAAAGGATCTACTGCCTTTTCCCTGCATTAAATAGCATTAACGTTGCTAAATCTCAATAAGCAAACTAATCCTGTTTTTAAAAACTCAACTACTGCAATGAGCCAGCAAAAAAAAAAAACAATTCATAGTTCGTGTATATATTGCGCAATGCCATACAGAACAGAATCCACTGCAGGTACAGGGGGTTTGATACACACACTATATAGGGAGAAAGAAGAGGCGCCACTGTGGAGAATGACTCGAGATGTGGGTGGAAATGATGCCTTTGGATGAGTGGGTGCAACAGACAAACACATGGTGCTAGACTCAGAAGGCAGCTCTTCTAAGAATTGCCATCAGTGGCCATATTAAAGTCATCAGCGACCAGAAGCAGAGCCTCAATGTTGGCAGCTGTCTCAGGGCTCTGCAGGGAGAGGAATTCCGAGACGTCCATATTGGCTAACCCGTCAGATGAGGGAGGGTTGGTGGCAGTGCTGCTCACTATCGTGGAGAAAGTCTGAGCTGAGGAGGAGGAGGAGGAGGAGGAAGAAGAAGAGGGGGCCTCCAGCCTCACCTCACCCACCTTGGAGGAAGACTCGGGGAGGCAGCATGAGGAAGATGAGGCGGCTGGATGTTGTGGAGGCTCTGGGGGCTGTGGTGGTGGGGGAGGAGGGGGCTCTGATGGTTGCTGCTGTGCTGGGGCTGAAACACTGGAGGAGGCACTCTTTGAACTCTTCTCTTTAGCAGAGTCCCTGCAGGCACACTGGCACTGGCAGGATTCCTCCTGTTTGATGATGATGACGGGCAGGCTGAGGCCGATCTGTTGGACTGAGTTGCCTGAAAACAGGAACACAATGTTAAGTTCACTGAAAACAAGAAGGACGAAACAAAGTGACTAAGTTGATGACAATCTGTTATAATCTGCTTTCCAAAGGTACTGCAAAGCATATCAAAAGTAAATGAAAATATTTAAGATGAAAAAAAAGTTAGACGGAAAAGCGAGAAGTGAGAAATGACTAACCGCTAAGTAGATTTCAAGTATAATTAAACTGTTGTGACAGTATCTCAGTGGTGATCTTTGGACAACAATCTGCTATTTAATTCATCCTATCAAAGCTAAGTACTGCGTTGGATGTCAAAACACCTTTATGATTTCATTACAGCCTTTTGGCCAGTCTCTAAAATAATTCACTACTCATTGACTTACCAGCATTTCCTCCCACTGGTATGGCTGTAGTGAAGAAAACCTTTTCCACTTTTGGACCTCCTTGATGTGGCTGTGAACAAACATTAAAGACCACAGTTCAAGCAGGATTTAAGAAAGCTGGGGAGACCCTACAGTATTATGAGGTTAATTTGCAGGGATATGGATTGTGTATGTTTGTGGTACTAAAAGTAATACTAATAAAAACTTTACACCTATTCCTTTACAAAACCAGTCCATGATGAACACACCACTAAAAGTCATAGCTATCATAGCTTACTTTACATATTAAAAGGACCAGTGTGTAGGATTTAGTGGAATCTAGTGATGAAGTTGCAGACTGAAAACATTATAATACAGCTCAGCCTTCCAGAATCTGAAATACGTAAAAGGTGGCCATTCTTTGTTAAATTACAGTTTAAGCATTTGTTTTAATTACCTTTGTGCACGGCACAATGTTTTTTGCCAATCCTGTCACACTAACATACTTACAACTAAAAGACAAAATGCCAGAAATACTTAATTTCATGCATGTATGTTTTTAAACATCACAAAATCAAAAAAAGACTAGTACAAATCAAGTCACCATTTCTCAGAACAATAACTGTGTGGGAGCATTACTCACTGCTTGCTCTGGGTTCTGCTGGCTGTTGGCAGCACTGCTGAGGATCCACTGGAGGTTCTGGTCAGACATGACCAGGCTGGGCTGCAGCAGGTTCTGGGTAGGAGCTATGGTGATGGTGGCAGGTGTGGTAGGCAAACCGGGTCCAGAGATGGGGACAGGGTTGTTGGCCAAAGGCACAGGTTGAGCCACAGCTGCCAGAGCATCTGTTGTGGTGGCTGCAACAACAGACACAGCAGCAGTACCTGGTGCTGTGGTGGTTAGTACTGGAGCCACAGGAGGAGGAGCAGAGATGGGAGGTGGTAGAGGAGTGGTCTGGGCGGCACTATCCGGTTGCAGGAATGTGGGTGGCAGTGCCACATAGTGCTGGGGGGTGACATGGTTTGGTGCTTGGACAGAAGCCTGGGCAGGGTCATCAGAGATCTGCTGAGGCCCTGTTAGTTGCATGAAAGGAGGAGGCTGTGTGGAGCTGACAGTAGCGGTGACAGTGGCAGGGGTGGAGGCCTGAGTGGAAGAACTCTGACTGAGCTGTGAAGGAGCCTCCATGACTGCAGTTGTGTGGGAACAGGAAGATGAGCAGGTATGATTGAGAGAGAAAGAGATGAGAGCGGTGGCATCAGTCACTATCGGGTGGGTAGAGGTCTCTAGGTTGAAGGATTCAGCAAGGCTCTCTGAGTAAGAAAAAGAAAGACCTCCATCAGTGGACAAGAAAACTTGATACAATTTAAGCTGGCAGGTTTTGAAATGTACTGACCGTTGGGATGGGAATCATCTTGGCTGACACTATTTTCAGGACTCTGGAACATGAGCTCAAAGATTTTCACAGGGGTGACATTGTTGAGATCCAAATTTTGAGCCTGTAATAAAATTGAAACTAAGTGTTAAAACAGCCAGAAACTCTTGTTTTACCTCAAAATTCTTATTGCACTTAGGTGTCACAATAAGTCACCGTCTCCAACGTCTGTTTGACAAAGCTGAAGAAAAAGGCCAGACTTACATTATGGATGTTCTCTCGTAGCTCAGAGTCCGTAGAGATGAGGCTCAAGTCACTGAGGCATAGCGAGTGATTTGCATCCTGTAATTAACAGATGAATAGGACCTAATTAAACTTGCCACTGCTATGGGATCAAGCGCTGAGTCATGCAAACAAGATAGGGGAGCAAAATTGGAAAATAATGCAACATCGATTGTATGTTAATTTAAAAATCAAGGTTTTAATTCAAAGGAGCATGCTCTCTAGAAAGTCTCCCATCTAGTAATAAAACTTGCTATGTTGTGTGTCAGAGACACATCACATCAACTTTGAGGACAAAATGTTCACCTGCTGCCTTATACATCATACCCACTGACAGGTGCCATGAAAACCAGATAATCAGTGTTATTCACTTCACCAGTCAGTGGTCACAATGTTATGGCTGATCGGTGTAGTGTCATGTGGCTCTCAGGCTGTGGATGGAGAACATGACAAAATGTAGAAACATAGAGCGACAAAGTGTCCTACACACTGAGAGAGGTTTCTGTACTGTGACTCACTTCAGAGAGCGGATGGGTGAGGGTGACTGTGAAGGGCTGTCCTTTGTCGTGGCCCCGGATGTGACTCTTCAAACTGTACTGGCTGCTAAAAGTCTTTTCACAGCCGTCACTGGGACAGTTGAATGGCTTCTCCCCTACAGAATGAGTAGAGACAGACAGACCAAAACATAAGAGCTAATATTCACAGCTTAATCTTTATAAGTTGGCCATGATAAATGTTGCTACTTTATTTTTAACTTTCTAACTTTGGAGGAAAAAACAATGACCTATTGCAGACACTAAACATGTTGTTATCATTTCATGGACTAAAACCTCACCCTTGTAATAAAAAAGTAAATGGCACTTATGTTACAATAAAAAAAACAGAAAAACAATAAAAAATACACAGCTATTAACTATCTCCGCGTCAATGTGCTCAATGTTGTACACAACTGGAAACACAGAAAGCTGCTTGACAATCTAATGTTTCACTTCTTTCAACCGGATGGATTACATAGCATTAAAAACAAAGATAAATTCTCAATTACGGAAACAGGACCAAGTTTAGGAGACGGATAGGTTGGTCTGATGTTCCACTACCTTCTTTCAATCTACAGGTTGGGAGAATCACCCATATATATATATATATATATATATATATATAAAAATATATATATATATATATATATATATATAGAAAAACACATATAAGGAACCACATATTAGAAACCATCTGGATATGAGTAAATAGCTGGCCATCTCTTCAGTAGCCGGCACCTCCATGAACAAGCATAGAAGCAATTTTGAATAGGACTTGGCCACAGGGAACTTCCTTCCTTCCTTCCTTGTTTAATTAATTTTATGCATTGTGTGTGACTTAGGATAGTGTAGGTAGGTTTAGAGACTACCCAATTTGATCTTCAGACGTATGTAGTTGTTCAAGTTATAACCATATTTTGGACACTAGCAGAGCTTGTGGGTTTAGATTTGTGTTCAATATCCCTCGACAGAAGAGAACCTTCAGAATTGGGTTGGCCCTGCACTGTGTTACAGCTGTACTGCTGATAATGTATGGATCCTCGATCGAGCCTCAATAAATCCTGCTGTCTAAATCATCAAGGTCTCCTGAAAATGTCTTTAGCACGAGTGATTCTTCTTCATTCAAGTTTTTCCATCGCATAGACATTTAAAACAGAAATAAACACTTAATAGTATTCATAATAAAATGAAATAATCCAGGCGACACAAAACGATCAATGTGCATAAACAAGAATGCACACATAAGGGCTCTCCCACACTCAAACCACACACAATACATCTCAGTTACAAGTGCCATGTGCACAAAACTAATGAGAAATAATAACACTGCCAAACAAATAACCATTATGTCAAAGTACTGAGTATACCAATAAACTACAAAAAAAAAAAAAAAAAAAAAAAGAAACACAATTGAATGTTTTAATTTTTAAATTTTAAATAGATTTGAGGTAAACAAGCAAATCATTTTAGATGTAGTACAAATCATATAAACTAGTCTGATGAATTAAGATCTGGCACATCTCTTCCTTTATAAAGAGTTTAGAGACTTTAGCACATTTCCAAATAGATGGAAGTTTACAAGTAGATAAAGAAAATTCAATAAGTCAGCCTGTGGGAAAATAAGTGCTTAAGAACCTAATTTCATAAACGTAGCTTCTTAGCCACTAGGTCCAGGAGCACAGCCAACAACAATTAGAGAAGCTATTTGACCAATCAATACAAGTACCCATGGACACAGCGCTGTTACTTACCGCTCTTTTAACTACATTTATACACAGACCTTTGATAGGAAGACGTAGTAAATAAAATCCACATAATGTCTTAGGCTGCAGTAAAAATCTATTTGTTTGGACTATTCAAATTAACTATGAGTGGGAGGCACTGGTGACAATGTAAATGCAAATCAGGCAGAGCTGCAAAATCAACATGTCCTTGTTCAAGCTTCCCTAGAAGAATCAAGGTTAGATTAAAGAAATATGTGTAATATGTACCTGTGTGTGTCCGTACATGTGTTTTTAGGTGATGACTTGCAGCAAAGGCTTTGCCACAGCCATCGTGGTCACACCTGAAGGCAAAGACAAAAAAATAATGTCAGAAATGCTTAAGACCAGATGCAAATAGACAGTAATTTTAAAATACACTGCCATGCCCCTGATAGAACAACAAACACACTCTACTCATCATATGCATATAGTCAACTATATATATGTAGAACAGATGGGAAACTAATGTGCAAAGTAGTGCATTTCACTACAATTCTGGGCCATGGTCTAACCAAAATGGAGTTTCTAAAACATCACAATCAGACAAACTCTGAGTAAAATCTTTTAATATGAAAAAAAAAAAACTAAAAAGCTTGTGTGGACAAGCAAACATTCAAACAGACTAAAAGAGCTTTCTGTGAGTATCAATTAGTATCAGTTTCTCCATCTTCTACTAGAGGTGGGTTAAACCTGTCGTGATAATGGAAATGCTCACCGGAATGGCTTCTCCCCAGTGTGTGTGCGAATGTGCTTCCTCAGGTCGCTGAGTGTGGTAAAGTACTTTGTGCATCCCTCTGATTCACAGTTGAATGTCTTGCCTGTGTGAAGTCTCTGGTGTGCCTTTAGTCTGCAGAGACAATTATAATAAATAGTAAGTGGGTTTCATTAAACCCCAATTGGAAACATGCAGAGAAAAACAAACTAAGCACAGTGGCATTAAATGGCATGTGTTGATTCTTGTTGCACTTATCTTAAGAATGTCTAAAAGCAGATGGAAAAGTACACAATCTCTATCAATGGTGGTCGTATGAGAGAATCTGGGTGGCATGGAAGATTTCGAGTGGAAATAATTTTATTGAGAAGAGAATCCGCCATGTGTGGCATCGGTTGGCTGCCCTGAGTAACAGTTTTTGACAGGGAGTTGATGGCAGTGGCACAGCTCCACCTATTCCAAGACATGTTGTCATAGCAACTGAACCAAAACAGACCAGGGCTCGGATGTGTGTAGCATGCTACCAATGAAAAATGTTTCTGGCATTGGTCATAATAGGCTAACCCTGTAATTGGGCCTAGTGTTGTCAAAAACAGAAAAATTATACATCAAATACTACATATAAACTCAACTACATTTTTAACTTGAGTTAAAAAGGGGAAGAAAATTGCAAAGTAATATGAAAACTACAAGATTTAGGTAATCCTTTGTTATCAGCTCTATGTTCCTGGGTTGTCAGCAAGTATGTGGATTATTAGAGGAGGGTATTTTTATTTAGGGAGACTAGTTAATGAGAAAAAAGCTAGCGATTAGGGAGGGATAAGATACAAGACAGAGCTCCTTGAGATGACAATGTTCTGCTTTTCTAAGTATTATTCCTTTCAAGGATCGTTTCTACTGCTTTACTTTTTGTGGGTTTGTACTCATCCTGTGTATTTCTGCACCTGACCAAATCCTTCTTTGGATAAAGTCAAATTTGAGATTAGTAGACAAAAAAGAATATTCTTCAAAATACTAGCTGTGGTCAGAAGAATACTGACTCCCAACACACAGCACACATCTATATAAAACATAAGAAAATTAAACATTTGAATTACATTTACATACTTATTTTGTGCCCATTTCCATATTGTATTATTTTTTATTAAAAGGTAGACAAGTGTGTATTTTAATTTTATATCATGATACAATTCAATCTTTATTTTTTTTTATACTACAGTTTCCCAACCCTCTTTGGCCCCTGACCCTCCTTTTAGGTGACCTGAAGGCTGACAAACTAGAGACTGCTATCAACACCTCCAGTGGTGATAATGATAAGCACCTTCAGCAGAAATAAAATACAAAACAACAAAGCTGTGTGAAGGATTACCTGTATAACGTGTTAAAGGCCTTCTCACAGCCTTGCACATCACATTCAAACGGCTTCTCCTTGGTGTGAACCCGGACATGGATCTTGAGGCTGTAAGAGGTGAGGAAGGCCTTTCCACATCCCTGTTGATTGCACACAAATGTGTACTCCCCCCGGTGTGTCTTCTGGTGTGTCCGCAGGTTTCCCGCCGTGCTGTATGTCCGTGTGCAGCCTTCGAACATGCACTGGTAACGCTTCACCTGATAGAGGAAGAAGGGCAGGGGGATATCAGCACTTGAATTCAGCTCTACTGTCTATCATACTATCATACACAGTACATCTATCAAAAATCAATTAAGTAGTATTTAACCTGTATTTCAAAAAGCTAGTGAGAAAGTAATGTTTATTCATCTCAGTAATAACCAGCCTTGCCATACTATGTGACAGTCTGAGTCAGTGTGACCTTTCAGACAGGACTTGAACTTAATGACTCAGCCACCCATCAGCACAGGAAGCGGGTGAGCACAAAGGACAGCAATGATGACTAACCCCCCTGCAATACATCCCATCCAATTCTTTTTAAGAGGACCAATCTTCACTGCTGTGTGGCAGTCTCCTGCTCTCTTCTCACACAAAAGCCCCGGGGTTATGTGAATAAAAGCCGTCCATTCTCTTCTTCAAATGTATGCTATCCTGTATTAAACACAAAGTCAGTAGGGGGAAGCTTGTGGCTGCCCACCCCGACAAGCAAATCCCCTTACTCAGCTAACATTATCCCTGCAACTTGCTCTCTCGATACTCTTAGGGATCTTATGAAAACACACACCATGAAACTGACCATAAACATGACTCTCAAGACAAAACACACTGCATGTCTACCCGGGCATGTATTAGATAAAGTACTTCCCCATTGCCAAGAACCCAGAAAAGTGGGAAAATTAGCAAGAGTCCGAGAATATTTTTTTGTAATGTCATTTTTACAGAAAGCGATAAACAAACATCTAATAAATATTTATAAGACTTTCATTTTGTTAAAGTCATTTGAGGTGAAGATGTTTGTTTTGCCCAAAATTAAAGCACAAATTACTTGAAAGCAAGGCAACTGACCTAAAAGACCTTTTTATAAAAGGAGAATGTATAAAAGACTGCCTGACTGTGAATGATAATACACTTGGTACTTACTTACACTTACTTGCTAATGGATGTTTTTTCATTATGTTAAACTTAAACATGTCTTGGGGCATTGAATGATGTCTTTGTCAGTTTGGAAAATAACTGACATCAGTGAAAAGCCTACATTGTGCATGCAGCCTACCAATGTCAATGCACATGCAGGACACATTTATTTACAAACCTAGTTACATTTTAAATCATAAAATGAAAAGGACAAAACCTGCTTAGCTGATATACAGAGAGAGTGATATAAAGCTGATTAACTTGCCTTTCAGTCTTACTAACAAACACTAATCTGAGTGATGGGTAGTCAAAGCCCATTCATTTTGATTTTAAGGATGGGGAAGAGATCATTTGTTAAGCAAACATCCATGCAAAGCCACCGTGGGAAGCCTGCTAAAGCTTGTAACTCTGTACTGTATTCAGCTCCCACACCATCGTGACTCTTCTCAACCATCAGTTTGATACTGTGAGAGATCATTCTATGCTTTGGTCTCCCACATGCATTGTGGAAAAGACCACTTCATTACAAATTAAATGGTTGTGAGAAAGTATGTTCAGCGATATCACTCTGTGCTTAATGTTGCTCGTCATTACCTATTGAACAAGCGGCTGGGATTTTCAATTTGCCACCGTTGGGTTATCTCTAGTATTCTCATGCTTTTAAAAGGCAAGTTGGCTAAACAGATTTTTTCTATCTAGTGAATGCACGTTACAATTTGCTCATCTTCACATCAGCAGCACTTGACACTGACACAATTTACTACACAATGCAAGTTTTTTTTGTAAACGCTCAATTGAAAGGCTTTCTTACATGCAAAATCCAAACAATATCAGAAAGTAGCAAAAAGGAGCTTAAAGATGAATAAAGATTAAGAGATGTCCCCTATACTTTTCCTCACACAGGAAAGTATCTTAAGTGAATGGTTTGGTTAATTGTCCTCTTGGAAATTAATTCTGTGCCTCATAACAATAACAAAGAATACTATGCAGATAAGTTAAACGTAACCAACCAACATTGCAAGCACAATGATCCCCTGTGATCAAGATAACCCAACATTACATACAGAGGTACAGTGCTTGCCATTCAGCATAACACCAACAAATACTGGCAAGCCTCCACACAATAACGCATACACACATACAGTATATTATTTCATGCTTTGTTTACTTCCCAAAGACAGTTCTCTGTCAACAAATCATTTTCACTAAAAAGGGATGTGATACGTCACCAAGAATGCATCCTGTGCTTGTGAACCATCACAACAGTGTTGCACCATTTTGTTGTTGCAGTCTTGTTGGAAATATTACGTAGTTACTTACTGACAAAAAAAACCACACATTTGACATACAGTCACAATAAAAGAGAACCAGTATTTTCCTATTACTATACCTAGAAATGTGTATTTCTTGGTTTTTTTTTCGTCTTCTTAGTTTTAGCATTTTCTTAGTGTTAACAAAATTCCAATAAAATGCTCTGTGTGAAAACTGGGCTGACACCGACTAACAAACCACAATGCCTTTTTTAACCTTCACTGATCAAACTAACATTAATTATGTCACCTAATAGAATTATGGAAAAACTAAACTCCAGAACTCCACCCATCTAATGATGCTACTATTCACATCTAACTGCAGAAAACCCCGTCATTAATATATAGTCAAAGAGTATTAAACACAAATTTAAAACCAACAAAAAGAATAGGGACATATTGCTCGGTCAATAAAGATGGCTGTAAATTTTATGCAGCACATACAAAATAGCATCTTCTCTGCTTCTGCCCCTCCTATACAAACTGTAATGGTTCAAATGTATTTTGTACTCCGTTCCCATTCTTCACTGCAATAGATGTTGAAGTAACTGGTCAATAATTAACATCCTCTTGTTTTGATGTTTTTGTCATGTGGCGTTTTCCTAGTTGGGAATATATTGTGTATCATTTGACAACAACAACTGACTAAACACAGGGTTGAGTTGATAACTGGAGAATACATTGTTCCCTGCATTCCTTCAGGCCCCTGCTTTTTACTCAGCAAGGAGCAGCTGCTTTACATACTTGCTATCAGATGGTTTTATAGTTCACTTACACTAATTAAGCTGGGATGGGTGTCAAAATATGGCAGATTCACCACATGAATAAAGATAGGAGCAGGACACAAATAGGGTTGTGAGTGGGCTATGCCAAGGTCCAGCACTGGGTGAACACACTGTGGAAGCGGGGTGACACCACCTACAGACAGATGCTGAATTCTTTAGTGCATTGAGGTGGTATCTTCTCATTTTCCTAAGCCAAATCAGCAATCATGTTCATGCTACTGGAGAAGTTAATTTTGAAAGATCTTACAGTACATTTATGTATTTGCAACTGCACTTTGCATTTGACCACGAAAAACCACGTTAATAAAACAAAAGTAAGACCATTTGACGTGTTAGGAAATTTAAATGTTAAATGGACTGTACTTACATAGCACCTTTCTAGTCTTCTGGCCACTCAAAGCACTGTACACTACATGTCACATTCACCCATCTTCACAGACTCATACGCTGATGGCAGCGGCCGTCATGCAAGGTGACAACTGCTCATGAACAAAACGCAAACTAAGGGCATTCACACACATTCAAACAAAGATGCCTAGCACTGGTTCAGTATCATGCTCAAGAAAACTTTAACATGCAGCAGCCAGGGATCGAACCGCCAACCTTCCGATTAGACCCGCTCTACCTCCTGTTGAGTGATTAGCTGGAATGACCAAAGAGCTTCTTCAAACCAAACAAAGCAATTACTTCAGCAAGAACCAGACAAAACTAAGCACAAATAACTAAGCATTGCTTAGTGATGATATTGCTTGACCAAATTTCACCCTCATCTGTGTTGTAACTGCGTTGTATGTGAAAATGAACCATTTGATACTATACCGAAGCACAAAATGGTAATACAAAACAAAACTGCTTATTGAAATCATTGTGCACCTGTGTTTATACTAAACATTCAAAGTAAAAGGTATATGCACTTATTTAGGCTTACCTCTCTCTGCTTGGTCTCGGGGCACTCAGAGTGCAGGGTAAGAGTAGCCCCCTCTATGTTGCGTGGCATGCGGGTGGAGCCTGGATTTATTGTGAACTGGATCTGGTCTGGAGAAATGGTGTGGTGCACATAACCTTGTGACATGCCATCAGGGTCTGTCATAAAGGCCAGAGAGCCCTCCTCCTCATCTCCATCACCTTCCCCTTCAGTTAGGAAGGTGACCCCGTCTTCGTAGCCGCCACAATGACCCTCCTCTTCGCCTTCCTCATCCAGCCGGATGGGGTCCCGCTCAATGAGCACTGTGGTGCGGTCGTACACCCGACCAGATGACGATGAAGACGCAGGGATCAGGTCATCGTCTTTGTCAAAGTGGATTTTGTCTTCTTCTTCTTCGTCGTCCCGCTCCAGGGGATCCACCTCCACCTCAAAATACATGGGCGCCTCTGTATGAGGGCCATTCTCACTCATGGTCCCTGGTGCCTTTTCCTTCCTCGGCAAGGAGGACTGCACAGTCACACTGTCAATGTTACAGCCTGAAAATAAAATCGGCAAAATTACTTACTTTTTCTTAGCAATGGAGTTATACAAGGCAAGGGAAGTTTCTTGGTATATCACCTTTCAATGACAAGGCAATTTAAAGACCTTTACATCAGACATAAAAAGGCAATAAAAGGTCCAGTGGGTAGGATTTTGTGGCATCTAGCTGTGCGCAGATTGAAACTCCCTTGCTTCAGCTTCCCCTTCCAAGCGCAAAGGAGAAATTACGCTGGTTTGTTCTGAGCTTCAGTAGAAACATGGCTCAAGGCTCAACATGGTGGCCTGCAGAGAAGGCGACCCTCGGCGGCTGTAGATAAAAACAGCTCATTCTACGGAAACAAAAACGTCCTGAGCTTCAGAAGAAACATGGCTCAAGGCTCAACATGGCGGCCTGCACACAAGGCGACCCGCGGTGGCTGTAGATAAAAACAGCTCATTCTATGGTAACAAAAACACAATGATTCCTATATTTAGGTGATTATACACAAATGAAAACATACCTATGAATATTATATTCCATTTCTGCCAATAGATGCTCCTAAATCTTACACACTGGACCTTTAAGACAAGACATAAGAGAACCACAAAGTGTTACAAAAAGACACATAACAGGTTTTAAAATGCAATAAATACGAGTAAGAAAATTAAAGTTCAGTGCAAGATGAGATTTAACTGAGAGACAGAGCAGACCTCCCGTTTTCTGGGAGGTTGTTGCAAATATGTGATACATAACAACTGAATGCTGGTTCCTCATGTTTAATTTGACTCTCCAACAGTAAGCAACCTGTCCCTAATGATCTGAGAGGTTTGGACGTTTCCTAACATAACAGTGGACCGGATGAGTGACCCCCCAAAAGCGATATTGCCTTGTTAAAAGAGCTCAGCTTGGTCATTAGAAAAAAATACGTTTATTCAAACACCTAAAAAAAGCACTGCATCTCGAAGGCCTGTTCTGACAGCCAGAACAATTACCAACAACTGGCTAGACAGAGCCTCAAATATATGCACTATGTCTGGAGAGGGACATACTAACTACTGATGTAAATACTCCTAAAGCAGACAGCCGTCAAATAAAAGTCAACGGTTTCCAGTATTGTCCTGTTTAGGGGAAACTGACGTTACCCAACGGGGGTTCTAGAACTTTCTCATTTCAATGACAGAAGTCACGAGACAGCGGCGGTTAAACTAACGGCTAAATTAACGGTCATGTTTAATGATCTGTGATCGATCGAAACTCCTCCGGGTTAGCTTTCACAAAACGCAACGAATAAAGAGGGGAAACATGCCACACTCACACTACCAGCGCCAGTTAACTTTTCCATACTCGACACGGCTCTGGCTAACGCTTCACGATGCTGCGCGGTTTACAAACACAGTGGCCTGATAAACACGCAGTGACAAGTCCCCCCCCCCTCCCGGTTCAACTGACAATTAAACGGTTAATAACCCCGTTAATGTCCCGGTACTGAGGTCCACCGCACACTTTAAACAGGCTGTATAACAATAATCCACTCGATTACTGACCTGACGTTATTTCACGGAGTACATCTTTGGTCACATCGTTGCTAGCCACAGAGATATGGTAGCTAAGTTAGCTGGCTGCTACACAAACAGACACCAAACCGCATTTACTTGTGAAGTTGTATTTTATGTTAAATAATTACGTCTATCGCCAGTCGCACTCCTTAACGCTATGCGACTTGATCGCAGAGTTCACACAACGAAGCATTTGTCAGTCAGACAGCTGAATGGACGCTAGGTAGCTCGCTATGCGCTAGCGACGTCAACTATCACTTCTAGCTCTACACATGCATAGCTTTGCTAGGTAGCAACAACTTAGCTCGTAGCTAAGCTAGGGAGCTAACTGTTAACGTTAGCCTGTTTACCCTCGACAATTGATATAACCTACCCCCCCTCTCTCCCCCTCCCTCCCTGCAAGGATAACAAGTTTAATGTTACTAAGTGATAAACTGGCATTCTTACGCTTAAGCTCATCGATTAAAAGGAGAGGACATTAAAATATATTTACCTGTGTTAAAATGTATGCTTTGGATGTTTAGCACTTTCTTTCTATCCCCTCCCTAGGATACCATACAACGTCACACAGCCATTCGTGATGAATTATGGGAAATTAAATATCAATACTATTGCTGATTTAAAACATGAAAACGTTTTTTTTTTTCTAAAGATTTAACTTTTAGACTTTTTATGTGGCAAATAGGATTCAGTGAGCTGGGTAGTCTCACATAAACAATGTGAGAAAACTAAATGTATTAATTTAGTGTTAATGCTTTTTGTATATATATTGTCTGAGAATAATAAAATTGAATCACCAGTGACACACACCTTGTTTCCAACAGTTTTATATTAAAAAAACAATAGGCCGTTGAGATCAGAAACATTAAAATACAAATTATTTTTTAAATAAAATATACATACATTAAAAATTGTTATCTCTACAGATGCTCAATGATATACAATAAACTTTGTGCATCATACAGATCACAAACATTGCTTTGAAACAAACTAATATCAGAAGAACTGTCACTTACAGTAATTATACTCTATCTATACAAAGAGCCATCTAAGAATATAAGAAATCATTACAGTTTATTTAAAATACTGGACTGTACAGTTTTTAGTGTTCAGCTTGAAGTCTTCCATTTAGGTGGAGCCTTGGGTCAGGAAGTGCTGAAAGAACTCCTGAGTCTTCCTCTTTTCTGCAAGATCCTGCTTTGTAGGTGACTTCAGCAGTAAGGAGGCAAAAATGGTGGCTATGCAGAAAGAAAATGAATTATTCATGTTACATAGTGAAACAAAGGGTTCATTTTCTTTGTTCTAATGTTGTACTATATTTAATAGCAGTTAAATTGTTTGCATGTTTTATTGAATGTGATGAGATAACCATGTTTATGCTACTACAAGTTCTTTTGTTGCCTTTATTCTTGTAGAACAGGTTGGGTGAGCATACATTCTCTTTTACAAAAACAGCTTGTTTCACATTGAATAGTGGAAAGATAATACGTGCGAACAGTCTGAGTCATAAACAGAACAGAATAATAAGAAGGATTTTCATTCATTTTCATTTTCCATTGCTTTATTTGTTTCCCTCCAGTAACTCAACATGCTGACTAAAGAATAAAGCAACAGCTAATAATAACACATTCAAGAATGAAGGAGCCTTAACTGCAATATGCTTCCTGTTCTTACCCAAGATGTTGACATCTAATCGATTGCTAGAGGAATTCTTCAACAGCTCACGGAGAAAGGCAGCTAAATAGTTGAACACATTTTGATGGCACTGAGGTAGCATGGAAATTACCTGAAGAGAGAAAAATGAAACATTCTTTAAAAAAAAAAAAAGTCAGATTCACTTTTGTAACTGAACACCATTTGGAATAGATTGATGGTGATCAGCAATCAACTGCAGGCTCTCTCACTCACTTTCTCACACTGACTGGCATTGGAGCAGATTTCTAGGCACTGCTGGTAAAAGGAGAAGGGAACCACGGGCTCTGGGAGGGCATCGAGGAAGAGAAGCAAGGCTTCTGCCACTGAGTGGTTACTGCCCGCTGCAGGTCAATACAGTCAAGGACATAATTCTTGAGCAGAATCAGCACGTTTTAAAATGTAGGTGCAAAACACACTGTTGCATCCCAGGATTAATTGAGTTAAGCTCAAGTTAACCATCAGGCAGACAGATTACACATAAATACACTGTAGTATTTGGAAATCAAAACAGATACATTCTTAACTACACTGTGTTCATTTTTCAAGTTTTCTATAAAGATGAGCAATATTTTTTTTCCACCGATGATTATGATAGTAATAGTTTCGAAGGATACGTAGAGAATCTGGCATGCCAGTGTCAAGGCAATCCCTTATGTCTGCAAATTCACTCCGGAGGCCAGGTTGCTGAAATATGTCTTCCTGCAAATGGAGGACAATAAATATTAACACATTTATTAAGCCAAGGAGTTAAATTACAAACAGGTTAACTTTGGCCGAAGAAAATGCTCTTTTGGTTTGAGGCATTATGGAGCTGCAGAGGACGTCGATTTAATTAAAATTAAAAGCACACACACACACACACCTTTCTTTAAATTACTCGAATCAAGGGCTTTAAAAATAAAGATTAATTCCCTCCACCAAATCAATACAGAGGCTTTACAAAGCTACTTGGCTGGCAGGCACAAGTACTGAGTCATACCAGTGTCTTTGTACCCTCAAAAAAAATCTTTAAAATATTGAAACTTTTTATTTTGCTTAATTCCTGCGGCATTTTCACTCACTTGTCCCTAAAAGAAAGACACAAGAAATTCGGAAGGATGCAAAAACAAAATAAAGACACACATTGACACTAGTTCAGAAAGGAAAAGTTACTCTACACTGTTGCTGCAACTTTAATCCTAAAGGTATTGATTCAAGATGTTTTCTCTGACTGTGTTCATTGTTGATGTGATTTGGTTGATTTTAATAGTGTATGAATGTAAATGTTTGTATCATAACTGTCATGGTAACGTTAGCCTTCATTGAAATGTCTAAAATAAAAAGACACGGTAATGCTAAGGTTATATTTCAGCAAACATGCATATGCTGAGCGTTATATATGTCAAACACGTAAAAGGTTAAGGTTATATGTTTAGTTAAGTGCCCATCTGCAGCAATTTATAGTAAGGGCTCACATGTTGTGTTTTTATCTGTCTTGTTGTTATGTTTGTTTGATCATAAGAGCTAATTTATGCAATATATCTGTCATGTAGCTCATGTGTCATGTTATTGTCCGGCCGGGGCATGAACCTTCAATCAAGAAAACTCCCCAAAAAAAACAAACACATTTTCTGACCTGTTTGATTGCATTGCGGAACAAGTGATCCACCATCATCCAGAGTTCTTTAGGAATGTCTAGAGGCTTTTCAGTGTTTACTGTATTCTCATTTGCAGACATCTCCGCCTGAAGTTGAGAACAAACAGAGCAAAGAGAGTTTAGTCAAAACGGACTCTGTCTTTATCTACAAATCTGCAAAGCTATAAGAAAATACTACACTGTAGCCTAAATGACAACCTTCAATGGAGAGGCGGTATTTTAAGGTTGCTGCTCTGCACATGGTGGCACTCACCAGTTCACGGAGGGTCTCTTGTGGCATGTCCTGGATGGGCTCCCTCATATGACACAATGCACGGATGGAGGTGCCGTAGCAGCTGGGCAGGTAGTTTCCTGTCACAGAGATGAAGTAGTCCTTGCCGCGCTCCAGGTGGAGCACCAGGATGTCTTCAATCTGTTCCTTGCCAGAGTTAAGATCAGGCGCTGTTGAGCGGTTTACAAAAACTTCAAGCTCAATCTCCACAGAACCACCTGGATGTTGAGAGAGATGCACATACAAAGTAAGGGTGTGGCTGAACTGTCATAATTTTGGAACTAAATGCCTGCTGCACAAGTGAAATGTTATGTTGTGCTAGCATCACTACAAGCACTTACTGAGGTAGTGTGGTTTGAGGATTTGTAAAGCACCAACACATTCCCAATCTGTGATGAAATTTCATCTTGCAAGACAAAAACCCTGCCATTGTAAGTCAACATCAATTTCTAAAACCTAAAGGCAGGTTAACGATGCTTTATTAGAATGAAATCTGTGACTCCAGGATGAGACTGTATATGCCACTCACCCTGAGCAATAAAGCCTTTGGGGGGGTTGGCTGTGAGCCAGGGCTTGCAGTAAGTGAGCTCATTCGGCTTCTGGATAAATTCAAACTGACAAGGGACCTGTCCGTCATTGAAGAGGCTCAATGTCTCTGCCTGGTGTTGCATGTATTTCACATCTTTAAAGTGGAACTGAAGGAAGAGAGAAGGATCCATGAGACAAGATAGGAAAATCTCATGTACATGTAGCATTAGGCTCACAGCCCAAGATCAATACACAGCTTCATTAGTGGTGGTTTAATTACTGAATTCATCAAATGAACATAATTAAAAAGCAAGTTATTGTACAATGTCTATCAAAGAGGTACTACAGCTCCTATTACACTGTAATATGACTGAAATATGATAGGAAACCTTACCTCTCGCTTGGCCAAAGTTACAGATGGAATACACTCATTCTCCATTTTGTCAATATTGCGTACAATCTCTTCAAAGGTCTTCTTATAGGCCTCACTGTTTACTCTCTTTATCTGTAGGAACATAAAAGAAAGATGACAATGCAGCATGTGTTATACAACCCTTTAAAAATACTTGCGACAGATATGTAATAAGGCTTATGCAAAAAATTAGAGCCCGTTGATGTGAAGTGAGGTTATAAAGTTGAATCTCAATGCACTTTTCATTGGTTTATCATCTCTTCTCCACTTCCCTACAGGAGGAGGACTACTGCATCTTTTTCAAACAACAAAAAACTAAATGGAAAACATTTTAGATGAGATCAGTTAAAAAGCAGAATTGTTTACCCCAGTGACAAGCAAGGAACTGACTGGTTTGTGGTCGCTGGTCTTCAAAGCCATGTGACTCTGATAATGATGTTGCTTGATGTTCTTCCCTCTCCAAAGGATACGGTCACACCACGCAGGCACGCGACATTTTTCACTAAATGCAGAAGAGATATTAAGGGTCAAGTGTGCTTATTACACACTTTACTATAAGCGAATAATCAAAATATAAAAGGCAAAAATTACATCCATATTACAGTGTACAGTGTACATACTTCAAAGATAATAATAATAATATGATCTCTGTAGGGAAATTCTCTTAGCAGGACGTGAAAGAGCACAAAATATCACACAACACTGCGACTGAGTGGCTAAAGTGATTTATTAAGGCCACCAGTTTGTTTTAGTTTTCTGAT